ATTTCCTGCCAAATTCGATCCAATTGTCGAACGAGGTCATCAACATTCCGTGCCAGATGCTATCGCCTTCCCATCATATCCCAGACATGCTCGATGGGAGAGAGATCTGGAGAGATCTGGAAGGCCAAGGAAGAGTTCGACAAGCTTGCAGACAGTTCATAGCAACACGTGCCGTATGTTGTCTGGCATTGTTCTGCTGAACCAGCCCAGGGAGCTGCAAAAGGAACGGTAGCAAAACAGGTCTCAGGATGTCGTCGACGTACTGCCTCTGTACAGTAAGTGTACCTCTAACGACGACCAAAGGGGGTCCGGCTGTCAAAGGAAATGGCACCCCAGACCATAATGCCTTGTTGAGGACCGGTGTGGCGTGCAATAGTGAAGGCAGGATCCCCCTCTGCCCTGTGCGTCTCCAAACACGTCTTCGATGATCGTCAGGACACAGTTGGAAGCGGGATTCGTCGCTAAAGACTATACGTCCCCAGTCGGCATCATTCATGCATACGAAATTTCAAAGCAATCAGATGATTGCTTCTTGGTGTGTCGATTTTTTTTGTTACAGAGTGTATATGCACTATAATAAGTTATTATGGAAAATTAACAAAACATTTCTATTCCTATTTTAATATACCGATGTAATATGATTATTTTTCATTCATTATCTAAACATTAATTTAAATATTCTAACGTTACGGTAAATAAGCATTTTTAAAAGTATCACATGAAAATTTAAAAATAATGAAATTAAATCTGAAGTAGAGCTTATAAGAATAATTATCCATAAAATAGGCAATGATTTTTTATTTTTATTTTGGAGGTGGTCCTTGTTAATTATTTAAAAATGATTTAATGGGCCACCTTTAAACATATTATTTTAAAGATGGTCCAAAAATCTTTAAAACAGGTTTAAACACATTTGCTCTATAACATGCTTTTCTGAGAAAAAAAATTATCTTTATTTTAATTATTAATGCCAATAGCATATTTTTCAATGTTAAATAATTTCCTAAATTTTCCTGTTCAGCTGAATTTTGCATCAAAAATAACAAAGTATCAGTATATGAAAATAGAAGTGATTTATATATAATTTTTTTTTTGTTTACTTAGATCAAATGTTCATGAGTTAATGGAACTTGGTAAACCGTATTTTTACAAATACTGAGAGTGGCATGAATTTGAACGGCTAAATTAACACAATTGACGAAGAATGTTTTGACAAAGAAATTAGTTATAGGCTGTTGGCTTTCTCTGATAAACAAGCATTTTGGAAATTAAAAATAAATCTTTCAACAGAATTGAATGGTGGAACCTTTTTAACAAAAAGTTTTTTCTATATTCTTCAATTTTCTGCAAGAGGAAAGTTTAATTAAGGGAGACAGAATTTGCAACTAAGAAACATATTTAAAAAATTATTGTATTCCAAAAAAAGCCGCTATCAACGATTTTCAACGTCACCACATTAAAAAAAATTTTTAAATATTTTGCATTTTTTTGTTCAAAAACATTCAGTAAATAGTTTATCTTACACGGAGAAAAAAATTCTAGAGAAATTACCTTACTGTATGGTAATGACAGTTTTGGTAGGAAAAAAAAACATAATTCGGGTTGACAAAACTAAAATATATGGTATTTAAATCGTTTATTTAGTAATTTTTCCCTTCATATAAATGGATAAATGGTAACGGTTTAATGGATATTCTGGTTTTTAAAATTATAGTTCATATTTACGTCACATTTAGTAAAAAATACAAAAGAGAATAGTAAATTTAACCGAATGAAAGGCTTTTATGCCATGCTCTAAAGTGTGATAAAATTTCCAAATTTTATCACATAGTATAAAACCATATTTCATTGCTAATTTTACCAAAGCACTTCGGTAAAAATTTCCAAGATTTTTGGTGTTCCCTTAGAACCAGAAACACGTTCATAGTAGTTTTGACCATACTTATTTTCTTTGTATAAGTATCCTTGTAAGCAAGAGTATTCTGAAAAAGAAACACACGCTATAGTTATGCGTGAGAAATAGTTATGTTGCATGTAGGAGTTGCAATATTGCACAAATTGTTGCTAAAAACATTACAACTGGAATCTAATGGAATAGTTTTCATAAACCTCTGGAAGCAAATAATTTACGTTACTTCCCATCTAGCCGATCTCGTTTTACACTGATATAAGTTTCATTTAAAAATACCATTCAATAAAAGTTTCATTAAAAAAGTGGACTAGTAGCTCATAAAGAAAAAAGAGAATTAGGTAAAACTGTTCTTGTATGTTAGATAAAAGTAATGCAAAACTTTGGATCGGGAAGTTCATATTTCATCTTATATTCATATAATGAAACACCATTTCGAAGAAATATGTTCATTATGTCGACAACATGCATAGCATTGCTTATACTTTTACATGCTACAAAAGTCATGAAAACGCAATTAAGAAGTTTATATTTTAACTTGTACGAATTTTCTAATAATTTCTTAAAGAAAATGTTCCATTAAATCTGAAATAAACTACTACTTCTCCATTCTCTGACCTCCCTTCTGAGTTCGTCAAAAAATAAATTTAAAAAATCAAAACAAAATTTGTCCCCCAAAAAAACTACGTAGCATTTGCAACAAAATTATCGAAATATGTACTTACCGCATAACAGTCTACGGCATATTTCTCCGGGTGTTATGCATGATATGTTTAACTCACTGTAATTTGTATAATGTATAACGTATGACATTTGTATAACGTATGGCATTTGTATAACGTATGATATTTGTTTAGCATTATTTAGATTTAAAAAAAAAAGAAAACTTCTTCATTAACCATATTTACTGGAGTTATTAAGTTTTATTACTTTGATTGCTTATTTTTCTGTCATTGTTTTCTTTGCAGAATAGCCAGTACCGAAAAATTAAAAGTTTCGCACATTATAGACATAATCAAATCTTCCAGTGATAACGATCTCACGCCATACTTTGCTGCCGTCATTTGCCTTTGGGGTAGGCAAAATGTTTAACTTGATCATTCCAGCATGAATTATTTTAAATTTTATTGCATGTCGCTTACAGCCAATAGTGTATAAATTAGGTTTTTTTTTTTAGTCTTTTTCTTCCCGAAACAAATACCATTTACATTTTTAGAGGTTATTTAAAAGTGGCAAAATTATATCCTCAAAGATGGTGGGATTTAAAAATTGTAAAATAACATAGTCGAAAGAACTGTTTCGAATTTAAATGGTAACTTTCCCCTCCTCTAGAACGATAACAATGTATAATAAACATCCCTATGCAATGCATGCGCTGGAATTATTTAATATTTTTTTTAAAAAAATTCTAACAGAGAATTAAAATTGAAATTCTTATTACCAAATCTGTATTGTCCTTCTTATTAATTTAATTTGAGGGTCTTTATTAAGTTATCTTTCTTTAAGCTTGAGCATTTGCAAAGGTCAAGTTTTGAAAAAACTCTCAACTTTTTTCCATAGAAAAGATTACGTCCGAATTGGCTGCTCATTTGCTGACACTCACTTACACCAATAAATATTTTATCTTTAAGAATCATATTGGGTTGTTCGGAAAGCATTTTCTTCCAAGTGAAAATGAAAAGGGATTTTCATATATTGCAAATAAATAAATGAGGTGTCCAAAATAAAAGCAGTTCGAAAATATAAGAGTTATCACTGAAATCTATAAGTAAAATATAAGTCATGATCGATGTTATAAATGTTTTAGGAAACACTTTAATTTTGACCACCCGTAAATTCTCCATACTCATTCAGTACCTTTCACCTCCTATCTGGTTACCTATCTGGTATTTTGTTGTCTACCAAATATGTAAGAGGTCCTACGCTATCTTGGTGGAATATTAAACGTTTTCTATTTATCTATTTTTATTACGTTTCCCATTGATGGCATTTTCTGTTTGAGTATATGTTTCAATTCTTCTATCTAATTACACGACCTTTCAAAATTGATCATGATATAGCCAGTAAAAAAAGCGACTTCTTTGAAATCATATTTTCATATCTCACTTTTAATAGGGCATTAAACAAGAATTATTACGCAGTATCAAAACAAACATTTTTACAAACAAGTTTTGCTAAATCAGCTGTGAAAATATATAACATCGCGGGACTATGTCATAACATGTCAAGTAAAAAGTTTAAAAAAATGAGGTTACTTTTCAAACAACCCATTATAAAATTTGAAATCCATTGAAAATTAATCATTTGTTAAGTTTTTTTTTTCAAAACTTCATAAATTTACTTAGAATTTACTTCATAAATTTAAGATGTTACAGAACTAATAAAATATTATGATTCAAAGATTTTCTTACTTGTAGGAACAATTTTCACTGAAGTATGGAAGCGCAAGCAGATATCTCTTGCCAGACAGTGGTTTGTCGATAACTTTGATCATGTTGAACCCGACAGACCACAATTTTATGGCACAACAACACAAGTGAATCCATTTACGATGCAGTTATTACAGATATATCCTTTCTACAGAAGATTATTTAAGTACCTGTTTTCGATATCCATACTTTTAGTTATGGTATGACTACAATTGTGCTTTCTATTTTAATGGAAACAGAAAAAAAATCATAACTGTAAAATTGCCGTCTTAACAGCACACTGCTTAAAAAAAATTCTGTTATATTACGGAAAATTTCTGGCAGCAAAGTTGCCAGCGTATGCTACGGAAAAACACGTTGACAAAAATTTCCTGAAACGAAACACTATAGAAAATATCTCACCGCACCAAATGTTTTCCGTATGTAATTAGCGGAGAAATTTGGCATGACCCTTTGATTTATCTAGTGATAGTTCTAAAATTTTGATTAGTTTTTTAATTATTCTAATTTTTGCGTGACTTTTCGCGGTTTTTGAGATATCGAAAATCATCACATTTGAAAGAATCGTCGTAGAGTTTTTTTTTTCGTCGATCCTGGAGCGTTGTTGTAGTTGTAGTTAACTTACGTCGCACTAGAGCTGCACGATGGGCTATTGGCGGCGACGGTCTGGGAAACACCCCTGAGGATGATCCGAAGACATGCCATCACAATTTTGATCCTCTGCAGAGGGGATGACACTCCCGCTTCGGTAGCCCGACGACATACACGCGAAGGCGAGCACTTTACGGTAATGCAGTTTAACGAGAACCAATACCGCACACCCTCGGTCCCTAAGCAGACTGATCCAAGTGGTCACCCACCAGCACACTGACCGTATCCAGTGATGCTTGACTTCGGTGATCTGCTGGGAACCGTGTCTAAACGATCAGTCCACTGCGGGACATCCTGGAGCGGGATTGGAACCCGGGACCTGACCATTGGAAATAGATCGGATGAAACCTTAACCATCATACATTTAGTAGTCATCTTTTCAAAATATCAAATTATTTATAGCCACTTTGATACCAAAGTTTTGCATATTCGGAACTGAAAAAATCTCTCCCCTACGGACATAATCTGTATCAATGATTGCAGATTTTATTTCTTAACTGAAAAAATGTCTTTTTGACAAATTTCGATGTAGTTTAACGGTAAATGTCTGTAATTTTAGGGAACTGAAATTTTTCGCCTGAAAGTTACAGAATTATCTTTTTTAACAGAATTTTTTTTACAGTTCACATGAAACTGATAACATGATAATTTTTAATGTGCAAACAAAAACGAGCCTATAATGTCAAATTTAACTACATATGAAACCCATTTAATAAAACTAATTATAAATTATGCATAAAAATCAGTGTTTTACAGACAAAACTATTATTTTATCTGCAATATCCCAACCACATCCCAATATTTATTTATTAATATGCAGCATTAAAAATAAATATTTGCTATTAAAACTTTTATTTTAACTGGAAGGCTCCGCCACCTGTTCGCTTCCCCACTGACTTCCATGGTTGATTCTCATTCATAATTGAAGATCAGGGGGAAAGAATGGCTAATGTCCATTTCTTGCAAAAATTATATTTGGATTGCCATCAATTGTTGCATTTTGAGGATTACTAAGTTTTGGTAAATTATCAACATAAAAAATCAGTTCCCGTGCGAGTTATTGCACACAGATGGGTCTCGCTGAAGAGAAACTATTAATCTCCATACTCAAATTAATTGTTCAGAATCAGCCTTCAGAAACATTAATCATTCTTCCCCCTTGATTTGCTTAAAAGATTTTTTAAAAGTCGATAGAAAAGACCACTTTTGCTAAAAAGCTATTTTGTCCTACGAAAGTGATTTTAGTGATTCATGGATTTTATCGGACAGCCCCAGCTCACTACAACATCTAAGTGACTGGTCCTCTGCAAGCACTGAAACCAGCGTTTTTATTCTACACAAACTAAGGACAATCTCTAAGAATCACGATATCCACCTCCACTGGATTACATCACATGTCGATATTCGCAGCAATGAGGTAGCGGATCGATTGGTGAATCAGTCACTGGCTCCTCACTTACGGTTAGCCTGATGGCAAGGGGGCTCTAACCCATGAACCGTCTACCACTGGGGATATTTTGTGGCAGCACTGCGGTTGATGCAAGCCGGTGCGCAATTCGAATTGACCATCCATCGCTGAGATTCGAACCCGATTCACCTGATTGGAAGGCGAATGCTTTATCCCCTGAGCCACCACAGCCATCTGCTGGATCATGTGGCCATCTTAAGTGCCTTACTTTTGAGGGAGACAGAAAGATCTTTCCTACTTGCAAAAAATGTTGCGTTTAGCCAGCTTTGTCGGAACATATTCTAGTTTGCCTTGATCCTACCTCAGATTCCCTTCTTGCTCAGGATTTTCTGGAGCTTATGGAGCTTATCTGAACTGTTGCATATCCTCTTAATCTGACATGTGTCAGATTAAGAGGATAAGCAACAACAAACTTAAGAATGCAGAAATAAATGAGAATTCATTTCACTTGTTAATCTTAATAACGATAATATTATATCATAATAACTGTTCGCATATGAAACAGTTTTTACTTCTCTTCGGACTATATATTTTTAAAAATGTTTATATAAATGTTATGATTTATATCTGACGACATTTAATCTCTCTGTCTTACTTTAATTTTTTCTTGTCCCGCAGTGGACTGATCGTTAAGTCACAGTTCTCAGCAGATCACCGAAGTCAAGCATCACTGGCTGCGGTCAGTGTGCGGGTGGTTGACCACTGGGATCAGTCTGCGTAGGGACCGAGTGTGTGCGGTATTGGTTCTCGTTAAACTGTTCTACGGTGAACTGTTCTACCAACTTCGCTTGCAGGTCGTCGGGCTACCGAAGCGGGTGTGCCATCCTCTCTGCAGAGGATCAAAATTGTGATGGCATGTCCTCGGATCATCCTCATGGATGTTTCCCAGACTGTCGCTAATAGCACATTGTGCAGCTCTAGTGCAACTTAAATGAACTACAACAACAATCACTATTTATTCTTTTTATTTATTTCTATCAGTTCAATCACGAGATTATAAAATAAAAATTGCAAGAGAGTTAAATTTTTCGACAACAATCGATAAAAAATTTATTATCTCTGTATATTAAAAAATCGTAAAGGCCGTCGTCGACCCTGTTTTGGGTGTTTAACTTAATTTTGTTTTGCTGTGCAAAAGTTATAAAAGTAAGAAACTTAAAGTTACGAAGGTTTATAGAGAAATTTATAAGGAGTTTGATGGAATTTTAAAAAAATTGCTGNTGAATATTTCTTCCCCCTTGATTTGCTTAAAAGATTTTTTAAAAGTCGATAGAAAAGACCACTTTTGCTAAAAAGCTATTTTGTCCTACGAAAGTGATTTTAGTGATTCATGGATTTTATCGGACAGCCGCAGCTCACTACAACATCTAAGTGGCTGGTCCTCTGCAAGCACTGAAACCAGCGTTTCTATTCTACACAAACAAAGAACAATCTCTAAGAATCGCGATGTCAACCACCGCTGGATTACGTCACACGTCGATATTCGCAGCAATGAGGTAGCGGATCGATTTTTGAATCAGCCACTGACTGGCTCCTCACTTACCGTTAGCCTGACGGTAAGGGGACTCTAACCCATGATTCGTCTACCACTGAGGTTATTTTATGTCAGCACTGTGGTTCATGCAAGCCGGTGCGCAATTCGAATTGACCAATCATCGCTGGGGTTCGAACCCGATTTACCTCATTGGAAGACGAATGCTCTATCTCCTGAGCCACTACGGCCCTCTGCTGGATCCATGTGGCCATCTTAAGTGTCTTACTTTTGAGAGAGACAGAAAGATCTTTCCTACTTTCAAAAAATTCTACGTTTAGCCAGCTTTGTCGGAACATATTCTGGTTTGCTTTGATCTTACCTCAGATCCCTTTTTGGTTGAGGATTTTCTGGAGCTTATCTGACATATGCCAGATTAAGAGGATAAGCAGCAACAAACTTAAGAATGCAGAAATAAATTAGAATTCATTTCACTTGTTAATCTTAATAACGATAATATTATATCATAATAACTGTTTGCATATGAAACAGTTTTTACTTGTCTTCGGATTATGTATATATTTTTAAAAATGTCGATATAAATGTTAAGATTTATATCTGACAACATTTAATCTCTCTCTTACTTTCTATTTATTCTTTCTATTTATTTCTATCAATTCAATCGCGAGATTATAAAATGAAAATTGCAAGAGAGTTAAATTTTTCGACAACAATCGATAAAAAATTTATTATCTCTGTATATTAAAAAATCGTAAAGGCCGTCGTGGACCCTGTTTTGGGTGTTTAACTTGCTGTGCAAAAGTTATAATAGTAAGAAACTTAAAGTTACGAAGGTTTATAGAGAAATTTACAAGGAGTTTGATGGAATTTTAAAAAAATTGCTGTCAAATAATTCGTTCATGAATTATTTACTGCTAAATGTTTAAAAAAAAATTCTTGTTAATTCTTGTAAATAAAAATTCTTGTTAAAATTATGATACAAAATGATCTTCTCAGCACATCAAATTTCAACTCAGTAGTTGCATTTCAGCTTACAGTAGGTCGACCAACATGGTTTTCTTTTACTACAAGTTTAACAATTAGTAATTCTTGAACTAATTGCCAAGTCTGAAATTACTTTATTCCATTAAAGTATACGTACTTTTTTCTATAAACATACGTAATTTCAAGTTTCTAAGTCTTAGAGATTTTGAGCATCAAAGCAAAATGTCAAATAAAACAATAAAAGAAAGAAAAAAATTCCCAAAAAAGGAAGAAAAAAAGACACTTAAAATTGCAAACAGTCTTTCTAGTAACGAACTTTCTTAACTTTCGAACAAATTGCAGCTGCGAAAAAGAAAAAAAACTCTGTGTTAAGTTTATAAACAAATGTAGTTCTTTCAGCATGCCGTGTTTCAACTCTCTTTTTGTATTCTTACTCCCTTCAGAGCTGCTCGTATGATATTTTTTCTAAAAACGGTGTGTTTTTTTTCCCAAAGAAAGTACGTTTTTGTGTCTGATTTAGTAACTTAAAATATCATCTGCGCTAATTAATTAGCATATTTGAGATCATCGCCTCGAACTATTTAGATTGTCCTAGAACGTGAAGATCCGATCATTCGATCAAAAGTTAATTTTGTTGGTCCTCTTATTCTATTTTATTTTTTTTTCTACACACCTTTATAATCTCAAATTTTTAAGTCTAACAGTTTCTACGTTGCATAACAAAATGTAACTATTAAGTTGAACTCCCAAGATAGCGGTAGCGGCCCATGTGAGTATTGAACATTGAGCAAAAATCAGTATTCATTATTTTTCATATTTACTTAACAGAAATAATGTAAGTTCAGCTGCTGTATCATACTGAGTTGCTTAAGCCATTTTTTTTTTCATTTTTAACAGGTAGTATTAGTTTTTATTAGCGTGACATCTGTGATTCTCTATCGCGTTTACATGACGATCACCATTTGCGAAGATAATGCAGCCTGTGATCTCTTACATGGAACCATCATAGCTACACTACTTAACACCATTTCTATTATGATTTTAGGAAAGGTACATTAAGTTTTTAATTTAGTAATAATTTCCTTATTGATAATTTCGCTACTAATAATTTCTTTATTTACAATTTCTTTAATATTAATTTATGTTGTAATAATTTTGGTTCTTACCCATTTCACCAGCGCTTAGTTTTATTTACTTATGTATTTATTTTATTTTATAACCATCGTTGAACAGCCGACCCAATTTTTTGGTTTACGACTACTAAAGTTCAACTCCGTAGCCTTGTAATTTTGAACCCGATCCAGAAGACTTACTGCCAATCTTGAAGAGCTGCTGGATTAAGTATTGAGAGAAATTTGCCTCCGTGGATGACTTTTTGATGGAACTATCACGCTATTGCGTGACATGGAGAGGAAAACCTCCATTGGTTAGCCTGACTGCAACGGGACTCTAACCCATGATCCGTCTACCACTGAGAACATTTTGCGGCAGCACTCTGGCCAGATCAACCACTCAGCCGTATCAACCATTCCGGAATCCGTATTGTGGAAACCGTATCGACAAGCCATCAATGGGATTCGAATCGGGTTCACCTCATTGGAATGCGAACGCTCTATCCCCTGAACCACTACGGCTCTTATGCATTTTTATTTTGCAATTGTCTTTGAACAGCTGAAGCAATTCATTGGGTTTTCGACTGCTAATGCTCTACTTCGTAGCCTTGCAATTTTGAACCTATTCCAGAAGACAGGGTAACTGCTGGATCAAGGATTGGGAGATATGTGCCTTCGTGGAGGACTTCTTGATAGAACTAACCCGCATTTTCGTTACATGGTGAGGAAAAGTACGAAAACCTCCCACGACTATTCTGCCAGTAAGAGGACTCTAATCCATGATCCATCTACCACTGAGGATGTTTTACGCCAACACTGTGGTCAGTGCAAGTCGTATCGACCAGCTATTGCTGGGATTTGAACCCGGTTCATCTCATTGGAAGGCGAACGTTCTATCCCCTGAGCAGACATGGTTCCTTATGTATTTTTTGTAGTTTTCATTTATTCAAATAAATAAATTTAAAAATAATTTAAATTTTCTGTTTCCTCATTAGTAACTTTATCATCCGCGCGCTGAAATGGGTAAGCACCATAATTTCTTTATTAGAAATTTTTTTATTAATAATTTGATATAAATTAATTATTCATCATTCACGCTATATTTTTCAACATAGTGCTTTCAGTCTATTATTATATAAAATCTAGTCGTCAACAAAAAATAAATTTTTGCAGCCAAACCTAATTCAGTGAAACATTATATTATACCAATGTATCTTAGGAGGTATACTACTTTACTCAGTATATTGTGATAAATTGGTATGATTGGAATAATTTCTAAGCATTTTCTATGAACTGAACTTATATAATTTTATTAATAATTAACAGTTAAACAGTATTGATATCCACATCAGTCTAACTCGATTACTATTAAATTAAAAGCTTTAATCAAAATACAAAAAAACTAAGTTGTATATCCATTACCTTTGATCTTTTCTAATATATAGAAACTTTTGCATTGGAAAAAATAATATTTGTATATTTTATTTTAATTACTTAAATAATATTTAGTTAATGAATCTTAAAATTCTGTAGAAAAATCATTTCCTTTTAGATATATTCCCAAATCAATGTTTTGCTATGTCTATCATGTTTAATTTCATGTAATAAAGATAATAATTTTTTATCTGAATTAAAAATAGTACAATCACTTTTCCTCTTATCTAAGTTATTGAAGATAAAGATAATTTAAAATGATAGAGCTGAAAGTTAATTTGTTACTTACAAAAAATTAACGAAAGTTTTTCAGTGTGCTTATGAGTACAAAAGGATAACATATGCTAGAAACTGATAATGAAAATTTTTATTGCTCTTTTTCTAGAATTTCAAATTTTCTTTTTCTTTAATTTGAAATCAAATTTTCAGCATAAATCATCATTTAACTTCACAAAAATAATTTTTTCTTTTAGTAACATTCTATTAAAAAACTGAAAGGAATTTTTTGTACAATGCCCGTGAGTATTAATTTATTAAATAAAAACTACGAAAACGATTGATATTTTTTCAAAAATTCAAAAGAAACTTTTTAGTTTAAACCATTACAATGATTTATATTCATTTCTTACTATAAATTATCTATTAACTTTATGAAGTGCAAGCTCCTAATAAGTAAGCTTAAAAATTCTTCATAATCTAATTCTTCTTTCAAAAAGGAACAAATGGTTTTAACACACTATCTGTAATCACATAGACTTGTTTTAAGTACGATTCAAACAAAACCAAGACCATTAATAAATTCTCATAGCAAGCACAAGAATTTTTTTTCAAAAATTCAGAAAAAATTTTCACTTTAAACCATTGCAATGATTTATATTCATTTCTTATTATAAATTATCTATTAACTTTATAAAGTTCAAGCTCCTAGTAAGTAAGCTTAAAAATTCTTCATAATCTAATTCTTCTTTCAAACAAATGGTTTTAACACACTATCTGTAATCACGTGGAGTTACATGAACCACATACGATTCAAACAATACCAAGACCATTAATAAATTCTCATAGCAAGCACATGAATTCTCCCCAATAGACAATGACATAAGAGTCACGTTTACAACAAATAAAACTAGGTTATATGAGTTTTTATTCTTAAACTAGTCATTGTTATTCTATTCCCGTTGAAAACGTAAAACTACGTGAGAGTTTAAAAAGGTTAATGAACTTGCCTAGAATTTATTTTAAAGCATTAATTTAGATCGAAAGTTCATTACTATTATTCTTTGTTCATTAATTTTCAATAAATGTAAAAAGGGACCGTTGATGAGCGATTCAACAATGAAACAAGGAGAAATTATCTATTCTACAGATAAGCTGCTGCTACTTCCTAAAAAAAAATATTAAACAAACAGATACTCGAAATAAAATAACACATGGATTTCTTTATATCTTCGAACTAACAAAAGCTATTTAATGGAAAAAATTATGAACACTTATTCTACTAAAAGATCTTCATTCATTTACACAAAAGTATTTTATGAGAGCTATAGTAGTTTTGAGGAAATAATATTCAAATAATATGCCTAAATTATAGTTCTTTTTTTTTCATATTACTATTTCTTTACGTAAATTTTAAAACGTCTATGTATCCTATCTCGGTTTTTTAATGGAATTACAAATTTTAACATTATATAAAAATGTTTTCATCTAATCTAAAACAAAATGTCTCTTTGCGATTTCTACTGAGTAAAAAATGAAAAAATATGTAGTAATAAACAATTTTTAAAGTGTATTCCTGCAAACTTGGTATTATAATTGGGTCATGTTTAAAACAGCATTCGAATTTAAACTGAATTGAAACAAGGCATACAGGAAAGAAAAACTCTTTTGTAATATCAGAAGTATATCAAAGATGAAAAAAAAATGTACAGTATAAACTTATTGGCAAATTTTAAAATGGCTCCGTTAATACTATTATAAAAGATACCAAAACTCGAGAACTAAAAAATATTTATCACAATAGCGAATCTAGGAAAAACTATTCTTAATATTGAATAATCAAACTTCGCAAGCTTCTTATAAGAATTTTTTTCACCCAGCTTTAAAAAAAATGTAGAAAGATTTTATCAATATAACTTTGCTACATAGGGATAGAGAATCGATTAATAAAACTCTTATTAGTAACTATTGAATAATAAAAAGTTGTATCTGATTAACCTGTCGACGCAGATAGGATAGCGGTGTTCTTTATAAAAAAAAATTCTGACACTCTAATTACAAGTAAAAATATTTTTTTTAATTTTTAAATTATGAAAAACAGTCTAATAGTTACTAAAAAAATTAATTAGATTATAGAAAATTATATTTATACTAAAATTACCAAAAAAAATCGTTTTAAAAAAGTTTATTCTTATTCAAAAATTTATCAATAATTGATTTTGTTAATTAAAGAAATTTCAATGATGAATAACTGTTTCTTTTAGATCTAAAAAACTGAAAATAAATGTGATTTTGAAAAGTTATTGTTTGGAAGTGAGCCGTGTTTGGTAGATTTTACCTTTAACACAGAAAAAAGACATCGGTGTTTTATTCTGTATTTCATAATCATAATTTATTAAAATACTCATTATAATATTTTCTACTAATTTTCACCTGAATTATTACAAAATTATGAAAAAAAGTATGAAAAATATGCTTAATGAAAATTCTGCGCCAAAGGTTTAAGATGAAATTTTATTCTTTAAATTCGATAATTTTTTTCTATAAAATGTATTTAAGTCATAATGAAAATGAAACACATAATTAAATACAATTTTTCAATTTATTCCATTTTCAGCAACCATAATTCAAACATATTTTGCTCCAATGATTCCTTATCAGTTCAACAATCGAGTTCAAATTTCATTAATTGACACAATTATTTTACATAAAAAATCGAATTATTTTATGCTAAAAACATCGGTGTTTATATCTAAGATGCTAATAAGTTTTAGTTATATTTGTATTGTTTTATACATTTATTATTATCCTTATCACAATGTATAACTAAAAAGTTTTCTTTTTTCTTTAGATTTACGAATATATTGCTGTAAAATTGACTGAATGGGGTAAGTGCTTTTTTATAGCAGTTTTATATTCTTAGTAACTGCAAGAAAAAAGACAATAGAGAATATCTTTAACCAACCTATAAAAAAAACATCATTTGTTATTGCTGCAAAAAAAATTTCCTTTCTTCTAAAAATTAATAAAGTGGCTATTCAAAAAAATTTAAAAGGCTACAAATTTTTTAAAACGAAAAATAAATAAAAAATTACTTTTGCATTTTCTGATTTAATGATTTCCTAAAGAATTTGTGATAAATTTTTCAGAAAAATCATGTTCAAGTAAATAAATGGATTTTGAAAATTGGGAAATTTTAATTAAATGAAAGTAATATAGCAAATAAACAATATGTAATCCATTTAATAATAATACTGAGAAAAAAAAGGTACGGTCAACACTACCAGAATACGGTAAAATTTATCGAGTTTCTAGTTCTATGGGAACACCAAAAAGCTCGGTAATTTTTACCGAAGCGTTTTGGTAGTTATTTTGGTTAGTTATATTATTATTATTTATATGATTATATTGTAATTATTTGGTTATTAATAAAATATGGCTTTATGATAAGTGATAAAATTTAAAATGTGGTAAAATTTAGTAACTTTAACATGGTACGTTCCTTAGAGCTCATGGCGTAAAAATTATTTATTTGGTTAAATTTTCTCTTAAGTTTTGCATGTTTTACTAAAAGTGAGGTAATAAGATTTATAGTTTTGAAAATCAGAATTTTTGGTAAACCATTACCATGTGAACGAAAAATTTACCAAATAAATAGTTTAAATGCTTTGATTGATAGTTTGATTTTATTGACCTGAATTAAGGTTCTTTTACCAGAAATGTCGTTACCATACACGGAGAAAAAAAAATTGTAAAAATACCATACTGTTTGGTAATAACATTTCTGGTAAAAAAAATAATAATAATTCTGGTTGATGAAACCAAAATGTACGTTATTTAAACCATTCATTTTGTAATTTTTTGGCAACAGTTTACCGTAAATTCTATGGGTTACTCCTGGGATTTCTCAAAAAAAATTATAGTCCTCGCCAATAATTTACCTCCATAAAATTACTTTCCAATGGGAAAATAATAACTAGCATACTACTATTTTTAACCCTTTGTTTTTGTTTAATTTCTTGCACGAAAATAAAAGGAATCAATACAATTCAATGTAATTCAAATTCAGGGACTTTCGTTACTCTTCCAACAGGTGACACCCCAAGTTACATTACCACCCATTTAGTAGTAATTACAAAACTGAATGGTAAATTTAACCGAATAATTATGTTTTATGCTATTCTCTAAGCATGATAAAATTACCGAATATCACCAGGCTTTACTTCACTTAATATCAAACATACTGTAAAAAACCATTTATATGGTAAAAAAAAATATTTTATTGCTAATTTTACCAAAATTAGTTCCAAAGTGCTTCTGTAAATATTACCGAGATTTTGGTGTTCCCACAGAGTCTGAAATACGGTAAATTTTACTGTATTTTGGTAGTTTTGACCATGCTTTTTTCTCAGTGTATAGTAATTTTATAAGAATTTTTTTCTCCAAGTACGAATTCAATAAAATCAGTTATAAATTATTCCCTATTTTGAGAATATTTAACATTTTTTACGGGTTCGGTATAAGACTTTAAAACATCAAATAAACTACAGAACAAAAACGAGTTGATAGTTTGTCTACTTAATTAAGAGAGTTCATAGCCTCCCAGTAGTGCACCTCCCTGTAGTGTAATTTTTCACTGCTGGATGACAAACTTAACAATTAGAAAGCGGCATTCGGCATGATGGACATAGAATTGTCAGAAAATGAATAAAATGGACAGAACGATATTTCGTCTGACCATTGCAGGGGGGGGGGCTTAATAGCTAATTTAGATTCTGATTCTAGTCATTTTTTTTTTGTTATCTGTGTATAATGAGGTAAAAAATTTAAATACCTCCATGAAGGTCAAATCTTCATTACTGAAGTAGTAAAGCAGAGGGGGACCCCCAAAGAAGCTTTCGCCCTGGACCCCAATTAGGCTAAGTGGGGGCCCTGATTACACCACCGCCTAAGAGGCTTTCCTAACAATTCAATTAATAGAATTTTAGATTCTAATGAGTTCCAGGTTGTGATGTTTAAACGACAGAAGCCCCGTTCATATATACCCAAGAAATCAACTGTTTCATTACTGTGAACTCCACGGTGTTCAATAATCCATCAAACATTAAAAACATTATCAATTATTTTAAATTTTAAAAACTTATGCTATCTAAATTATCATCTCGAATTGCATGCAATTTAAATCGAAAACAAAATCAATTAATTGAAATATGTCATATTGGTATTGCATTTAATGTTTATCATAGAAACGAGATACGTTATCTATAATATTACGTCATTAAGTTTGTTTGCACGCTATCATTTTTTACATTCATCCAGCAATCAATTTGAAACCACCAAAGGCTGCACGATAAACAACGATTACTAGTTTTGTTGCCTCGGAGACCTTTAATGATTCCAGTGAACACTTTATTGATCCAGAAATAATCATTCAATGTTCAATTCTATGCTAAAAATTCTGCTGTTTTGTACATGTTGTTATGTTTTCGAAACAAATTGATCAGTCTGCTACTGTGAAGAGTTCACTGACTGAAAATCATAAAGTGCATAAATCTGATATGACATTCTTATTTCAAAAGGAAAAAAAATAGAATTATAATTACTTGAATAACTTTTGAACAAAATCCTTACATTTTTTATACAAATTTATTTTTTAATGTTTTCAATTAGCTTTGAGAAGACAATGGCTTGATCAAATAATTTTAAATATTAATGAACCGAAAAATTTTAAAATTTAAGAGAACTTTTATAATTTAATTTTAAAATCAAAATTGGAAAAGGGAAGCTATGCACTGAAAGATAGGATATTTCAACATCCCTAGGTTAAATAAAACTAGAAAAATAAACTTACCTTTGAACTTCTAAAACATTTTCTGATAAATCTAATAATGTAAAGCCATCAGAAAAGGCGTCGAATATTGAAATATAAAAGATCACAATTCAAGAAAAAAGCTTGTAAGAAAAAAAACTTTGTACCGTAATATTAGTTTGTCATAAATAATTAGAATAACGTTTCTAAAGTTTCCACCATTAGCAATTATTTTCCAGAATTACAATTATGATATCTCACAAATCAGTATTACGAAAGCAATTAAAATTAAAGTAATGTACTAAGTGCTAAATAAACTGAAAAATGTATAGCATTGCTAAAAAAGTGGAATTTTCTAAAACATATTGCTTTTATGGCCAAAAATGATTAAGAAATAGTACTATCACAAGTGCTTTGAGATTTTTCGCACTATTCATACAGGATACTTTGACAAAAAGGTGCCTCTAAACCTACTTGTACTTTCTGAACCAGGGTCGGGATAACCTGGTTGGAAGGATGTTCGTGAGCACGGGAGTTCGAATCCCGTCTGCCGAAGAAATCCCGTATATTTAATGGTAACTGGTGCGTGTTAAATCTGTCGGGGTTATAAAGTCCTCCAAGTTCCCACAACAAATCAATACCTCTGGGGGTGAGCCATGTTGGCTCAGGGGATCGCGCCCACCATCCAATGAGGTGAACCGGGTTCGAATCCCGGTGATGGCTGGTAGATACGAATTCCGCATACGGTGCTGACGTAAAATATCGTCAGGGGTAGACGGATCATGGGTTGGAGTCCCCTTGACGTTAGGCTAACCGAGGGAGATTTTCGATGTTTTCCTCTTCATGTAACACAAATGACGGTTAGTTCCATCAAAAAGTCCTCCATGAGGACAAATTTCTCCCAATTCTTTACTCAGAAGTTCCCTTGTCTTCTGGATTGGGTTCGAAATTACAAGGCCACTGAGTTGAACATTAGTAGCCGTTAACCCAAAAAATTGGATTGACTGTTCAACGACGGTTATAAACTAAAATAAAAAAATACCTCTGGGGGTACGGAATTGGAGATTGATCGTTCTCAAGTTCAGGTCAAAATTACGCTCTCTGAATGAATGGAGTATGATTGGGTCCATCCTCTTGTGACGCCTGTGTGGCTGTGTCATAGTCTTGACCATAGATTGTGTCACTGAAGAAAAAAAAATTCGCTTGATTTCAAGTTGATTGGGAGTGCCATAAGTAGCAATATAAAACTTTATATACCTAAAATTATCTCAAAGAAAATTTGAAAATCGGAAAACTTGTTTGACATTTTTCATATAATAAAGAGTTTTCATTATGATAACTCGTTAAAATCTTTTATGTCATCTGATGTATATGATGTTTATGAAAATAATAAAAGCTAATTTCTTAAATAATATTTTTGATGTCTCTAAAATATTGCTAATTTTTATTTTCAAAACTTTACCTCTAAAATATTTTCACACTTTCCAGAGAATCATCAAACATTGAGTTCACATAACGATGCCTTAATTATCAAGTTATTCGCATTCCAATTTGCCAATACATACACTTCTCTTTTCTATACAGCTTTCTTCAGACGCGTAAGTATTTCTGCTTATTTAAAGTGTTTTATTAACTTTGTATACTTGTTAATTTTTAAATTATACTATATCTTATGACCTCTACTCTTTTATCGTATTATTTATTAAAATTATTTATTAAAATTATTTTGTGTGTTAAAACTAATGGCTCTGGAGTGCTCCAAGGGTATAAACTAGTTGTTTTCGTCTTAAGAGTCAGATAAACTTCATAACACTATAATAACATTATAATCATAAAATAATTTATTACACCATATAAGCTTATCCATATTAAGTAATTATTATATTTATGTTTGGTGCTGAATAACCGATTCTGACTCTTGAGCCATATTCAGCTCAGCTTAACACTTAATAAAATAATAACCTGAAGTCGCATTTTCGAGAAATATCATAAAATTGTTTAATATCATATAATGCTAGTGTTTCCAACCTGTTTTTATCGCAAACCCAAAATAAACGTTAGACTAGACTCAAAGATATATTTTGAAATTGACGATGTTTTTAAATATCCCTTAATGTATAAAATACAACAAAAATTTCAATTTGCAAAAAAACCAATAGATTAACAAATGATTAATCTGAAGAATTATCTATAAAATGAAACAATAATAATAATAATAGCAAACTCATGAATGAAACTCTCCCTTATGAAGATTCAGCAATTCTTGAGCTGTATTTCACCATTTTTGACTATCATTTCGTCAAAAAAATAACTTATTTTTGACAAACGTACTCTTTAATATTTAGCAAAACTGTTTCTTTACTCGCGTGTTGTCTAGATTCATTCTTAGAGCTTATGTTGTTTCCTATGTGTATGGTCTCACTCTTCAGGCAAATATCAGTGTAAACTATAGTGTCCACAACTATCATTCGAACTTTACGGTAAATTATAAGCAAAAATAATAGTCTATGTTTTCAAAGGAAAAGTAAGTTTTTCTTTTAATATACTCTGTGGCAACACAAGCTGTTTTCTAACATTTTCCTGATTTTGAAATCTATTGCATAGTATTTTATGAGATGGGACAGGTTCTTACTTTAAAACCTGGTTTCCCGGGTACAACTCTTGTCGACGACAGAATTGACTCATTCGCTCATATTTCTTTCTTGACCCAAATCTGTGTGTCATTTGATACGTTGCATCAAGATTTTTCATGAAATTCGGGTTTTCAAGCGAAGAAACAAGGAATTTTTCTCAATTTTACCAAGTGTTCGCTCTGAGAATTTCCAGTTAATGGGTTCGAAAAATATAAAAATTAACTCATATACAGAGTTATTCACCCTCCACCTGTAAACGCCATTTTTCTTTGCTGCAACTGGCCTCAGTGGTACATGTTACTGCCATCTACCGGCAACTGCTTAAATTAAAACTTGAATACTTTCTGAATAATTTCATACGTTCTTTATTGCCATATTCGGCTTCGTTTTTTTACTATAACTCTTCGAAATTCCGGAGGGAATTATGAATAACCCTGTGTTAGAGTACTCATTTTTTTACAGTAAACCTATAAAAATTAACTCATATACAGAGTTATTCATTATTCCCTCCACCTGTAAACGCCATTTTTCTTTGCTACAACTGGCCTCAGTGGTACATGTTACTGCCATCTACCGGCAACTGCTTAAATTAAAACTTGAATACTTTCTGAATAATTTCATACGTTCTTTATTGCCATATTCGTCTTCGTTTTTTTACTATAACGCTTCGAAATCCCGGAGGGAATTATGAATAACCTTGTGTTAGAGTACTCATTTTTTTACAGTAAACCTGTGGCGTAACTGTCCCCCACAAACCATCTATTAAAACCGGCTTGATAACTTAAAATCAATTATAAAATTTATAAACTGAATCTGCATGCTCTGGTTTCGTTACGTATTTAAGGTAAAAAAATGTGTTTGATATAAAATAAGTTTTAAAAAAATTTATTAAAAATAAAAACGATTTATTTTTTTCTTTCGGAAAGAAATTGGTTACTCATTAATAAGCATGATTATTTTAAAAAGTATTCAAAACGTTAACAATTTAAGAGAAAATTACGTATAACTGCTTTTGATCTTAAAAATAATCGATATACAATTATGAATAAAACGTATTTTCAGGATCTTGGCAGCGGAACTGGAATTATGGGATTGGATAAGAAGTACACAGACAACTGCGGACATATAGAAAACGACAACTGTATGTCTTTACTTTCGTTTCAACTGTTGGTTCTAATGGTTGTAAAACCGTTACCAAAGTTTATTAATGACGTTGTTTTACCGTAAGTATACCAAAAAGTACCGTATTATCAGTAACATGATAATTTGTCACAGTTTTCTTGCAACAGAGGTTCAGATCCCTACATAATGTTTGGAAAAAAAATTCCTAAAAAATTCGAACATCTCAGTAATCGGATTTTGTTGTAGGATGAGCTTGAGTTATTGACAGATAAATTTTCTGATTATCCCTCTAATTTCTGACCTGCAAAGTAAATAAAAACAAGAATTATATGATATCCAGAGAATGAAAATTTCTTCTAGTGAATTGAATTAAGAAAATTCCTTCCTCGAAGAGAACTACAAAAGCAGTTCTAGGTGTAAGCGCTGTGAGCATAGGTTGGGGACCCCTAGTTTTATTTACTGAGGTTATTTTCTCATGAATTGAGTATTAAATAAAAATATGAAAAGTAGTGGGAAAACTCACCCAAAAAAATGAAAGTTGGTTTGGTGCGTAAAAAAAATGACTTTTCTTCTAATGATTGGATTTTCATGAACTAAGGACCAATCTTAATGGTTCAGAGGGGTGATATTAAATATGCAAATTATATAGTGCTAGCTATGAAGTTGCCAAAACAGACACAAAAACGTACTTTTTTTAATAAACATCCCTTTTTTGACGGATTTGGATTTTGGACCACGAGGTCATGAGAGGTAGCCATTTGGACCATATAAGAGAGGTAACGTATTTCACTATATCTCGGAAAGTTCTGAATCAAACATTTAAAATGAATCAAAAACGGAATGAATCAAAACGTTTTCCCACGCATCCTAAAATTCGTCTATCAAAGAAAATTCTAAGAGAAAAAACAAATTTTATAATTATTCACAGTTATTTTTTAGTAAAGGTTGATAAAATTTTTGAATTGAAAGACATAAAAATTTTTGAACCATTTTAAACGACAAAATACAAAACTTGAACGAAATCGGTGTAGTAGTTCTTGAAAATGAAGATTCAAAAATACAGCTTTTTGAAATTTTGTTACTTACAAACCATTCGACCAACATCGCTCAAATTATGTACATCGACACTTAAAATTACATAGTTTAAAATGGTGTAAAAAAATTTTTACCTTATTTTTTTTTAAAAAATTGATTATTATTAAAAAGAACAATAAGTAATTTTTTTAATTTACGCTTGTGAAGAACCGGAAATATAGTGAAATACGGAAAAGGGGGCATTAACATCGAGGGGTCTAAGCTTTCAATCTTCCTCCTGACTTAATTATTAGAACCCAAATGTTCCAGATTGCAATTAACTTCTTTTATTGAAAATCGAAAATCCGAAATCACCGAAAAAAGGGTATACTTATTCAGAAAACGTACCTTTTGTGTCTGTTTCCATAACTTAGTTTATTGTTTAAATTAATTAATTACGATAAAAGAGGTCCGCCCTTCGAACCTTTAAGATTGGCACTGAGTTTGTGAATACACTATCGTTAGAACATAAGTTGGTTAAGAGTGGTCTTTTTTACTTTGCGCACGGTATAGGGACATTTTTTACACTCAACACAAACGTTGACGTACCATGTGTTTTGCTTGAATTCAGTGCTCGATATAATCTTTTTCCCTCTTAATAATGTAGCTATTATTTTACAATAATTGTTAATTTCCAATTTAACATAACTTAAGTTAAGTAACCCTTCAAACTGAGTAAAATGTAAAGCTATATTCAATACTTTTCTTACAGAAAGTTTAATTGTAAGTTGGACACCATTTCACCATTATAGAACAACAGCCTATCTCTCGCATATTGCTATTAAATAGTGTGTTATGTATAATATAGTTAATTCATTTTAATTACTTCACTGAAGAAACTCATACGTTATTAAAGCGAATTTTTTTTATTTTAATAATAAACGAGTTATTATGAATTTTATTTATTTATTTTTAAAATTTAACACATTGATCATATTATCAACAAGCAAATATTTATCTCCAGTTTAACTAAACAAAAATAATTATAAGTATTTAAAAATAAAATATAAATTGTAATAAGAATCCACATTTTTCAGTTTATTCGAATTTCAGAGAGATGTAAAATAATATCTTTCTTCGGCTCTCACAAGTTCACTCTTTGTTTTTGAAACATTTTTACCATTAAATTTACGTTTATAATCACAAAAAAATAACGTAAATATAACTATGCAACAAAACGTCAAAAGTCCGCTAAGAAAACGTTTTTAAAAAACGGTCGAAAAATGGGTAAAATGTGCACGTTAAAATAACGTATTATTAGTACGTATTTTTAACGAAATATTTAAAGGGAAAATTGATAAAGTTAAAATACCGTCATTTTAAGGTATACGTTTTAACGAATGAAGAAATGGGGAAAAACATCACGTAAAATTGACGTAATTTTAACGTTAAGTCCTAAACCTTATAACGAACGAACGTATTTTTAACGTTTATTTGCCCTTTCATGCTGCAAGTTTTTTTTTTTTGTATGGTATATTTAATGTTTAAGATTTTAAAAAAAATATTTCAAAATCACCAATTATTTACTTATTTATTATTTATTTATTTGTTATAGTTGGATAAAGAAACTTCTTCGTCGTTGCCGCTTTAACGAAATTGATGACTTCAGAACAGATGAAGGAGTATCCAAACAGCATTATTTATTAAGAGAAATGCTAAAACCATCAGCAGAAGACTTTCGCTTAGGAGAATTCACTGAAAAGATGATACAGTACGGGTATTTGGTGGTAAGATTATATCTATGAGTAATCAATTTCAAAAACTAAAATAATGTGTAAAATACTCTCCATGCAACATATTTTATTCATTCATTTCCAGCCACTCACCTCAATAAGTCTTTTTGTAAACTGGGGATAACCTCTCATCGCTTCACATCAATATGATCCAGATAATTTTAATCTTAAAAGAATTCACGAACGCTTCAGTAGTATCAGTTGAAGGAGTGAATCAATGGCGTCACCCTATGTTTCAAAAAATATTTTTAATTTCCCAAAACATATTATGATTTTTAGATGCTCTCAAGAGTGTCAGATGGTTTGGTTTTATAAATATAACATAAATTTCAGGAGTGCTTTTTTTTTAATTTAGTTTGGTTGCAGTTTTAATATTTTTGCATTTGCTAATGGAGGACACAAAAAAAAATCGTGATTAAAATCATAATTAAATATAAATTAATTAAAAATAAATTAATGCATAATTTATTATGAATAAATTAAAATAATATTAAAAATTTTCTTTACTATGTCTCATTAAATGTAATGGTAAGGCAACAGGTGAAAAATTCCGAACTTAGTACCATATAACTTTGCACTTATTTCGTATAAGGAGTATATGGTGAAGATCTCCATTCATTAGAAAAATAAAATTAAATTTTTACTCTTATTTTGCTAATAATTGAATTTATTTTGCTTTTAATCTTTAAAATGCTCTATAATGTATAGTTGGCGACACGATATATTTATGTCATAGTATTTTAAACATTTTTGCAATGTTTATCAAAAGTTTTGGAAATTAAATAAAATGTTTTACAATGATTTCAGAGAGCCGTAAATCTCCATATATTTTTGAAAATAAATAAGAACGAGTTTAGAACTTTAGATTTTATTAACTACTAATGATGTCTTCTTTATTTAATTAATTTATTTTGATTTAAAGGTCTACTTTTACTTTGTTGATAAATAATTTCAAACATGAATTTATTCTTTATGTTATAGCTATTCTGTTAATTATTCGAAAAGGAGTGTATCTGTCAATTATTCTGTTAATTATTCGAAAAGTAGTGTATCTGTCAATTATTCTGTTAATTATTCGAAAAGGAGTGTATCTGTCAACTATTCTGTTAATTATTCGAGTAGGAGTGTCTACATTTCTCTACAACGCTTGCACTGACTTTAAATATTAAGAAAGCTTTTCAAAGGGACATTCTAAATTAAGTAATCCAATTTATACAAATAATATATCATTCCAAAATGGATCGATAATAATAATAATTTAAATTGACAATAATAGTCGGTTCTTCGAAATTTTAAACTTAATTTTCCCCTTTAAACCAAGTTATTCAATTAAAAAATAATCAGAAATCGATTTATTATTTGATTATTAAGTAATTTGTAGAATTAATAGATTTTAGAATCTTAAGCATTCTACTTTCGCAAATACACATTTTTTTAAATTACTTGAAAATGGGAAAATCAATTTTAACTTATTTTAAATGGTTAAATAAATACTTTACAGTGTTTTTCTGAATCTGTTTTTCAGTTATTTGCTGCTTCGTTTCCACTAGCGCCAGCTCTAGCTTTGATGTTCAATGTTATTGACTTCAGAATAGATTCCAGACGCTTGCTATGGTGGAATAAGAGACCGACACCATACAGAGATAACGATATAGGTAATACAGACTTTCAGAGTTGCTGTTTAAATATTTTCCAAAATATTTCATTAAGAAACTGTACGAAATAAAAATAAAAAGAAGCTATTATAGCTCGCTATTAGAACATAAGTGGAACCATATTACATAGTTTTGCTTTATATAATATGGGAAGTCTCCAAATTACTAGTAAGTCTTCAAAAAGTTAATGGTATTTTAATGTTATGTCCAGGAGAAAAACATTATCTCTAGCTACAGAAGCCATTGAGAAAAAAAAAAAAAACAGCTGATGCATCAGGGGGACCAAAGAGTTCTATACATTTCGATATTCGTTATTTGTCTGTTCAATGTATACTTCAAAATCGTGACTTGCTTACTTCTGAATAATTAAATCTTATTTTCACTTATTTATTTTGGTGTAATGATCAATAAAATAACATTAAAGAGATCGAAGTGTTTTACGGCATCGTATGCTTTTTGAGTGCCACAAAGGTAGTGACGCAACAGTTGCTATCAAACACATCTGGCGTTACTTTCCTTACCCTGTAATATTCTTAAAAAATCGTGCTCAAGACTTTCAGATACTCTGCCTATAAACAGAGAACAAAAATTTATAAGAAAAAAATAATATGTGAGTAAATCAGCGTTTCTTATTTTCTCTCTCGTGTAGTAATTTTTGCAATTTTGAAACAATGATAATTAAAAAATCTACGCGTTTTCACGTAAAACATGTATCACAATAAAATAAGGTCCAAGCTATTTGGTCTGTATGTAATGTTTTTAAAATTAGGTAAAGTTTGTAGAAGTCGAAACAAATAGAAAAACTTCCTATCTGAATAACGGCAATTCCACAAAACTGTATTCGACATTTATTATTTGAAAAATATAGATATATATATATTAAAGGATTTTGGACCAAAACATAAAGCTTTTAGATATATAAAAAAATAAATTTTCAAAAAAAAAAATTACAATGTATTCAATTAAATAATTTCAACAGAACTGAATGTTAAAAAATCCAATTCAATTAAATAATTACAACGGAAAAATTTGATGTTTACGGAGGAAGATTTGATCATTTTTTAACTGCTTTGTCTGAAATCAACGACCCACCAAGCTTAGCAGTCGAAGCTATTCTGAAATAAAAATGCTTAGTAATTGCAAAAGAAGAGTTAATATGCACCTTCGCTACCCTGTCTCTACCAAAACGATTAATATACAATCCGTAAACTGAAATTTAAGTCACAATTTTTCTTAAATATAAGATGAGAACCAAACGTTAAGGTAGTAATTCTTTGAAATATTTCTCTCATAACGGAAAATTTTAACAGTCTTCGCATTTCAAAAAATAAAATTAAAAATGAGAATTAATACATCTATTTATAGAGGGCTCCGGCGGACCAAGAGACCAATCCTAGTTCGCGTCACAACCTTTAGGTTGCGACACGAATTAGCCCTATAGATACGATTCCTTTAATTTAAATGTGTTTTTCAGGTATTTGGTTCAACCTCATAGACTTCATCAATGTTTGCGGTGTCATCAGTAATTCATTTTTAATAGCTTTCAATTCGGAATTGGGACGAGATAGAGACCTCTGGATAAAATTTGCCATTATTATTGGATTTGAAGTAAGTATTATATGAATTCGAAGCATAAAATATAAACTAAATAAATTTTCAAGTAAAGTGACCTGTAAAAATTTTTTTTTTTTAATATTTATGCAAATTTACAAGATATTTATTCTCTTCTGAGCTTTTATTAATAATATGTAATAAAAACATAAAAATCGCTTTATATTTTCTTGAAGTCTCGGGATTTAAAAGCAAAAATGTTTCCTATTCTAAATTTGTATTAAAAAATTACACTGAGAAAGGAAAACAGGTGTTTAAAACATGACGAGAACTCTATGACACTGTCGTCCGGCAGTGGACTGATCGTTAAGACACGGTTCCCAGCAAATCACCGAAGTCAAGCATCACTGGCTGCAGTCAGTGTGCGGGTGGGTGACCACTTGGATTAGTCTGTGTAGAGACCGAGGGTGTGCGGTATTGGTCCTCGTTAAACTGTTCTACCGTAAAGTGATCGACTTCGCGTGCAGGTCGTCGGGCTACCGAAGCGGGGGTGCCATCCCCTCTGTAGAGAATCAAAATAGTGATGGCATGTCTTCGGATCATCCTCACGGATATTTCCCAGACCGTCGCCAATAGCCAATTGTGCAACTCTAGTGCGACGTAAATGAACTACAACTACAACAACTATGATAGTGTCTAGTAATTGTAAATGCTTCGGGAAGAAACTCGACTCTGTTATTTAAAAATTTTAATCACTTACTTTCCAATTTTAAGTGAATCAACCAGAAATATAAAAAAATCACCTTTTTTTTTTATTTGGTGTTATATATTATTTATAACTCGTCACTCTAAATAAAAAAGTTTTCGAAATTCATAGTCGCAAAAAAAGGTAAATTGTTATGTAAGAGTTTCATTGGCTTAACATATAGATACTGATGTTCTTGTATTACTCAGTTTATATATTTTTGCAAAGTATGTAAGAGAGTTAGTATTGCTCAGTTTATATATTTTGTTAAAACCTATTGTGAACTTAAAACAAAGAATAAGATTTTTCTTCAATGATTTTCAGCATTTCATCTTCATCATCAAGTTCCTAATTTCTCTCATCATACCTGATGTACCCACTTGGGTGAAAAATTCCCAGCGTAAGGTGAGTAAAAACATTTAATGCTTCAAACAATAGCACCAATTTTTGTTAATTTCACTTTTTTACATTTTTCGACATATCTTTGAAACTATTTAAGCGAATAAAAAGAATTTTGTCCCCGATTATAAAACTCGTTATTTAAAGATAATTCCATGTAAAATGTAATTTTTAAAAAAATATATTTCTTATTGTTTTATTTAAAATAGCACGAAACATTTTTTAAATTTAAGGGGGTAATACAAATTTTAACTTCTTTTAACTATGTAATGAGTGACAAATTTTGAAAGAAATTGACCAAACAGTTTCTAAGTAATGGAATTTTAAAAAAGTCGCATTTTTAAACTTTCATTCTTCAAAATCGAAGCTGCCGATTCGGATCAAATTCTGGATTTTGTCAGTTAAAATTACAGTTTGCAAATATAAGATTAATCATTTACCATACAATTCAAAAAAAATTTGTTCATAATTAAATTAAATATTAAAAAACAATAAATAATTATAAAAATTATTGTTTTATACATTGAATAATGAGTTTCATTGAATAATGATGTCTGGATTCTCTTAAATAGTTCGCCTAATTATCAAAAATAATTACGTAACACATTTAATATAGAAGGAACAATAATGTATGTAATTTTCGTATTCTGAATTAAATATTCTGAAAAGACCTTTATGACTTTTTACAGATCCGGTGAAAAATATACCATTATGTAATATAGTTGATAGTATGATCAATCAAAAAAAATTTTGGTTGTTCTTTCTTTATATTTTTTCTTTCCTCCAATTCTATTTCAGGAACGCTACTTACTTTCATATTTAATGTCAAAATTATCATTGCTCACTGAAGGAATCAGACCTGATCCAATTGACGAATGTTCCACCATGGACGGGATAGAAGATTTCCACATTGAGGAAGATGTCCTCCAAAAATTGAATTCGAATGTTCCTAATTCAAGGTGGAGTTATTGAAGATATGTTTCAATTCTTCAACTACTCTATCAATTCCCCTCTAAGAAAATAATACAGTTATAAAAATTACAATGTGACGAGAAAAAACTTGAACTTATAATCCAATTACTTATTAAAATATCTCAACCAAAACTTACGTCTATTTCTTTCTGTAACATAAATTCAAGTGATCATCTTTATCCTAATGAGGACCTTTAAACCTGCCACGAAATTTTCTTCACACAAGGATTTTTTTTAGAAAGTCTTATGAAGTTTCGCACTAATCTTTGTCTTTAAAATAGTAATGATCTAAGATAGACCTAACAGAGAAATCTATTGGTTTCAAATCTAGTGGATAAGGTGGTTAATCGTGAGGTATGAAAAAGTCAAGAAAATTTACTCTGCACCAGTCTTGAGTATCTTTAGCTTTGTCTGCTGAAGCTATTGTATGATCAATCTTTGGTTTACAAAGAACTTTTGTCACCAAAGATCCAAAATATTGCGAAAAATGTATTGTGTTTCAAATTTTGTTCAAGTTATTTCTTGTCACTCAATACGTTGTATTAATACATCTAGTCATTTTGTTAAAAATGCGTCGTTGTAAATAATTTAAGAAATGATTTCAGGAGAATCGATTTGTTTTTAACAACAGACTGTATTTATTGATTTCTCCATTAATTACTTTAATTTATAAAACTCCTTTACAAACAACATTTAACGTTGAAATTTAAACAAGATGTTGCGATTTAACACAATGTTAAAAAAAAATTATCTTTTGACAAACTTTTTTGTTTAAGTCAATATTGTCTTTAACAAAATTAGTTGGGTCTTTTAAATTTTACTTCATAGCTAACATAATAAATGAATTTACATTGATCATTATTGTATTGAACCTCTTTTGGACTTACTGGTAACTTTTTGAAAATAATTGCAGGACTGTAAATCATACCTTATTTCTATCACTTTTACAATTATATTTTCAACCTTTTTGAAACACGTTGTATACAAGGTTCTCTTCCGATAGAGGGAGACATTCCGGTGGTTAAACTTTCTTGGCTAAGTCAAACATATTAATTTACCAATAATAATCGCTATCTGATATTATTAATCATTTGATTAATCAAGGGATGTGAGTTCCATTGCCTGGTATACCCAACATTGATGTTTGTTTTTTTTTAAAGTTGAGTGCCACTGCCCGGGTTAAGGTTTGCCCGGAATACAACCCAACATTGATATTGTAAGGATTGGTATTGAATTGTCATTGATATTGAATTGCCATTGCCCCCGGTGCTCCAAATACTGACTGTTGAGGTAAAAGGTCACCTTTGTGGTCTCGAATTCGTTAATCGCAATTTTTTACGGCCCCTTTCAATGGAATAGAATCCAATCTGCAAAAGTAAATCCTATCATAAGATTCCCCACGTTTCGGATTTTTTACCGGAAGAAGTTTACCCGTAAAAGTCCGAAATGGAATTATATTTCGGACCCTAACTAGGCCACGTAGGTAAATCCTAGGTATTACCGGTAAAACCTAAGTTTTACAAAACTTGGGGCCTTTACAGTAACATATATATTCCTTTACTATAAGATTGCAACACTTTGAAATCACATGCATATTATTTCAAAATGTGCCTGTCATTTAAGTGTTAAATAATGAATTATTTCCCTTTTTTAACACAAATTTTATATTAAACTATAAAATAAAATTCTGTTGAAGTTCAAGATTAAACAAAAAGTTTTCCCTCTTCCAAAGAAGATATTAAAAGTTTTCGAGCACCAGACTACAACCGGACACACTCTGTTCGTAACAATGTATTCGTTTGTCTAGTTCCGAATCCTCCCACATCTCATAACATACTTTTTTTCACACACCATAACTTAAATCGCAAATTATTCAAGAATAAATTATTTTATCGGGAAAATATTTTGCGGCAGAAGAAATCTTTTTTAAATACTAAGACTGTCTTATAACATAATTTCAAAGTATAATTACTTAGCTTAAGTTTCCACACATTTTTACATCTGAATGATTTCGTACTTAAACAACAAAGTTTCAAAGTAACGTTCAAGTAAGATCATTTATACATCCTGATATTTTAAGTCCAGTCCCGTGTTAATGAAGCTAGGCTAAATAATTAACGAAGGCATATTTTAGTAAAAGGACACCTGACAAGGAGTTAAGCTTATTAAACAATATTTAGAATTCTTCTGTTATGTCATGTCATTAAATGATTGCCCTATCTAATAAGAATCTCATTTGAAATACGTGTACACAATGTAATAAACATTCGTATGTGTTGCATAAAGAATCATGCATAAGAAGCGTTTTTATTGCATAATGCCCAATAATTCACTTTTATCTTCTAATATTTCCGTATTTATATACATAATCTTGAATGTTGAGTTGTAAATTTGTTATTATCGAACTTGCCTAGAATACATTTTACTTGCATAATTCTGTCACTGCTCTGCTGGCTCCTTTTACTTTTTTGTTATAGAGCATTGAGTGACCAACCCTCATTTAGTAATTATGATAAGATTTAGTATATAAATACTTTGCATAAAAGGTCTACAACATTTTCTGTCATGTGGGCCACATCAAGGAAGTTAAATCCCTATGGCTACACACGTTAGATAACATAATATAGTCAAAGAAATTTATAAACAAGAGAGATTAATTTTATCTACTTTTAGCCAAGGGTACTAAGTTTTAATTTCTAAAATTATTGTATTTGAAAAAAAAAAACTAGGGACAAGTTATTTTATCACTTTTGTTTTCAATATGTTCAAATAAAGTATTATAAAACAGATAAAATATGATCTAACTCAAATACTATACTAAACGTATCCACAAAAATTACTTCATACACCAAAAAAGTGTAGCATAAATGTTACAAAAATTATTTAGTACATCATAAAAGTGTAGCAAGAATATCAAAAAGTTACTTAGTACAACTTAAAAGGAATGAATACCATTTCAGATTTGATGTGAGGTTCGATATTTGTGTTTAATAAAAACAAAATCGTGGAAATATTAAAATTAGCAGTTGATACTCTCTTGAATATACTCTCAAAGCACTTCTCAAATAGTCTAACATGTTCTTATTTACAATTTTATGCTCTTTGATCGATTAAGTGCTATTATTTCGGCCCTAACAATGTGGCTTACGAGACACAAGTTGAAGATTCAGACTAGTAGAGGATGCTCACGTTTCGATAAAATATAAAAACAAACTTGACTAACTTGTAAAATATGTTGACTAAACATTCTTTTTGGACAGTAAAAATCATATAGTTTGATATATATCCTTAGCTATCATCTATAACTGTAACCCAGTTGTTTTTGGTCACCCTGCATTTCAGAAAATACGAAACTCTGGAGCAAATTTGCATACTGCATATTTGTCAAATAAAATTCATATTTGTATAACAAAAGTAAAGATAACCTTTGTGCTGTTAAAAAATACTTAACAATACTTTCATGCAAAGACAAAAAATTTTTTGACAACTATCTTTTTTGACAACTATCAAGAGAGAAAACGCATTCAAGTATTCATGTACAAAAAGTTTATGTTATTGGGAAGAGGCACATGGATCACCTTTGTTACATTCAATTTTAATATTTTTATCGCGATAAAAAATTCCTTTCTGAATAATTCATATTCTTAAAAAATTTATTTCTCACAAAATCTTCCAAGTTTATACATTTAGCACCTTTTCAAATTTTGAACAGAGGTATTTCTTAACATTCAGAATGGAAGAAAGGATCCAGAAATTAGAAAAGCTACTTTAAATTTACAAGAAATTAGTTATGTTATTATTTACCATTTAGATTTCATTAAATAAATTACTCATTTTAATGAAATATTTTTTTTTTTCATTTAAAAATTATTTTTCATTTGTTTATTCAGACATAATATATAAACCTTTAATCCAAGTTAAACCAATTTATGTAAATTCTATGCAGTACTCTCTCATAAGTATTTATTTAGTTTGAATGCTATCATTCGTTTAGTGTTAATTGGTGATCAATTTTATTTATATCAAAGCTGTAAAGTGAAAAAAGAAATTTTAGTAAATAGATATGAATCACTAAAAGCTGCGTAAAAATGTTAGGAATCATGTTTAAATCTGTCCAAAATTAAGGTTACAAACATAAAAAGGCTTAATGTAAGGAATATATATATATTCGGGCTCGAAAAAACTCAGAAATTTTACCCGTCCTCCTTTGAAACTAACCCGTAGTTTCTAAATAAATAAAAATATCATTTTCTCTTATTTATTACAAACATTTATATAAATTGCACAATGAATTAGTAGTTACAAGGATTACAAATACTAGCATTGCATTATACAGTAATAAAAGAAATACTAGGTAACTAAAAGTAACCTAGTATTTCTTTTATGAAATAATTTATTTCTGTTATGAAATAATTTAAATGACANTAGCAATACTTTCATGCAAAGACAAAATTTTCTGACAACTATCTTTTTTGACAACTATCAAGAGAGAAAACACGTTCAAGTATTTATGTACGAAAAGTTTATGTTATTGGGAAGAGGCACATGGATCACCTTTGTTACATTCAATTTTAATATTTTTATCGCGATGAAAAACTCACTTCTGAATGATTCATATTCTTAAAAAAAATTTCTAGCAAAATCTTCCAAGTTTATAAATTTAGTACCTTTTCAAGATTAAACAGAGGCATTTCTTAATATTCAGAATGCAAGAAAGGATCCAGAAATTAGAAAAGCTACTTTAAATTTACAAGAAATTAGTTATATTATTATTATTTACCATTTAGATTTCATTAAATAAATTACTCATTTTAATGAAATTAAGTTTTTTTATTTAAAAATCATTCTTCATTTGTTTATTCAGACATAATACTTAAACCTTTAATCCAAGTTAAACTAATTTATGTAAATTCTATGCAGTACTCTCTCATAATTATTTATTTTGGTTGAATAATATCATTCATTTATTGTTAATCGCTGATCTATTTTATTTATATCAAAGCTGAAAAGTGAAAAAAGAAATTTTAGTAAATAGATATATAAATCACTAAAAGCTGCATAAAAATGCTAGGAATCATGTTTAAATCTGTCCAAAATTAAGGTTACAAACATAAAATGGCTTAATGTAAGGAATATATATATATATATATCAGGGCTCGAAAAAACTCAGAAATTTTACCCGTCCCAGAGAACGACTTGTCCGCCAATGTACCCGTCCTCCTTTGAAACTAAACCGTAGCTTCTGAATAAATAAAAATATAATTTTCTCTTATTTATTACATTTATACATTATATAAATAACATTCATGTAAATTGCACAATGAATTAGTAGTTACTAAGATTACAAACACTAGGATTGCATTATACAGTAATAAAAGAAATACTAGGTAACTAATAGTAACCTAGTATTTCTTTTATGAAATAATTTATTTCTTTTATGAATTTATTTCCTTTATGAAATAATTTATTTCTTTTACGAAATAATTTAAATGACAAAGGTCAAGTTATCTGAAATGTCAATTTATCTGAGGGTACTGCGTTTTTTAAATGAATCAAATATGACGTTTGCCAGTTCCACAATCAAGCCAATGATTTACAGAGGCTTCTGCACAGAAATCTGAAAGGGGTTTTCCATTTATGTAGATGTTCATACCTGCGTTTAGCGCTTCTTGTTTAAGACCAATATGTAATGTTTGTTTGTTTTTTCTTTTTTCGTAAGTTCATTGCTGAAAAGCCTCTTTCAACCGCTGCAGTACTCACAGACAGACAAAACTTCAATTCCACCATGCGCAGTATGTTGCTGTATTTCTAGATTGGAGGGTCATCTTAGAAGTGAGGCGTTAGATAGACTCTTGTAAGATAACAAAAATTGAAAATGTATCACGAACATTAACGGGAAAATGGCCGTTCGTACGGAAGTCGGATTCGAGAAATTTGTTGTCCGCGAGGAATTTTTTACCGCCGAGGACGGGCGGTTTTTAGAGCTCTGTAATATATATATGTATGTGTGGGTGTGCATGCATATGTATCAATCAGCACAGGGATCAAATATCAATCACAGGAGTAAATATATTTATCTCACATTTAATAAACAAAAATGAAGTATAAATGCAAATGAGAGCAACATTAGTCAAATAAAGAAACATCACAATGTTACATTGATAAGCATAGGATATATGGATATCCTTTAAAGTTGCATAAACATAAGCCCTCATACTATTAATCTGCAAGACCTTGACAAGCATTTTTCAGTATGTAACCTTAATTTTAGAAATAAATGTATATTTTACTAAGCCAATTCGAAGCTAGCAATAAGGCTTCTATTATAGAGCTTAAAATTATTATAAATAAACAAGCATAAGCGCCATATGCTTGTCTGAATTTTACGCTATTAACAATGCCAGCAATTGTTTTTTTTTTTAAAAAGCAAGTGCATTTATAGTAATGGTAAATTGTTGTTTGTATTAATTATATTCAATGTAATGTAAAGATATTAAATAATATTTGTATAAATTAATGTGTACTGCTCATTTTTTTCCCTTCACACTAAAACTTTCACACAAATATTTCTCTTCTTTTTTTTTTCAAATTGTAATTCAATTGATTATATAAACATCATTCATTAATTAAAAAATATTTGAACTAATGCACTTATTCATATTAATTTAATTATGCATCAGATTAAAAAATCCTTTTAAAAACCTCTCAAAGCATATAAATTAGATAAGAGCTTCAGCTTAGTAACATAAAATATTAAATAAGAATAAGTTGTTATTACTAATGTAAATTACACAAGAATACGTCTTAGTAAATAAGAGAAAACCATATCTAAGAAGTAAACTTTTATTATACAATAATAACTTTTATAATGCAAGTATGAGTATTATTATTTCAAAACAGAGCCTTCATTCAAATTTAGAACAATTACAAAAATAACTTCATGTTACATACTGATGGTATAACCAACAGGAAGAGATATTTTGTAACATTTTATAAGTAATCTGATTGAAGCTCAAATTAAGTCCAGCTACAAATAAAGATTTAAGTCTTTATAAAAGACAGTTTTAGATGCTTAGAAAAGCGGACAGATTTTTGAAATACAGAAATCAAACACACAGTCAATTTTAAAAACAAAACTTGCGATACATTAAATTATAAGTTATAATGCGATAATATTAAATTATAAGTTATATTAGGATGTAGCATTAATAAAAATATGAAGTCTAAAATATCATGCCCAATAAACTGAAATATTAATTCAAAACAAAACATTTCTTGAGTCATAAGGGCTTTTAAAAAATTTCAGCTTTGTTTAAAAAATAATAAATGTTTTAAAATATCATTGTACTAAAAATCTTCAAACATTGCAATTCTAAAATAATAAGCTAATATATCAATCTTTATTTTCTTCAAAGATTTTCTGCAATGTCAAAAATTATTTACACTAACATTGAATTTTTTTTCGACACCTTCATAAATTCAATCTCAGTATTTTGACTTGCAAAAAGAGTAAAAAATACAATATAAATATTTAAACAATTTCTTGCATTACCAAGGTTTTTGGAAAATTAAAAAGCATTTTCAGTGGAGGAAATGTTTGAAAAAATTAAACAGAAAAAGATAAGGGTTACACAGTATAAAAATAAGATCTACATTAAGATTTTTCAACTTGATATTTCATTCCAGAGAGAATTTTTAAAAGCAATCAATGGTGTTATATATTGCATAGTATGTTTGTGAATATGTACGTACAGAGAGAGAGATTTTAAAAAATTGAGATGTTCACATGAAATTTTATGAAATTAAAGGATCCAACATAAGCCAAACCCCCACTTTAGATTACAAAAATTCTCAGAAAACTCCCCAGGTTATGTTCAGAAATATATGTTTAATTATTCTTTCCTTAAAAGACTTAAATAAAAAAAAATATCCTTTTTACTTGTATTTTAATATTTTCTTAATTCATCTTTTACGCATTGAACTTTTTGAAAAAATCCACTAAAAATAATTAAAGGTATTAAAAATAAATTAAAAATCTTTCTTCTTTTCAGAAAAATTTAATTTTTAAGCTAAACTTTGTGAAGAAAAAAGCATGCAAATAAACTAAATTGCTATTTTGCAAATTTTTATCTGTGTTTAAAGTTAGTTATTTGTGAAAAAAAAACTACATGTTTTTCACCCATCCAAAATGCAACAACTCAATTGAACTTAGTGTCACAATCTTTGGTTAAAGAAACTAATCTACATTACATCTAAATATAACAATTAAAATTTTGTGAAAATTACCTAAGTAGCTGTTTATTTAACACAATATCCTAAATCATCCTATATATTTAAAAAAAAAAAGGGAAAAAAAGAAAACTTTTGAAATTCTTTAGTTGAAGAATAAGGCTATTTATTGTGTTTACCATACATTTTTGATTTAAAGTATTATAAAATCTCAAACTTTAACCAAACTTTTGATTAACAGCATTACGTGAATTACTTCATAATTATGAACAAACTGAACGTATTTCAACTTAACATTATAGAACCAAAAAAATGAATAAAAGCCCCTAGAACTTTCAAGAAAAAAAAAAAGCTATTTAGTATCAATTTAATCATTAGTTAAAGGAGATTTGAGTCTTCACATGGCACTTTTACAAAGCAAAAAAAAAAAATTAAAAAATTCCATTAATTTAGTAACAAATATATTTAAAAGAAAGAAAGGAAAATGTAATAAAATGTAAACTAACTTTTCACAAAATAGTCATTATATTAACTTCAGTACTTCTTTTTAAAAAAAGCAAGAGGTACAAAATTTTATGATTGCATTCGCTCACTAGTTAAAACTTAAAAGAGTGCTTGCAAAAGCCATGTGCAACTGAGTTTTGCAATCATTCATTTACTAATTTAAACAGTACATTTTTAAGATACTATGTTATTTTCGATGAATCATTGCTCAGCTACTTCAGCAGCTTTTGCTTCAGCAGCCTCTTGTTCTGCTTTTTTAGCATCCGGAATCCAGAGGCCAGAATCAACACAGCGATTTATGTGGTATCTTGCCTCATCTTCGGGCATTGTTGCTATTGTTTTTTGAAGAAGCTCGATATCTTTCGATTCAAAACATGTTTTTAAAGCCTGAAATTTTAAAAATATGTAGAACACACTTTAAACTGCAAAAGATTATAAGTTACAATGTAAGTCTTTTATATAAACAGAAAAAATATATACTGGAATTTATTTTTAAAAGTTTCAAAAAATAACATTCTAAAACTAGAAAGACTGTTTACTATACCAAAGCTTAATAATAAAATTCAAACAAATCGTTCAAAATTGAATTATATAAAAATTTAACAAGTGATTTAATAAAAAATTTGAAGATTATAATGACATATTTCCTACCTTTTAGCAAACAATGAAAAAAAGAAAATGCTAGTTTAGTTGAAAAATTGAAAATAGATATTTTATATGCCTTGAAAATATATCAAATTAAAATATTTGATTTTCTATTTGTGGATTACTGAAAATTAAACAGTCATTTTTTTTCTCTTGACATTAGATAGTGCACATTGTCAATTTAAGATATTTTTTGAGACTTATATATGGTTATATGGCTACATAGTTAACAAAATAATTTCAGTTAAAAATATCAAATACATAAAGTTGATATATTTTTGTTATCATGTAATATAAATTTAGTAAACATTCATTGTTAAATCAAACTGCAAAAGAGAGAGAAAACGTACAGTAGCAAATGTTAGAAAATTATTTGAGTAATTTAAGCAACTTCTAGTCAGGCTGATGACGAAAACTTACTGAAACAATTTTAAAAAATAGGTCCAGTCATAAACCAATGTTAATTTTTTTTTATTATATTCACACATTAATTCAATATATAAATACACGCAAAGATATAAATAAATACTAATATATAAATAACAATAGTATAAAAATAGAAATTACAACTTTGAACAGAAGAATTTTTCTTTTTCAATAAATTTTTATTACTTTATTTTCTTTGACAGTTCTCCTCCTTTAAAGAAATTTTTAAACTGACACAGTAAAATAAAAAACATAGCGTAATTATTGTGAAATTAAAAGTAAAGCATAATTGGTTTACATATTACTGAAATGGAAGTATTTTGTTTTGCTTGAAAGTTTTTTTTTTTTAACTATGTAATTAATTTTTAATCTCAATTTCTCTCAATCTTCAATTTTCTCTAAAAAAATTCAAATTATAAAATTAAATTTGTTTATTAACAGAATTATCTAAAAAATAATTTTGTAAAAATAACTTTAATAAAATAATTTTAATAAAATAAAAAAAGATTCTGGATAATTTGCACTTGAATAATCTTACTTATTAAAGTTTAATATTCCCTTGCCTTTTTATCCATGAGGGAATGGCAGCATAATCAATTATTATAACATTTCAACTTATTTTTCTATTGTTGCAACTCAGGATGTCTTCTTTAAAATAACTTTTCAACTAAAGAGTTTCCAGCAGATTTTTTGTGAGCTTATAGTGGTCAATATTTAAAAAATATTCATGCAAAAAAAGGGGTTTTATTTCCTGAGAAATTATCTTTTCAACATATATTAAATTGTTTAAATTATTTTATAAATTAAATGGCAAATGATAAATGCCATTAAACACCAGGTATAATGTGCTCCTTAAAATATGAATAATAATATTTACAGGGCCTTATACCTTTATTATGACTAACAAAGGGCTGCACATGTATTTAGACACGTTGACGGCAAATATAGTAATGTTTATTTAAACATTAGTGTTCTAATTTTTTTATCAATAAACTTAGCAACATATTTGTAGAAAATTAAAGGCATTTAATTATTAGAATGAATTCAAAAATAAAAACTAATACTCCTCTTTCTTAGAAAAAAATTTCCATTTTAATATCGAAAATAGATGTATAACAATAATTTTTTTATAAAAAAGTTTACGAAAATTCCATACATTTATAAAGAACTCAGCATAAAAAAAATATGCCAAATGCGAGATTTAAAATTCATATGTCGTAATAAAATTATCAGAATTTTTTATACTACTTGAGCAAAAAACTACTGAAAAATATGGTTGGAAAAAAAATAAATAATTGCAACAAAAAAAAAAAGAAAAAATCACTTAGATTTACAATGAAATCGGCACAAATAAGGTGCACCGAGAAGTAATTATTTAAATGGGCGATTTGAAAGTCTCGTTTCGTAATAATATCGTTAGCAAAATTCAGGATTTTCAAAATCTCATGGAAAAGCAAAAATAACTGCTTAAAAAACCATTCAGATTTATGATAAAATCGGTTTGAGGAAAGCACGTTAAACAACATACATTTATTTACTGCAGAATCTGTGAAAACTGAGCGCATCAAAAAATGATGATTTAAAAGTGTGATTTCAACATCTTTTTTTATTGCGTTTAGGAGCTCCCGCAGGCCACATTTCTGTAGTCACAGATTGTGCACCCCTAATATACACCAATACATAAATGCCATTTTGAAATTTATGAAGTGAGAGTTTTATCAGTTAAAAAGTGGCACAGGCCTACACAATCTTTATTTGAGTTTTTCGGTCAGTTGAATTTTGGATATTCTAGCTTTTATTGTAGCTAATCCAAAAGTAAAAAGTACAATTTGAAATTGGATGTTTGTTATAAAATGAGTACATATAATCATGTTTTCACATAAAATAGCACAATTCAGCCTGACTTTAGAACGTTCGCAGTCGAGAAAGATTTTTTTTAATATAAACAATAAACTAAAATTTTCAAAAGTAAATTAACAGTAAAATCAAATAATAACTCTTAATACCAAATATTTAGCTAACTATAAAATAAATTACCTTTTGACTCTTCTGAAAATTTTCAAAACTTTGTATTATTTTTCTAATCTAAGTAAAAGTAAAAAAAGTAAAATAATAGTAGTAAATTAAAGAATAATTCTTACTTCAGGAAGAGATTCTAGTACTTCTAAAGGATCTAACCCACCAGGACCTAACCTCTGTTGTCTTTCCTCCTAAAAATAGTTAAACAAGAAAATTTATTAGAAAAATACTTTAATTTGCCAACTATAATTTAACAATTAAACATATGAACCATATTTTGTTACGGTAGTGAAGGATGATAGTAATGGCAAAAACAAAAATAGTTTGAAATTAAAAACACTGGGAAATATAGTACACAGAAATACAAATCATTTAAGAAACCAAACATATTTGACTCAATAGAAGCAAATTTTAAGATAAAATAACATTTACTAACTCAAAAAGGAATGTAAAAATGTTAGATTTATTTAAAATTCTAATTGACAAAAACCATTGTTGAAAAAGAAATACAAAATTTGGGATAATTTAAACAAAACAAAAATGGCTCATACAAAACAAAAATTTAAACCATCGCAGTTAATTTTAAATTGTTTAATCTGATTTAACCTACATTTTTATTCACCTGTTTCTGTTCATAGATAAAAACAATTTAATGCACTAAAGATAAAACATGAAAAAAAAGTTTCATATCAACCCTAATGAAAAGAATGAATATGAGCAGGACTAGGAGAGAAATTTAGGGACACCACTTTCAACTAAGATTAGGACATTCAATGATGATTTAAAGCAGTGGCTTGAAATATAATAAAAAATTATGAAAAATATGTGCTTTTATTATAAACTACATCAGAGTTTCTGATAAAATTATTCAATTCAAAATAAGAAAACCATATTTAAAATTAAAAATGCTTCTTTGGAAAAAAAAGCTGTTTAAGAATAATTTAAACATTCATTAAAGGAGAAGATCTGAGTCTTCACATCGCACTTTTACAAAGAAAGAAAAAAAAAAACATGAATACCATTAGTAGCAAATATATTTAATAGAAAGAAAGGAAAATGTAATAAAATGTAAACTAACTTTTCACAAAATAGTCATTATATTAACTTCAGTACTTTTTTTTAAAAAAACAAGAAGTACAAAATTTTCTAATTGCAGTCGCTCACTAGTTAAAACTTAAAAGAGTGCTTGTAAAAGCCATGTACAACTGAGTTTTGCAATCATTCATTTACTAATTTAAACAGTACATTTTTTTGATACTATTCTCATAAATTATAGTTTTTTTCCCCCCTTCAAAAACCATACTTCAGCTTATTTTATTCCTTTCAGGTTATGCTCACACCAAAAACAAATTAAGAACTAGACTAAAAGTCACTCCAGGCCTGTGAATTCAATTAATTAGAGTTGAATCCAATTTAAAATTTTAATTGATTAAACAATAATGACATTTCTTTCTTCAGATTAATCTTTTCAAAGCAATGAGTAATATTTCTTCAGTTAGTATACATTCACAGCCACTAATGAACTTCATTAATGAAGTTGGGATTCCACTAGAAAAAATTTGATCATTTAGAGTTCCATGTCAGAAAAAAAAATAATAATAAGTAACCGCTGCTTTAGAGCAGTGTTCCCCAACCCCCGGTCCGTGGATCAAATGGTACTGGGTCGCCCATTTCATTGAAATTGAATTTAAATTCCTAGGTTTATAACCCAAATTAAAAATATTTGTGTTCCATTAAAATTTTATTTATTTAAAAAGGGGCCCCGGAAAGTAGTAATGTTTAAAAAGTAAAAAAAAAAAAGAAAGAAAACCACCACAACTATTTTCTCTTTCAATTAGTTTTAATTAAAAATAATCAATCATCATAACTGTAAATATCATAAATAAAACACGAAAGCACGGCGCGAAATTTACATTGGAACTAATGAAGAACTTCGTCTTCTCTCTCGATCTTGACTAATTGATTTAACGTTCTAGTAAGTTAAAATGTTAAATCACTTCATATTTATTTTTTGGTGTGACTGTATTTTATTTTGAAGGCATGTTTAAATACAATTAAATTAAAATTAATAAATCAAAATAATCTAAATTACAAACAATCAACGCCCCCCCCCCAGCGGGCTGCAGTAAAAATATCAAATGTTGACAGGTGATAAAAAGGTTGGGGACACTGCTTTAGAGCATTTAATTATCACAGCAGGATCTACTCGATGTGATTGCAGTTAATATTTATCAATTTCTTATTGTGTTATCAATGTTTTTCTAGTCATATTAAAATTATCAATTTCTTTTATCATTATCATCTTTAATGTTAGCATAGTTTTTATTTATTCATTTTTGAAAAATCATATTGGTGGCCTAATAAATATTTAGTCTGTATTCAAAAGAAATCTGTTTTATTTCCCTATGCTATTGTTCGAATCATTGCTCACTTACATAGAATTTGATGATATGGATAGCACAAAGCAAACTAATTTAACATTAAACAAAAGATCAAGCTTTTAAATCATAATGATAAATTAACAAAGAGTATTTAACACAATGCTGTAGAGCAATTAACATTTCTAAGCCACTTTGAAAAATCATTATAATCATATTAGAAGAGAAAGACAAAATAAAACAATCCAAATTCAATCGAAATTAAACTGGAGAAGATGAGAAATTTAAAACAAAAACTATAAGACCATGGTTGGAAAATCATAATATGATGCTCGAGACTTATACTGCCAAAAAAGAAACAATTTAGATGCTCAACTGGGTAAAAAAAAAATTGTTGCAACAAATGGTTGGTTCGAGCGTTGGAAAAAACTTAAAAGTATTGTTTTTAGAGAATTCCTGGTGAGCAAAAATTAATCAGTCAGATATTAAAAGTGAATGAATGTCAGTTAATCTTGAATTATTTAATGTTTTGAACTATTTATATTTAAATTAAAAAGGAGACACTAATTTTTATTATAGTAATATTAACACATTTTACTTCACACTAACTTCTAAATAGCACCAACAACAAAAAAAACATATTTTCAATATTACTTTTAATATTAATTTAAATGAGTTACATGAATTGTTAAAAAACCTTTATAAAAATTAAGAAAATGTAATTTAATTCAGAAACACATAATTTGCAGTTGGAATTCCAATACTTTTAAAATAATACATTTTTCTATTAAATTTATTTCTTTTTTGGTGCTATAGCCCACAGTGGGCCTTGATTTGCTGCACAATGTTAATAAATTTTTGATAATCTACCTATATTAAAAACCTTTCTGTTTTTAACCATGAGTTACACGTTTGAAATATTCATTATGGTGATATATTTTGTTGTATTATTAAATGATCCCTTTTTGGGTCTTCAGTTCATTAGTTTCCAATTTAAGATTTTATCTAAGAAATATTTTTATTAATCCTTTCCTAATGACTTAGCCATGCTACTAAATTTAAAGAATCAATTTTTTTTTATATTCAAACGACCAAGTTCACTACTGTTTCTAACCCTCCACTAAATTTATTAATTATAAATTTTGAATTCCAATAACAGAAAGTGCAAGTTTAATATGAATAAAAAAGAGAGGAGTAATAGCTTCAATTACATCATAAAACACATCATTAAATTCAAAAGAATTCTAGAAGAATTTAAAGACAATACATTAACATAATTTTTTTTCCAGAATACTAAACACACCTAAAGAGGAACACAATGAAAACTTACTTCTTCAGCTTCTTCAATAAGCTTCTGGATCCTAGCTTTTGCACGATCTCTAACACGCTGCTTGAAAGACTCAAGTTCAGCATAGAAAGCATCTTTATATTCACCATCTGCCATCTGGATTCTGAAAATAATTAAATTTATATTTGTAGTAAAAGTCAATATCAAATTTAATAACAGTTATGAAGTCTTTTTAAACCTCAATATATAAACATTTATACAAAAATTAAATTATCCAGAAACCCATGCAAAAAAATCATATAAAAAGTTGCTCTGCAATATTATTTGTAATTTTGAAAAATAAATAAAATATATAAAAGAGCCTTAAAAACTAAAGTTTTTCTTAGTGAAACAAAAAATTCATTTATTAAGTATTTTTAAATAATAATCAGTCTAGTCTAATTTCTTGCCAGGTTCCTGCTTCTGTAATTATGCGAAAATTATTTTTGAAAACCAAGGTGCTTTTTCCGCACACATAATTTAATAAATAACCATTTTTATAGAAAAAAATACGAACTTCTAAAAATAATGTTAGACAAACAAATACTCATTAAGTATGAAAAAAATAATAAAGTAAGTTTGAAATATGTGTCAAGTCTTAATAAACCGAAGTATTAATTGTATAAAATTCAATTTATCAATCACAGTCTGATAAAAACTGCATTACATTCTACTTGTTAAAATTTTCCAGTCTATATAAATGTCTTTACTATTAAATATCTTTGAGTCATATAAGCAAAATTTAATATTAATAACTTATTTTACATAGAACAAGATTTTGTGAAAAGTCCTTTATACATAGCAGCTTCTTAACTAAATTCAACTGTATTGTGTTAGACTATGACAAATGGGCAACATTAAAATCAGAAAATATCCTAACCTAGAAAAGAAAGAGTTAATGCAGGATCGAGGATCAACACTCAGGTGCTTAGATAGTTCTAATATAAACTGCATGCAAATGCATTGATGTGCTACATGTTCCATCAATTCATGTTTCTGCAAACATAAAAGAAAAAAGCATTAGCAACAAAATATAATAAAAAATAATGTACTAATAAATAACCAAATTAATAAAAATAATTTATGAATCATTAATATTACCTCTTCTACTTCCAGATTAATGCACCACAAAACTAGATAATTTGCAGTTTCTTCACAGGCAAGATGTGGATGTTCCTTTAGAAAATTTTTGCTATCATCATATTTTCGAAACATTCCAAATTTCTTCAAAAGCTTTTCGTTTTCTTTGTTAAATTTTGACTAAAAAAATAATTGCATTGTATTAATTATAATAAGATGCACATTTTATTACAATTTTTTTTCCGCAGCAATATTTATTTTCTAAAAGCTTCACACTAATTTTTGAACTTCATAGCAAAAATTAAGCTTTCTATTAAAATGATAAAAGGCAACTATTTCAGATTTCATTATAATAAATTTTAATTATTTGTCTTTTTAAGTTACGCTTCACAAATTATACATATAGATATTACCACATACAAGCCAACTTTAGATTTAGGTTAAGTTTTAATCATTTAAACATCCATAATTGATATCTTCTGGTTAAAATTACACAAAGTATTTTAAAATATTTTGATTATCACCTCTTAAAAAGTATATTTAATTTTTTTCATGCTATAAAATTTGATATTTTAAAACTACTTGCAAATTTAATATTCATTTAAATTCTTAACTTGTTGCTCTTTAAAAAATTTTATTTAGTTATTTTATAAGTTTACTTTCATTGATAAAAGCACATATTTTACCTGTCTTTCAGCCTTTTCTTCCTCTGTGAATTCTTCTTTTTTTGGAGGGAGTGATTTATTGATGACCTACAACAATTCAGAAAACATTAGTTAAATACCAATTTAACATAAATATCAGCACTTAATAAACATAACAAGCATATTTTAAATATTGCATGCTATTAAAAACATTTGCTTTAATTTGTTATAAAACCTTTATCAGTTTATCATTAAAATCAGCAGTTATATTTCCAAGTTCTGCAACATTCCCTACAGCCATGTTGAAAGAGCTACACATAGTTACTGAGGTAATTCTTTCCCAGGCAGAAACAAACTAAAAACTGCCTGTAAAACATCAATTTCGGTGTTGCACCATCCTTCAATGATTAGAACTGCGGGTTTTCATAGCAATGTCAAAACAGAATTCTTTCGGTAATGGTGCTTGAAAGTATGGACATGGATCACATGCAAATCAAGAAATTAAACTAAACTAGTGCAATCAGAAGGATACAAAATGGCACATTTTTAATGAAAAAATACACGAAGAGTGCAGTGAACAGTTGTTGTTAAGTAAAATCATTTTCGTTCACTTTTTTTCATTAAATTTTTCAAAATTATGCAGACATGAACAAGAAATTTATTTGTAGAGATAAACATCAATGGAAATTAAGAAAAGAAAAAAAAACATAAAATGATAATTGAAGTTAAAAGAATTTAAAAAGGTTTAAAATAGATATTTATGTTTTCTGTAAATAATTTTTAATTAATAAGCCTGGCACAATTTTTTATTCATTTATTGTAGGAAGTGCACTTTTCCACTTCATAGCCCATTAATCTCTAACTCAAACAGTTGTAACCAAGTATTCTCGTATTCCAAGTGCAGCAGAGAAGTGGGCAAAAGCTTATAATCAGGCAGTTAGCCTTCTTATTTGTATTAATTGTTCTGTCCTATTAATAAATGGTTTGTTAAATTAGTTATGGTAACAGATGCATCAAATAATTAGCCACTATCTGGTATTCAGCTATTTTGCAAAATACTTGGTAGGCCAAATATTTGGTACAGTATTTGTAGGAAAAGTATTTTTCATCAAATAGATTAAATGGATTTGAATAAATTTAATAAAGAATAATCTAAAATCTTATTTCTTAATATACATTATTAAATAAAGTTTTTACACATATTTGCCTCAGCTAGAATTTTAAATAGATAAAATAAAAATAAAAAATAAATAAATAAATTCTGAAATCAGGGAAGTTTAAAATATAATTTGCACAAGAAATGATGTTCTTTCCTTCATTTCTTGAAAAAACATAATTTTTAAAGAACACCATAAGAAAATTTTGTATTTTAATAAAATGTGACTGTGAGTAGGGATTTTGTGACAAATTCAGATATTTGGAACACTGTGAAATTGGGGAGGTAAATTCCATTTCAAAAATTAGATTTTTCAGCGACCCAAATTCGTGACTTTCCACGAGTTTTTTTTTTTTTTTTTAATGGTTAAAATCAAGACATTTCAAGACAAATTTTGTTCAACACCGAAATCCATGACTTTCCAGGTGCGCGGATCCTTGTATTTAATATTGAAGGCGATGCATAAAAATTGTGTCCTAGTTATTTAAAAGCTTTGTAACCATTGCTGAATTTCAAAAAACATACTTTTTATCAGAAGACGAAAATAAAAGTGAAATCAATAACACAACAGTATTCCATACAAATTGAACAAGTAAGAATTCTACTACTTATGGTTTCTCTTCCGTAGATGCCAGTCAAGGCTACCTAACTTACTTTCTCCCTTCCTATAATGAGGGGCTTGAAACAAATTTTTAAAGTCTTAATTTTTCATCAAATCAAAATTATTCACATGGTAGACAGAATAATGTAGATCCTTCTTCGAATCAGTTAGTTAATTCAGAAATGAATTTACAGATCTTGTTAATTGTAAGAAATTTTTCTGGTAAATACCCAAATTCAGGATATTTATAACTTTTTGTTCTTTTTAAAACATATATAAACATGATTTGTCTTGCTTATAATCCAGAGAATAATATAAGTATCGTAAATTTCCAAAAATAAACTTTAAACATAAAATATATAACTTCCAGAAGAAATATTTCAAAAAACTATAAATAACTAGTAGAGAAACTACATAGTTGCATTAAAAAAGTAATGTAAAAAGGTTTGCATTGTGTAATATAATAAAGAAGGCATTATATTAAATCATTTAAGTTGAAAATGTTTTAAGAAGAAATGTGGCAATCATATATGTGGGCAAGACTGTGCGCTACATCCAATCAAGAAAGATGGCACATCACTTAGACATGGACTTTGAAGTTGGGCAGCTCCGAAGAGCAAGGCACATCCATCAGAGGTCTATTGCATCCAATAGACATATCACTTAGAAGACCAATTAGGAATTTTTGCAACCACTTAAAAGAAATATTAACACATTTTAAGAATTATTGATTCCTTCACTAAATTTAATTGGTTTTATTCTACAAAAACTACAGAGGTGGTGGAAGTTATTGATCGATTACAAAAGCAAAGTTATATTTTTGAAAACCCAGCAAGGATAATTACAGAGAGGCTTTGCATTTACCTCTGTGGCATTTCAAGATTACTGCATCAAAGAAAAAATCACTCATGTTACCTTAACAACAAAGTGATTAAGATCCAATGGCCAGGTTGAGAAAAAAATTCTACCATTATTTCTGTCCTTTCATGACTATTTGCTGGCAATACGGAGAAATGTACCTAAACTGCAACAGATACTGGACTCAGTATTAAGATGACCCCTTTCGAACTCCTTTTTGGTACGAAAATGAAGTCAAGAAATGATATCAATATTATAGAACTTCAAAACTATGAAATCACATGAGCTATTCAAAGAACCAAATCTACAAGGTTCAAAATTAAATCTGTGTTATTACAATCTTCGTCGTAAACAAACGCAAAAATTTGAACTAACAGTCAAGTAGCAATTAAAAGGACACAGACTAGTTCAAGATTAAAAAGGACAGTGTCTAGTAAAGGTTTATTGAGGCAAAAAGCTTTGGGACCCTACAAAGGGGCAAAAATCAAAAATAATGACACATGTGACGTAGAAAAATGTGACTTTGTTGATAGACCAGTCAAAAACACTACATATGTGGAGTACATGAAACCATGGCCTGACAAGGAGAAAATGACTTAATTTGTTTGCCTATTTCAAAATTTATATCTTTTTGTTTCATGAAAAACTTTTTGACTAAATTTTTTTTCTTCCTTTCTAATTTCATTGGATCTAAATTTTATAACAAATGATTTCTTTTATTTTGTTTTAGTGAATTCTTTAGAATTACAAATCTTTATTTGAAATTCAATTTTTTTATTGAAATGTGTAACTGCTGCATTGATACTTGTTTTACTATATGTAGTATATGAAATTTTTCTTTCATTATAATATTTAAAAATATTGTAACAGAAAATTGTAATGTTGTGTTATGTATGTAAATGCTTTATAATTTTGTTGCTAAATATTTTTCAGGTTATTTAATTGTATTGCTAAAAACTTTCAGATTATTTAATTTTATTGCTTCTATCATCAAATGAGGTCTATCTGGTCATGACAGCTGATGTAGGAAGTGCACTCTCCCACTTTATGCATGAGCACCTCATAACGCGTAAATCGCTAATTCGAATTTGTGTAACATTCCTGTATTCCTATGTAATGTTTATTAAACAATTTTTTTTTAAAATTACACAGTCTTTGCCTTTTCTTGTATTTTTTTTTAACCGAAATTGCAATGTCAGACTATTGATGATGCATGAAAATTTAAGCAAACAAGTGATTTGAATAAAGGAAAAAAAAAGTAAAGGAATGTAAGGTAAATACAAAAATTGTCTCTATAGTGCCCTACTTGCTCCTACAGTTTAAGAACTTTTGGTTTAATGTATCTACTGAAAAACTACTTTCAATGCATGAGTGAACTACTCTATGGACCTAGGAATTTGCTAATTTTCTAGGGAATCAAAGAAGGTATTATTAAAATTAGAAAAGCATTGGCGAGGTAACCATTAAAAAACAGAATGTTTTACAGAAAAACAATGAAATAAATACATGCATGAGAGCAATATTAGAATCAAATAAAAACAAAATAACAGAAGGCCATTATTTAAACTCAACAATAACCAGCACAAAAACTCAATTTAAATTGTAAGAATAAGTACTTACAGTTTTGGTAAATCCTTCTCGGCTAATAGTATCTACATTCCACGGCATAAGCTGCAAATAAAAAAATATATAATAATAATAAAAATTTTAATTCAAACAGTCTTTTCTTTCTAACTTTAAAAGCTAATAAAATCTTGATAAATCATTAAGTACTATATTGAAATCAGAAATAGAAACCAAAAAAAAAAAATTAGAAACTAAAAAAATATTCTAACCTGCATACCATCGCTCTACAGTCAATTAATAACAATCGGTATCATTTCATGAAGGTCCATGACAGGCTTGAGTTGTCTCATATCAACTCTAATTTTAAACTCTGTGTTTTTTTTTCAAGGATTGGGCTTTTATTAAGTAAGTAGGTTAACTTTTCAAGAATATCATATCATACACAAATCTTGCACTTAATTTGTAGTTTTTCACTGAAATCTGAATTATTTTTTATATTAAAACAATAAAACCAAACATTTAAATAACCAAATCTTGTTTAAACGGATGCCAGTGCCTATTTGAATTAGAAACCAGTTCTGTCTTTATTTTAGAAATGGAAAGAAAATTTTAATAATGAAATTATTTAAATTTGAATATGATCAAGAGAAAAGGTCAAACTATAATATTGAAATTTAAAAACTTTTTAAAAATAAATTGACAAACTTGTAACAACCATAAATATTTACAGCATTTTTCTTTCTTTCTCTTCCTTAACTTTTAATTTTATAAAAACAGTTTTCGTTTAATTTTAATGTGAAGTTAATACACATATTTTCTTTAACAAATTTTCTTTGTTTACATTAACAATATCCATTTAAGAATGACAAAGCTGGCTGGCAGAGATATCTGATTGATTTATAGGAACCAGATTTCATAGAAATCAACACATTGGGAAATATAAATTCTAAAATTAGGAAATGAAATAGAGTAAACTTATACAAAATCTGAATCTGACATCTGAATTCAACAAATGTTAAATCTGAATTCAATATGTTATTCGCCAATTTTTTAAATGCATTTATAATGCATGTATAGTAATTTTAAATTAGTGTTATTTAAAACAGAGTTGTTAGAAACATGTTATGTGTGTTCATTGCTGACATTTCTAGAGTTCCCAAGGTTAAATTTGCATATTATTTATTGAATAGTAATTAAATTAGGCAGGCGTGTGAATGCTAAAAGAAATTATCTAAGTTTTTCTTCTTAAAGTATAGTTTTTTTTTTTGTACATAGAAAATATTTAAAAGCAAGTCATTTTTATGCTCAAAAGTAACAATTACAAAATTTAAAGGGAGAAAGAAAAAACTTATTTGACTTATTTGAATACACAATTTTACATTAAAACCTAAAGAGAGAAACAATAAATTAAAAAAATACAAATTAAAGTTAACTAAATTACAATATCAATGTAAGCAGTACATGGATAAAAAAAAGTTACCTTTTCCTTTTTTAAAAGTTCTTCTCTTTTTTGTTGCAATTTTTTATCTTCAACTTCAAGCTTAGATAGTTCAGCTTTAAGTTCATCCATGTTCATATCACTATTTGTTTCTGCATATTTTATTTTTTCTTTGACATCTAGGATTTTTCTTTGACTTCTATGCAGGAAGATATAAGTAAGTTATAAACAAAATAATTTATTTACATTGAACATTTAAAAAATAAACTATAATAAATAAAATTTTAAAAAAATTTAAATGATTTACTCTTGAACATGTCTTTCAGATTCATCTTTCTCATGCTGAAACTCAGCCATTCGTTCAAGGCGAGCTTGATGGCGCCATCGAAATAGACTGGGAGTATCAATATTTGGATGAGTATCATCTTCATCATCCGATATCTAGAAGAAAAGTAAACAATTAAAAACTCTAGTCAAATTTAAGTTCATTAACTAGGAGTGTAACGAAAACAGTGATTAAGCAAAATATCAAATATTCTGCATCTTAATAGTAACTTCTCTCACAAATTTAAAATATTTATCAGAAACAAATATTTTTTTAACATTTGAAATTAATAGATTACTAGCAAGTTAACTATTATAGGACATAATGTTCATAAAGCAATACAACTTCTCAAAATAATAGTAGAGATACATGCAATAACTAACCTTTTTCATATGGAGAGGAAATAGGTTTAAAGAGTTATTGAAAAAAAGAGAGCTAAGATACAAAATGTCATCCAGAAATCATTATAATAGGTAGGCACGAGCAATGTAAGGAAAACTATTTGGATAAATCTATGAAGGGTAGGATAGAGTGTCCACCCATGTATACTCGCAGCAAACTTAGCCTTTAAGTGTCTAGAGGATTTTTCCCAACAAAATTTTCAATTTTTTGAAAAAAAGTATATGTTATGACCTTTTAAATTCATAGCAATTTGATACCAAGTATATGATAATATTTTTAAAAACTATTTTTGAAATTAGAATGACCACAAACTCAAATATATTGTTTAAAATTATTTATTCAAATTAAATTATTTTGTCTTTAAATCATTTTTTTATAAATTAAATTTTTTTTACCTTGCACGCAAAATTTCCATACTTCTAATAAACCTAGTAATAAGTTTGAGTATAGTATGTTGCTTAAATTCATAGTAGCACTTGAAAGTATTTTTTACATTTCAAAAGACATTTTTTTCCATAAAAACCAAAAATAAAACATATTTTTGGAGAAGTTTTGGAAAAGTTTTAGTATTTTGGAAAAGTTTTTTTTATTTTCCAATTTATTGACAAAATTTAGATTTAAGAAGAACATATTTGTCTAGCTGTAAAAGCTCTTTCAAGTCACTAACATGATTTCTTTTTTACTTTTATTGTGAGCGCAAGACACCATAGAATCTATTTTTCTTCAGATTTTAGCTCCAAGGAAAATTAAATACCTAATAAAAGATCTTAGCTGTTTGCTTCAAAAAGTGTTTGCATTTAAACACTGTATTTGAAAATTAAATAATAGAAAGTTAAGAAAGTCATTGATGCTTCCTCAATGAAATCAAGATGACACCTTAACCATTCTTATTTATACTAGGATATGTAAAGTTCCACCACTCAATAGAATAGTTCACATTAATCAGTGTTTTCACTACAGCGCGAGAATCTCGCATATTTTTTTTCCTTTCTCGCATTAAAAAATGATTACTGCGAGAAATTCGCTCATTCTATAAATCAATTTCAAAATTCACGAATTTCTCGCATTTTGGAAGAAGCTTCGAATTACGCTATTTAGAACAAAATCCGTTTCACTTTTCTTCCTGGATCTTTCATTATTTTCAGCATTTGCTCCGTTATCTAGCTTCCCTATTTACCAGTATTGTTCAGAACCTTTTCGAACAACAGAACCCCCTTTCAGAACACATTTCTCTGCAACCACGTGCTTAAAGTAGGTAAGGTTTTTTCATGTAAGACGATCAAACTTTTTATGCACTAATGTAAGATGGACAAATACCTAGTAAAGGCAAAATCTTCTATGATGATGCAGCAAGAATATTCAATGCTTTAAAAAATAGAAGACGTTAAAAATGTATTATAATAAAAGAAATGATTTTTTTTTCAAGTCTATTTGTGTTTTTTTAGTTTTTAGAAATCTCACTTAACTTTCTGAAATCTCACCCTGTTTTTGAGAAAGGGTGAGAAATTCTCACCCATTTTTTTTTTTTATGATGAAAACACTGCATTAATACTAAACATAGTTTTGTTAAAAAGAGGCGGCAATAAATAAATAGTTTTATTGATAGTAAATGTAGCAATGATAAAAAATTTAATCTGAAAGAACAAGAAAATTCTTTAAATTCATATTATAAATTGATGTCAAATTATAAATTCAGGTGAGATAGATTGCTCATTCTCAGCTGTAGACCAGAAAATTTTCAGTTAGTAACCAAAGGCTGGTATACTCTAATTGCTTAGTAGCCACTTTTTACTCAAACCTTATGAGTCGGTGACGAATATCAATAGGTCCTTTTCATTTAATAAGTTCTCCAAATCTGTCATACTTTAGTGACTTCCAGGACACATTGCAATTTCTGATGCAAACCTTGAGTTCTTTGTCTTTTGTGTACCCTAATGTTGGAAATTGTTACACAGCTTATCTATTAGCAAAAAGGACAGTGGCTTAAATAATACACCCTGCAACCCCCGTGGTGCGGGCATTGGTTAGGTTTGAGGGTGCAAGATCCAGAAACAATATACTATCATAGGGGTGCACAATCTACTGCTTGTGGCAGCGCATGAACAGAATAATAAAAAATAAGTGAATCACTCTAAATCGATAGAAAAATTCTCAATCACTCTAAATCGATAGAAACATTTTCAATCTTTTTTTTTTTTGGTGGTCATCTGGTCACTACAAATTTTCAAAGTTTTAGAAATTGCAATACTTTTAATTTGACAAAAATTATGAAATGTGAATTTTGAATTTTAGTAATCACTTTTGAAGCTCTTTATTTGTGTCTCGTTAGTTCATAGTTAATCTAAGTAACTTTTCAATAGGAGGTTATTATCCACGCGCTTTTTTAAATCCTGATCTTTTTTATTATACATTATAACAACCCACAAGTTTCGAATTGTGCAATCATTTTTAACATTTTTTATTTGTGTCAATATTATTACACCATTTTCAAGAAGACCTCCCATACCCACACATGTGACCTATGACATCAGCGCCAGCTAATCTTTATCATCAAAATGACATGTTAATGTTGAGCTAAGGTTCTCTACATTAGTTAGAATGTTAATTAACCATAAATAAATTCAATTTTAATTATATACAAAGGTGTATCACAAACTGAATTAGAAATAGAATTCTTTCTAATCTACTTCTTTAACTTAGATTTATTATTTCTTTATATGTTTTATTGTAACCGTGATATATTTTTGTTTTGTGTATCAGACAACTTCGATGCATAGTTAGCTTATGTTCCACGAAGGCTTCATGCCAGTCTTTGTGTTAAGTCTCTGTGTAAATATATACAACTCCAATTCAAAATATTAGAATAATGATAAATAAAGCACATAGTGGTTTGAGATATGCATTTATTTTGGTAAAAATGAATACCTGAGAATTTTGAAGTGTGTTATCACATTCTACATGTTTTGTAGATGAACATAACATAAATAAATTATTATGATATTGCAAAAGTTTTTACAATGAATTTTTTCTAAAAATTCAAAAAATTAGAATAATTTTCACAGTGGTTCAAAAAATTAGAATAACATGAACAAAAATAGCATAATTCATTTAAATGAAATCTGCATGAATAGTTAATACTTAGTGGCATCTCCCTTAGCTTTAATAACGTCACGCAAACGATTTTGCATACGATGCACTACTTTTTTGCAGTCATCTTTGCTGATAGTTGCCCAAACGGATTTCACGCTTTCTATGAGTTCATTTTTGTCCTTTGGAGCTAAATCCTGAAGGCGTTTCTTCATTAAACCCCATATATTCTCGATGGGGTTCAAATCGGGTGAATTGGCCGGCCAAGGAAGTAATTTGACTTTATTGTTAGTAAGCCAAGTAGTGGTGGCGTTTGACGTGTGGCAAGATGCAGAGTCTTGTTGGAAGATAAAGTCATCCTCAAATAGATCTTCCGATGACGGAATCATAAAATGTTCAAGTACCTCCTTGTATACTTCAGAATTTACCCTTCCTTTCAAAATGCACAGCTTTCCTAAGCCCTCAGCACTCATACACCTCTACATCATTACAGAAGTGCTAAACTTCACTGAGCGTTTCAAGCAATCTGTGGTAAAAGCTTCTTGCTTGCAACGCCAAACACGGACACCCTGATGACCGTGGGAAACGCAAAACATCGATTCATTGCTAAAAAGTACATTATTCCAGTCCTGAATACCCCATTGCAATCTGTCTTTGCACCACCTCACTCTGGCTCATTTTTGCTTGCGTGTAAGTAGAGACTTTTTCTTGGGCACACGTGATTGAAAATCTAGTTCATGGAGTCGTCGTAGTGTGGTAGATGTTGAGGCATCCACTCCTTGTTCTCTCCACTTTCTACTTATGAATCTCAAGCTCTAGAAGCGATTTTTAGTGACGACACGTTTCAGCATTCTGTCTTGTCTCAGTGTGGTTATTCGTTTACGACCACTATTTGAGCGATTATTTTTAAAACTTTGATTTGTAGAATAATCTTTTAAAATTTTACTTACAGTTCCTTGAGGCCAATTAACTTTTTTGGCAATCATTTGTTGACTAATTCCCTCATTGCGTAGAGTCACAATCGCTGTCTTGGTAGAGTGTGGTATGTCTTTCGTTCGACCCATTTCAACTCCCAACTAACTAAATCTGATTTTTAAACGAGCCTTTATACGCGTACTAGCTCTACAGTGGCGCAACTTATGCAAATTTTATGATTAACATTGACCAATCACACAATTTTACAGATATTCTAATATTTTGAATCGCCTCTGGAAATATTTTAATATATTGAAAAATTTCAATATTTTTTTATAAAATCTCTAATACTTCTTTAGGCGCGTGTGAACAATAATATCATATGTCAACTAATTGTGGACGGTTAATAATTTTTCCGTTCGCCACCGTTGTTTATTTTTAAAGATATCACGTATTTTATAAGGTAATACAATGTCTTTTTTGGTTATTCTAATATTTTGAATTGGAGTTGTAGTGAAAGAATTGAAATCTTTGTGAAAGAATGTATGTGTCAGTTAAGAGAATTGATGTTTGATGGGCTTGACTTACTCAAAATAGAATGGAAAGAACAGTTGCTAAAGTAAACAAATGCCACGTTTCAACAAACCAATCAGGATCGAGCTACCCAGACTACCTCACTTACAGGTATCCCATCAAGATAAATAAAAAGAATTATAATTATTTAAAAGAATTTATTTCATGCTAATATATTATTAAATTGACAGATTAAAAGAATTGTCTGCAGGGGTCTGTCCAAGCGAAATTTACTACTGTTCAGAGGTACCTTCACAAATTCAACTTTAGGAAAACTTTTCCTTAAAATTATATTTTTGTATCCCGTAAGAAACAGAAAATGTACAGGGTTGCCACTCAAATCTGGAAAAAAATTCCCTGTGTTTTCCCTCTACATATTATATACACAATATTTTAAGAGAAAACAACAATTACTGTGCTCTTGTATGAGCTATATAGGGCAAACTATATTTATTAGTTTGAATCGGTGGGAAATTAGCTGACCATACTTAAATAATGCTATAGTAAGTGAAATAGTTAATTATAGCTGAAATATCANTTTCCCTCTACATATTATATACACAATATTTTAAGAGAAAACAACAATTACTGTGGTCTTGTATGAGCTATATAGGGCAAACTATATTTATTAGTTTGAATCGGTGGGAAATCAGCTGACCATACTTAAATAATGCCATAGTAAGTGAAATAGTTAATTACAGCTGAAATATCATGGCTAAATATCTCATAAATTACGCTTTGAGTGGTCACCATCTTTTAAAAGACAAAAATAAGAAACAAAATTCCATGTATTTTCCCAGTTTGTAAAGAAAAAAAAATCAAAATTCCCTGTTATTTTAAGTGATTTTTAAATTCCCTGTACTTTCCAGGTTTTTCCTGTGAAGTGGCAAACTCTGATTGCATATTTTTGAGTTGATTTTTTAATATGATTTTTAATTCTCACAAATTATGTCTAAATTTTCACAAAATAGGTACCTCTCAGAAAAACCTAGACAGACCCCTGATCTGAAATACTGATGTTTATATTAAAATTATCATAGGATGTCTAAGTATTTAGGCATGCACCCTGTTGTGTTGTTGTTGTTGTTACACATCCCCCTGGAGAAGGAAAGCCTAGACCAGGTCCAGAAGGCCTCGTCGCATCAGTTCCCCATATATCTGCAGAAAGTCCCGATCAGCGAGCAGCTGCTTATAAGAAGCGCCAAGGCAAAAAAGAAGGTGATCAGGACTAGCGGGTTGTAAGCAGGAACAAGGTTGGAAAGTCTTCTCCCCATTTTGAAACCTTAAAAACTTAAGATGGCCATGGCCGATTGGAAAGGCCGAGGGCCGCAGCATGTTAATGATAGGCCAGGGCGGTTGCCAGCATACCACTGATGGGATGGAGTACGGCGCCACACTGGAAGCAAACAATGTTTTCCCAGGGAGTGGCTCTCAGTGGGAGTAAGACGGTTCAGACAGTCCATAGGAAGATCACAGCCATGTTGGCGAGCACATCGGCTGTCTCATTGCCATGTACCCCGACATGCGATGGGATCCACTGGAGGCTTATTGGTGTCCTCAGGCCTATCTCAGATAGAAGCTTCATAATCTCCTGACCAAGTGACCAGGAATATCCAATATTTCCGGCCAGTTCTTGAAATACTGAATAGCACTCCTACTATCGGTCAATATCCAAATGGAATTATTATCAGTTGTCTGGGCATAATTAAGGGCAGTCTCAATACCATGATCTCAGTTCTAAAGACTGAGCAGTCAAGGTTTCGGGTACTGATCCTGACTTTACTATCATTGCTGTTGACAAAAACACCACTCCCGGTTCTACAGTCTTCCAACTTGCTACCGTCAGTGTAGATGATCAAGCCGCCAGAAGGGATACTATTAACAACCTCTAGGGCCAACTGTTTCAACAGGTTTGGATGGTCCACCTGTTTATTGGCTTGAGATCTCAGATTGTGTTTAAAACTGATGCCCATAAGGGTCAATGTAGGAGGCAAACAATTTAGAGTGGTTGAAGGAACTACCTCAAAATCAATAAACCCCTCCTTTCTAACCCTAGCTATATGAATTAAAATAATATGCACCTATATGCAAATAACATGCAACCTAGCTATATGAATTAAAATAAATTTTTTTCCCTTTATAAAATATTTTTTAATCCACTTGACAAATAATAATAATCCATATTTAAACTTTGAAAGTAATTATTATAGGAAAGTGAGTTATTTTCTCGTATTTTTATTATTAATTTCATTTCAATGTGGTTAGTTGATGATAAGTGTATACAATGTTCCAATTTAGTACTTTTCAAAATTCATTGCAATATTCCTTATTAATTAATATCATGATATGTAAATTACAGAATGTCTCTTCATGGTGTCTTTGTTTCAGATTAAAATTTTAAAAAATTTGAGTGAAGTCTAAAATAAGGCGAATTTATAAATCTCGCAGAGGGGAGAATCTCAGCCTATGTGAACCACTGGGAAAAAACATTGTTGTACAGTGGTTTCCTGAGCTCTGTGGAATCTGGCTCTGCAATGAGATGACCAATTCATTAACCAAAAAGGGTGCATTGACACTACAAACATCTCCTAGTATATATTTTAAAACAATAAAGCAATTAATCACAATTCGCTGTTGTCTTCTTCATTCCATAGAAAACATAAGCTCTATGTTGTGACATTTAAAATAATGCTACTTCTTCAGCTCACAGCAAAAATTCTTTATCACAACACGTACAGGAGATAAAATTGGATAACCGATCTCGCATAAATAACTGCTCCAGCTATTTTCAAATAACTTTTGCGTTTGCAATTAAAATCTTTTTATTTATATTTCAAAGGATGCACAAGATTCTAAAAATAGCGAGATAACTGAAATTAATTAAATTGACTTAAGATAGAAATTTTGTCTTTTTAGATCGTATATAACGAGAAGAGAAAAGTAAAATGAGCTCTTTGACACTTGGTGACGGTTTAACCAATAAATAAACAAAGTATAAACAAATTAGTGCTTTGGTAAATTTACCTCAATATTTTTCCACTTGCTGTAATCAACCATTTTCTAATTAAAAGTCACAAAATCAAATAAAACTTTGCAAAGATTGATTTCAGAAAAGAAGTCAACAACGTTCAAGTTGCGGCAATATATAACGGTGCCGAAAAAGTAAATTCGAGAATTGAATTGAGAAATCGCAACTAGTCTCTTGAGACCCGTTTCTCACGCTCCGAGCTCTTTGGTACATAAACTTCCTTCACTTCAGTTTTATCTTAAAAATTTAATTTAAATAACAAATTCATTACGGAATTCTCAATTAGTTAAAAATGATAAAGAAATAAAAATATTAGAAAAATTCGAAGGGATTTCCTTCCCATTTGTAAAACAACTTATCAAGGAAAGATAGAACTTTGCTAAAATACGTAACCGTGACCATAGCCGTGAAGTTCAGACATCAACAACTCCTCCTCCTCCTTCTGAATTGCGGAAATTGGCATATCTTTAATTGTTAATTGAAGTAATTTAAAAGAATGGCCGAAACCGTCCCTGATCGGTTTTCGTTTAATCCATATTCTGAAAATAGTAAACATGACAGCTCGGAGGGTTGTGATGACAGTAATATTACAAGCGGCCCCCGAGTAGTCACTATTTACAAAACCGAAACGGGTTTTGGATTTAATGTCCGTGGTCAAGTCAGTGAAGGAGGCCCCTTAAAAAGTATTAATGGTGAACTTTATGCCCCTTTACAACATGTAAGTGCCGTTCTAAAAGAAGGAGCTGCTGAAAAAGCTGGCATAAGAAAAGGAGATCGTATACTTGAAGTGTAAGTGTAGACAGCTTACGTAAACAAATATGTCAATGGAAAGAAACAGATAAGATAAACAGAATTAGCTATTTCTTAACTTAGAAACTCATTTAACTATCTCATAAACTTTTCTTTAAAAATTAGTCTGCATTTTGTGTAATTGATTATTTGTCAATTTCGCACGTCATTGGCACGATAGTTAAAATTGTTAAGCATATTAAGCAAATAGATGATTTTTTGAAAACTGATCGAAATGATTTGTATTATCTTCATAAAACTCAGGTGTACCAGTGAACTACTTAAACATGTTTTAAAAATTGAGTGTATTAAAATACCACTTGTAACTATAAATACCACTTGTAATAATAATAAAAATAACACTGTAAATAATGTTACAAAAATACCACTTTAACATTTTCTTTGGAATACATTTTGAAAATTATCAAAAGTCAGCAATGGTGACCTCTGCATTCATACAAATTTATATAAAATGATTCAAGTTAGATATAGCCTAGCTATTTAAATGTCAATTTTGAAAATTACTTATTTGAATTTAGAAATCACAACTAAAAGTTTAATTTTTATAGTTTTTTGCTGAGTACAGAGAATAATAAAAAATAGGCTTGTTCAGGGTAAATTTGCGAAAGTCTTAATTTCTCTCCCAGGACATCTGTTACCAAAACACGAACAGACAACAAGATCAGCGGTCTGTCTAGGTTTGTCTGAAAGGTACCTATTTTGTGAAAATTTAGACATAGTTTGTGAAAAATTATATTAAAAAATCAATACAAAAATTTGGGTTTATCGCTTCGTACGGAATACAAAAATAAGGTTTTAAGAAAAAGTATTTTGTAAAATTTTCCTGAAGTTGAATTTGTGAAGGCACCGCTAAACGGTAGTAAATTCGGTCTGGGCAGACTCCTGAAGATGGTTTCAGAACAAGGGAGTCAGAGTTTTATTAATCTGAAAATTAATGGAATTTAATTACAAGTCAAGGGGAAATAAATTATTTTTAGTTTGGAGTACCTTTATAAACCCCTAAACGAAAATTGGTTTTGTAATAATTTTTTTTAAAAGAATTATTTAGTTTATCTATAATGGCAATTGTAAATAATTAGCAACCTATTATTTATGTAACAACAAAGAATCTATGCAAAATTTTTGCCACTGGTTACAAAAACTTCTAGGAAATTCTTTGACATCAGTTTAGAAAGGTCACAGTTTTATTTTTGAGTATTAGTGACTTTCATGAGAAGTCATTTTTTATAAATTATTTTTCACAATTTTTGACTATATTTCTAAAATTATGTATAAATTTCATTTGTATAAAGTTTGTTTAGTTAAGTTATTTTTTAAAATAATTAGGAATAACTTCAAAATATCAGAACCTTTGATTTGTTAGTTTCAGAAACTATTGCTACAAAAGAGACTGTGATTTCGTATTTAAAAAAGAATCAAAATTATTTGGTATGGATTAATAGATTAAATACTCTCTGGATTTCTGTATAGGTACAATTTTTATAATTCTGATGTGATTTATCTTTAGTAATTGGAAACAATTTTACCACTTGCGCCACATTTTGATAAAAAAGAAAATAAAAAATATTTGAACTCTCAATTATTAGTTTTCATTGTTTAATATTCTGTACATATATATATATTAAACATTTCTATTTGTATTGTGTTAAAAATTTCAAAACAATTAGAGTTGGCAGATTAGAATTCTTATTTAATATTAATTTTTTAATACTTGCCGTTAACCTAAAAGTTTGTCAAAATATTTTTTCTTGTTTTACCAGATTTAATTCTATTATTTTAGAAATGGCATAAATGTAGAAGGAGCTACTCACAAACAAGTTGTTGATTTAATCAAGTCTGGTGGTGATAAATTGACTCTCACTATAATATCTGTTACAGCTCAAGTAAGCTAAACATTCTGCTGTATTATGTATAGCATTGTTAAAAATTACACTGTACATTGTCTAATATCTTTATCATATTTAAAATAATTTTTTTTATAAATAACATTAAATTTAAATCTGTAAAAATTGACTATAAATTCAAATTGTGGTTTAGTGCCGTTATTACTTATCGTTGCAAAATACATAGTGTAATTTCTACTTATCAATGATTTAAAAGAATTTATGAATTCAAGTATAATTTTGAGCAATCAAGTGATAGAAGCCACTCAAAATCTTTACACTTATTATTTGGCTTAAACATCTATATAAAGTTGATTGTTATAGTTAATGTTAAAGAGTCATTAGTTATTATTTTTCTTAGTTTATTTCTTGTTTTTGATTAAATAGAACTGATTTGTTATTCTTCTCCACGGCAATTATTTTCTCACCAACCATTTTTAGTGGCACCACATGCCGAAAACAGTATCAATGATTGCAGCATTTTTAAATTCAAAGTTCACTTGTGTTAGTCACTTTTTAATTAGCTGAAACGGACATTTCATAAATAAATGGCGGATTTATATCAAATGCAGGCAACAATTCTGTTACCATTCTGCTGCAAAGTTAAAAATATAGCAATATATGCACACAATATTATTTAACAAGGCCAAATATGCTTTGTTACAACTCTGATCCAAGCTTCATAAATATGTTGCAAGAGTTAGTTTTGTAACGTGCATAGGCAAGTTATAAAAAGTGATAATTACATGTCTATTTTTTTCCTCCATATGATGTGCTGAAAAGATCTATGCTTTAAATGTATTTTGGCATTTAAATTTTTAGTTATAAATTTTTCTTTTTGTTTGAATTAACAATTAAGCTGTAACATTATATGAAAACTTTACCATTTCATCATCAAAAATGTTATTTTTCTACTATTTTATATAGTAAAAATAAAAGCAATATCAAACTCCGTTTTTGCAATAATCTTTATCTAGATCTAAATAAGCAAGGTTACCTTCATGCTAGTAGTGCCGAAGCATATATTAAGCATAAACTTATTATGTCATATAGTTGCTTTATTATCCTGTTTATATGTTCTTATTATCTTTATTTGCCTTTTGAAAAATATAATATACCATACAAATCGCTTTGTTTTAGCATGCAGAAAAGGATATCCTCCTGGTATTTCACTTCGCTCATAACAAAAATAATATTCAAAATCAATGAAAAGAATAATGTTTAAGTTTGATCTTCTATTGTGTAACATATTTCCTACAGTTTAAACTTCCAAGTCATTTGATTTTATTTCTATTATCAGTGTTTGCATTTAAATTTTGTTTATGTTTACTACTTTTATTCTTTATTTGTTTTTAAATGATAATAAATAAGTTAATGTCATGTGGCCTTAATATGTTTTTTTCCTGTTCTTTTCTGTTCATAATTACTTAGCCCTTCAAAGTTTTTAAATGTTTTCTTTTTTAATATAAATTGCAGGAAGCTGAAAGATTAGAACCGAGCGATGAGTCATCGGGCTATTCTTACATTGACTACAGTGAAAAACGTTCATTACCCATTTCAATTCCAGATTATAATTGGATTGAAAAAGGAGATAAGTTTGTTGTAAGTTATTTCTCTAAAAAATATTTATTTGGCCCACTTTTACACAAAAATCCTTTTACAATTTATCTAAAAAGTTTCCACATTTATTGAGGATGATATGATGGAAGTGAAATATCTGGAAACATTTTACCTCACACATGAATTTTTCATTTGTTAAGATCTATTGCATCTTTTCTTAATTTGATGCAAATAACAAATTTAATAAACGTCTGTTTCATTTACGATGCTACTTATACATGCTTTGGGGGAGAAGGAGTTTTTATCCTACCATTATTTCAAATTATTATATAGTTGAAGCTCTATCAGTCATTAGTTAAGGGACCATTCCTTACAAATGATTGATGTGACAAAAAGAAAAATGCGTATCAATATAAAATAATGACTTGAAAATTTATAAGTTTGCACTAAGTTTAAAAATTTTTAATCAAAAAAAAAGAATTATGTACTGTGTGCAAAAATATTTACGCACGATAGATCTATAAAGACACTTATTTAAAATAATTTGTAATTTTGATTCAGAAAAAATTTCGCTTACAGAAATCGTGAAGAATTCTATTTTATATAAATTATTCCTCAGTGTAATATTAAAAATATTAATTTTTTTTACATATTTTTAGAGTAAGTAAAAGCATAATATTTTCAAATTTATAAACAGCTAAAATTTTGCACATTTTGTTTTCTTTTAAAAAAGAGTTTTATTATGACATGTTTTTAACTTTAGAAAGAAAAAATTCTGTATACAAATTGATTACTTCTTTAATTATTTTATAAATCCTTAAACTGTGTGTTTTATAATTTATTTAAAAATTAAAACCTTAAAATGTAGTTTAACCCTCTGGTGGTTTAGAAAAATTGGAAGAACGTTGCTCCCCTATACACTATTTTTCTACCTAATAACATGAAGAAGCGGGTTTTGCTATGCAGAGAAGACTGCAGGTTAAAATATAATTTTTTACCTGCAGAATCATCAGTGGGTTAAGCATGTTTCAGTTAGTTAGAAATATTTACATTTCTATAAAAAAAAACTTGTTGAAAGATTTACATTTTTTGACACTTAGAATTTTTACCTTTTGCAATGTTAAAGTTTATTAAAATTAGTTTAATAGCCATTTAAAATTTATTATAACAGTGTTACTGATGATCCATTCATTCATATCTTATGCAGTTTTACTATTTATTTGAACTTAAATTGAAATTATGATTACTTCAGTTCAATACCTACTTTGATGCAAAAATATTGTTTATAATGTGTAGATTATAGAATCAATAACTATGAAAGTAACTATAGTTAAATTTGTAGGGCAAAATTGACAGGCACCAATGGCCACAGAGCAACTGAATTTAACAAATAGCAATTAAAAAATTATCTAGCAGTCATCACCCAATTAGCATTTTTTTTCATAAAAAATGCTCCCATTTGAAAAGAATATCAGCTCCTTTTGGTAGACGTATGCATCCAATCTATAAAATAAATAAAATGCACGAGGGCTATTCATACTCCCATCTATGCTCATGTGGATTTTGTTACTTTTTATTTTAATCCGTATAGAATTATTTATAAGTATTTCATGATGTTTGGAATTTATTTCATACTTTTAAAAAAAAAAAAAAAATTTATCCTGAAAAAAAATCTTATAATCAGGGTTGCCACAGGCGACTAAAATGCAACTATTTGCAACTATTTTTGGCACGAGGCGACTATGGCAACTTTTTTTGGCCTGAAAAGGCTAAAAAAGCAACTATTTTCAGGAAGAGGGGGCTATTGGGAGACTTTTCTGTACTCCTAGCGATGTTTTTTTTTTTTAATTTTTATAGCATAAATTGGGTTTAAAATCTGCTGTCCGCGATAGCTTTTGAACACACTGAACTTTTTTTTCTTAAAAAATGTTGAAAATTTTGAATTGCAAATTTGAGTCTTCAATTTTTAATCCGTTCAATCTGCAGATTTCATTGTAAGTCTATTTCCTGTCTCAATCGCCTTTTCAATGGTTATTGCTTCGAAATTCCGCATGATTTAAAAAATAAAAAATAATACGATATAACGATGCGTGAATTTCGAATTTGGGTAGTCACTTTTTGCTATATATATATATATATTTCATAGATAAATTTTTGATTAAAGGGAAAATTGTGCTAGAGCACTAACGTTTATATAAAAATTATCACATTTCCCACTAACTTGACTAAATGGATCATGGTATTGCTATATGATCATTGATATATGACAATTAAGTCATTAACAAAATTTTAGTCATATTTTTGATGAATTTTTGTTCTTATTTAGGCAACTACTTTCATAGTTTTCGGCAACTATTTTCATGCTTTAGGGTACTAAAAGCAACTATTTCATCCATTTTTTTCTGTGGCATCCCTGTATAATGCTTACTATATTTCGAAAAGTGCTTCAAAAGAATTCCCTGACATTATTAAGATTAACAATTTTTTTAATTGTTTAAATAATTTAAATTTTTGAAAAAAAAATTGCCTTGTTTCAAAATGTGGCCGATGTTTAAAAAAGAAAAGTATGAAACTTTTAAAATGTGACCACTGTTAAAAACACTATAACTTGCCACTGACCAGAAGTCAAATTTTCTAATTTTGCCATATAGTCAGAGTTACTTTTCTTTGCACATAGGTATTCAATATATACATGGCTGGAAGGCATTTATGTTCTCGTAGATATCGTGAATTTTCCAATTTACATTTGAATCTTAAGAAAGAATTTCCCGATTTCAATTTTCCAAAACTTCCTGGGAAATGGCCATTTACATTATCAGATCAACAACTTGATGCACGACGAAGAGGACTAGAGCAATATCTTGAGAAAGGTTTGTTTTCTCTTAACTTTATGCATTTTAATCAATGGTATATTGTATCTGCTATTATCAACTTTTTGTCAATATGAGTTTATTAATTCAAAGTATTTTTCTTCCGTTGTCTATTGAAATTTTCTGCTGTTCTTTTTCTTAAACTTTTATGTTACTATTCCTTTTGCTGTCATTTTTTTTTTCATATTCACTTAGTTTTCTTTAAAATGTATTGTACTTAACAACATTAAAGGACAATTATACTGTTTTGAATTAAAGAGAGACAAGAACTGTATAGCTCTATAGTATTTCAATATTGCTCCCCATCTGTGTTTTAGATTTATAGACTTACATTGTGCTGTAATTTTGTTATTTAAGTATGTGAATGGAACTTTAACAAAGCATTTAAAAAATATGCCTTATTGAAATTAATGCATTGAAACTAATTATGTTTTCAACTTACATTTTAAAATAGTTTTGTGTCATTGAAATGCTTAAGCATTTCAAAAACCATAAAATGCCATTAAAAATATTTATGCATGAAAAATCACTCTACTGAAGAAGCTAAGTTTTTGAATAACAAATTAAGAAAAATCTTTTTAATTAAAAAACTTATTTAAAAAAAAATACTATTTTTAAACTGTTACTTAAGAAATTTTATAAAAATCTGGATTTATTTATAGAAGTAATAAAATGAATGTATGTTTTTTGCTGTTTATAATATATTTTATTTATCTGATTTACCTTTAAATAATCTGTTTGTTTGTTTTTTAATAATAATAATAATAATTGGATAGTAAGCTCCCCTTCTTATTATTCCCTCTCTAATTGTTGTTGTGGTATGTCACGCATTATACATAGTTGAAATGCATATAATTCATAAAATCTTAGAAATTACCAACAATTAAACATGTTATTTAATAAAAACTTGTTACAATCTCTGGAAATATACACAATTATGGAAATATACTTTTCGTAATGAAACTATATCCATTTGCCTCTTGCTTTTATTGTACAACAATGCTAATTAATGTCATTAATAAATGTATTTGTAGTTTGTGCTGTGAGAGTTATAGCTGAAAATGACATCATGCAAGAGTTCCTAACTGATATGGATGATGAAAATGTAAGTAATGCATGGCGAATAATTAAATCTAACCTATCTGTATTTTAAGTTACTGCTACATAATATACGTCTACCACTGTTTTTTTAACATTGAGCTATAAAATGTAGTTTATATATTGCATTCAAAACTATTTAGAAATAATTTTCAAGGAGGTGCAATATTTTATTTAGCATCAGTATTTCTTATATCCAAAAAAAACATTCCTTATATTCTCTTAAATTAACGAAAACTTCTGTTATTAACTGTAAAATTCTGCAATTTTTTCCTTAGTAAATTAAATTCAGGAAAATTTTATGAAAATCAAACACAGAATTTGGTATAACAGAATTTTCACATTCTAACTATAGAAAAAGCCTAAAAGTGTTCTAGTGATTATCTCTGCTACCATACCCTTGCATAAAGCGGTATAGTAATTTGAAAGTTTAAAATTTGAATTGTTCAAAGAGCGACTCCTTTAAATCATCTATTTTATTATATTAAAATTAATGTTTTTTTTTTGTACAACTCTGTTTATTAATGACTGTAATGTTATAATTTGGGTTTTGGGCAAGGGTGTGCATTAAGAAATGTCTATCCCACTTTTTTTTAATAAAGGTCCATTTATATATATATATTCAGTTTCTTTTTGTTTACTGTAAAATGAAAGTGTTTATATATGTATATATATATTTTTTTATTATGCTTTTTTTTTATTATATTTTAATAGCCTTAAATTTTGACATGAATTCAAATTAAATACAAAAACTTTGCTTTTATTAAAATTACTATAATTAAAAAATTTGAAACCAAATGTAGTACAAAACAAACATTTCTGTAATATTTTTAAACACGTTCTTTTCAAAAATTTAATTTAAAACAAAAAATAGTTCTTATTATATTGTGATTTTTAGCATATCTGCACATAAAATTGTCAAAAGAAAGAAAAAAATCGCAAAATATAACATTAAAATCTAAAATAAAAGTTGCACTTTATAAGGACTTCATTAAGTCTAAAAATTGCTTGAAAACAAGAACACTAAAAAAATTAGGAATGGAAAATGGAAAAAAAGTTTTTTTTCCTTAGAACTGTAATTATTACTTTATTATTGTTTATTTCATCTTAGTTTACATGTTTATATTAGTCACATGTTTCTGTAATTGTCATCCTCCTAGGTTTTGGATCATCAAATATTGTAATCTATAGTTTAATTTAAACCAATTTTTGATATCAAAAACTAGTTTTTGATGCCATGTTCTATGTTGATTACGAAATGAACATTATCGATAGTATTTAAACTAAAGATCTAATTCATCTTTACTTATCCATAGGTTTACTATTTGACCTGTAACTTTGAAGTACTGGTACTATAACACTGTTTAGTTTATTTATGAAAAATATAGGATTCAGTCTCTCTATGGCTGGTCACAAAAAAATACAAAATAAAAAAAGCAGTCAAAATTATAAATATGAAAATTAAAATCAAAATTATAAATTAAAGCACTGCTTTGGTCTATTTAGAAATAAATATGAATGTATAATTTATCAAAACATCTTGTAAAAGAAAATTCTACAAGTAATTTTACCGTACTTAAAGTCTGCTAGTGTCTGTCAAATATTAGACCCCTTATTATAGTACATTTATATTTTAATTATAGGGTGGAAGTTCAGCAGCAGTTGATCTGAAAATATTGTTACCTGACCACTCAACTGTAATTGTTAATGTCCGCAAAAACAGCACTACTGAAGATGTTTATCAAGTGTGTATCATGTTAATATTATTTCTTCTTTAAATCTGCAGTATTTAAGAAAAAACTTTTACTATTTTAATTGCTTAAGTATTTATCTTTCATTTTTATAAAAAAAATTAATAAAAAATTGTGTAATGGGAAAAGTAATAAAAAATTACTAGATTTAATTTTTACAATTGGAAAGGAAAAGCATTCAGATATTGATAATTTTCTTTACCTATTAAAATTATATATAAAAAAAAAAACTTTTTCTTTATGAAGCTAAGTAGTTTATTGTTATTTAAACATTCATATTCTTTATTTTTTAAATATATCTTAAATAAAAAATGTTATTCATAAAGTCTGGTAGTGTTCTTCCTTGTAACTATTTACTTATTTTTCATTAAGTATGTTTTTTTTCTTCTTATTAATACTATGTTTTTCAAGCAGTTTATGTGGAAGCGTATAGCCTGCATATATCGAGATTGGCTTGGTTTTTTAAATATATTGTTTTATATTTTTAAATAGCTAGTTAACTTATAAGCTTACACTAGTAGACTATCTTTATATTTACTCTATGGGAAAAGCATTCACTCTGACTATTGCAATTCAGAAAATGGGTCACTCATGTACAAACAAACATTTTCATGTCATTACAAGCATACAGAGCATACATTTTTTTTTTCTTTAGTCCTAATAAAGTTTATTTTATTCATAACTGAAACCACTTGTTTGCATTTTGATAATATAAGTATAATTTGATAAATTCCATATGATAATTCGATTAAGCAGATAAATTTTGAAGAAATAAATTTTGAATTTACATAAAATTACTGATCCCGTTATAAATGAAACCGCATTGAAAAGCTTAGTATGTTTTTTTGTAGTTTATGCAAAGTTTATTTGGACACATTTATTTCCTATAAATTTTTATCAGGACTTTACAAAATATACTTCATAGAGTTAAGAAAGTTTATGGGTTCCAGTAAAAGCAAATGTTATCATAACATAAATTTTATTGTATCACAATAGATGATGGATCACTAATTATAATGTAGTCCAGTAACACTTCTAAGTAAATGTATCAGTTAAATAGTTAAATGAATTTATTGATATATGCATATTTAATATATATATTTATATATATACTTCTTAATTTTAGGCTGTTACTGAGAAAATTAGTTTGTCTAAAGAGCTATCGAAATATTTTGCTTTGTTTGAAATTGTGGAATATGGATTTGGTTTGTATTTCAGTTCTAATTATCTTGTAGTTGTATACCTTTAAAACAAACATTACTTTTCAATTTTTAAATGTTTTATTTATTTTGCAGAAAGAAAATTACAATTAAATGAATATCCACATAATTTGTATATTCAAAACTATAGTACTGCCACATCAACTTGTCTGCTCATAAGGAAATGGTTGTTTACACTTAGTAAAGAAATAGAACTTTCAGAGGACAATACAGCTGCAACATATTTTTTCTGGCAGGTTAGAAATTTAAAATTTTCATTTTAAACAATATTTAATCTGCCAAAACTTCACAAAAAATATCTTTTGATTTAAAATCATAAAGAAATGTGAAAACAAAGTTAATCTCTGCAATTAATTTCTTTAATCCAAATTATTAGTACAATTGTATTTAAGATAAAATGTAATTATTATTCATAATTGTAGATTATATTTCTTACAATTGTAGTTCCATTTTAGTTGTAATTATAATTACTGGTATGATCATAATTTGTAATTTTGTGTAATCACAATTAAAAGTTTAATCATTTATGATGATAAGAATTTCTTGTAACCAAGATTATGATATAATCAATTATATTTTATCCATCTCTGATGCATCTACTGCTTATAAATTTTTGGTATATGATGCTTAGCAACAAGCCATTAGGGTATTAGCTGAATTTTTTTTATGACTTTCTCATGACAAAAATTGCTGCTTTTTAAGGTTTCATTTGAGAACTTATTCAAATACTTTAATGATTAAAACAGTTCTAATACAAAATATTTAAAACTCGTCCTTTATTGTTCTTGTTTATTACTGCACTTGTATTTTTTATTTATTGCTTTTTGAAATCGAAACTAAATCATTTCATTTATTTTATTTCAGGCCATTGATGATGTAAATAAAGGTCAAATTAAACCTGGAAACAAATTATATGAATTAAAAGCTCTGCAAGATTCATCACGTAAATTAGAAGTAAATATCTAACTGTAACTTAATTTCATGTTTTTGTTTATGCTTAGAAATTAAATTTTACTGTTATAGTCTCAGAATATTAAAAATAATAAATTAGACATTAATTTTAATTATAATACAATTTTTTTAGCTTTAATTAGATTTACTTTGTTGCTGTTTTGTTTTTTTTTTTAAGAGAAATGAAACCTAGCTCTGTATTTAAAATATCAAAAAGAAATATAACTTTTTTTTAAATATATTTACTGCTTTTATGATTATTTGAATGAATATTGACTGGTATATGTATAAATAGTATGTACAGCTATTTTTTATAGCATGTACTTTTATTACTAAAATGGTTTTTGTTCAAAGAAAATAATAAAAAAAATAAGGAGTGTAAGTTTATTTAATATATTTTCATTATATTTTATTTATAAGGTATCATCTGAATCCATTTTGCTTTTAGTTTTTTTATTGCACTTAAAATAATTAAGATTAAATAAAATTTCCCATGCATTTGTGTATATTCAACAATCATTAACACTTTTGTGAACGTTCATTTTTATTCAAAATGCAGACATCTTTTCAAATTAAACAAATTTCCTTACTTCTTCACACATTGATTTAATAACTTTGCAATGTTTCTTAAATTAAAGAAACTTTTCTTAATTTTCCCACCAGTTTCTTAAATAAAACTATCGTGTATTCAACTCTTTTTGTGTAACTTATTTTTAAACTTCAGCCATTTTTCTTTATCAAAAAAATATTATCATTACCTAATAGTTTGCTATTCTTTCTGAAAATTTGTGAAAGTTAAAATATCTTGCTTCTAATTATTTAGTCCTATATTAATCTCCTCTATCTATTTTAGTACTTAAAATTAGCAAGACAACTAGATGGGTATGGTGAAATATCTTTTCCTCATTGCTCTTGTGATGCCCGAAAAGATGGACATGTAGTAGCCAGTATAGGTTTAACCAACTTCAAACTACAAGCCTGTAAAGATGATGGAACTCTAGAGGTTTCTATATTATCTTGTTTAGTCATTCTACTGAAAGGTTTATTGTGATGTTTTACCATTGTTATGTTTTAATGCTTAATGTTTTCTTTCTATTCATGAAGATTTTTATGTAATCTTGTAGAATTTGTTATGATTTTCTTAGGATTATATTGCATTGTATTTAATTAATATATTTATTTTTTTATTTGTTTTCAGTCCCAGATAATTGACTTTAATTGGGAAACAATTAAGGAATGGGAAGTAGATGACGAAGGAATGTCTTTTACCTTTAAATATGCTCCTCCTGATAAAAAGCCTCGTTTTGTAAAGATTTTTACACCTTATGTAAGTATATTTGAAAGAGAAAAAAAAAATTTCATTGAATTGTTTATTTTCATCTTCTTAATTTTAAGTCTTTAAAATATTTTTGCATTCACGGACAAAAATTAAACAGAACATTTAAAGAAAGGGCATAAAAAAAGTTTTAAGAAATTATCTTTTGATTTACACCTACACCAATTAAGTCATCTTCACTAATTAATTTTTAGCCCTTTTTTGGCACAACAGCTAATTTATCATATATTAAGTGTTCGACATTCTTGCCTCTTAAAACTTGTGAATCAAATATTTTGCGCCGCAGCATGCAATACAGATAAATTTTAGAATTTTTCCATGGTGTTGCAGATCATCACAAAGCTCTCTTCTATTGAGTTTACTACAAAAGTAACATTCCATTATTTCAAAATAATTTAAACATTTTTCAAATGCTATATTTTCAGACATATTATATTTTCTAATATAGTAGTATAATCTTAAAAGTTTTAAAAAAAAACTTGCTGTAAATATTTCTGTAAATTGATTCTTATAGATTGATTCTTGCTGTAAATTGATTCTTATAGCATTAAATTAGACATTTGATACTTTTCATCCCATGAAACTGCATTTAAACAACAACAAAAAATTTATAATAAATTTGCTGCACACAAAATAGTCTTAATTGTTTTTCAAATGTATCAATTCATAAATTAAATGTTTTCAATGTATATATATATTTATGTGTGTGTAACCCGTAAACCGGGAACACATACTTGTATTTTCACCGTAAAATGCTGGCACACCTTCAAACTGGGAACGTCCCCAGTTAGAGAATCGAGTAAAAAACCCTTAAAATGTAAATAATTTATATGGATACGGATTAATTTTTTTTTACTCTATTTTCGATAAACAATATCATTGACTTTTCTAATTGGTTTCAAAACATTTTTTGATTAATTATAGCTTAAAAAAGCATTTTTGTTCTTTCTTTTTTTTTTCAGTCCCCGCTGTTCTACCAACTCAATATAAGGGACTGTGTACAATTCGGGGATAGTGTGTGTTGCTAATATTTCAGAAGTCCCCAGTTCCTTGGAATAGATATATACTCCCCGTTCTCAGTTAAAAAAATTTCATTATTTACACACCATTACATGAAAGAAATTCGATTCATTTATGTATTATTCATGTAACATTTAGGCAATATTTATTAACATCGATTATTTTAGAAATATAAATAAAATAAAAACATTTTAATTAAGTATAAATATGCTAATGATAAAAATACACAAGTGAAGAATTATTTTAATTGCAAATACTTAATTATAAATACTTTATATTACTTTAATTATAATAACTTAAATTTTTTTTGTCAAACTGCAGTTTTACTTGGTTAATTTTAATGACTTCTAAATATGAGATAAAATGAGCAATTCATTAATTATGAACTAATTCTAATTTAAGTACTTAAAATAAATTTAATTTCAATAACTAAACTTTACTTTAATACATTTATTGTTTTAAAATTATCTAAAATCATGTTTGTATTGTACAATCAAATCAAAACAAGGGTCCTCAGTTTACTGTGTGTTAGAAAGGTCCCCAAAGCTAAATTTTTAGCCTTGTTTAAATACATGATTAACATTTTATTTCTGCATCGATATTTTTTTAATGTTTGTTTTTAACGCTTTTTATAATTATATATTGATCAAACTGAAATTTAGATATCATACCTGGAAGAATCAAACCCAAAATCACAAAAAAATAATAATTCTTACTGCAAAATTAAAAAAATCCCTGTTTAACGGTGTGTAAGACGAGTGTGTATGAAGTCTGCGTTTGCGCTGAAAAAATACATGTTGAGAAAAAATAAAAAATTTTAAACCATATATTTCATTAGGATGGTATTTAGTTACTAGATTCAAATTGCATAATTCCTTCATAACGTCCCCGATATACTGTTTTTTAACACAGTCCCCGTTTTACGTATTCGGTAAACCTGTGGGTGCATATATATTTTTTGTGACTTCTTTTCTTATTCATTTTGCAATATCTTGCTTGAAAACACCTGAAAATGCTACAATGAATAGTACAAAATCAGATTTAAATGAAATTATATCTTTAATAGTATTTCAATTGACTTCGTTTTATGACTATTTTGTGTATATTAACTTTTATTTTGATTTTTTTCTTTGACAATTTATTTGGTGGTGAACATTTCGATTTTANTCTCTCTATATAGGCAAAGCATTTAGGTATTATATTTGAAATTAATTATTGCCACAACAAGCATTGTTGCTTCTAGTAAAATAGAAGAGAATAATTTTTAAAATTGGTCTTAGATTAAGGTCCTTGAAAATTTTGTTGAGGTCCTTGAAAAGTCCTGGAAAGTCCTTGAATTTCAATCTCATCATAGAGTGGGAACCCTGTAATACCATTGATTGAATATGAATTTTTGTAAAGTGCTTGAAAAGTTTTTAAAAAGTGCATATTTTTGATTCAAAGATCTGGCTACGCACCCTGACTTAGCCTTTTAACCAGTATTAAATATTGATTTTAGAGGTTTGTAAAATTAAACCTTTTTTTAAAAAAAAAAGTTTTTTAAAAAGAAACTTTAATTCAAATTGGGATAAAATATTTTTTGTTACAAAATTAATTTGTTTTTATAGTGGTTTACCTACTCTTGTTTTTTTATTGTTCTGGTGGAAGCCTAAAGTTGATTATAACCTTTCGTTTTGCAAATTTTGTTTATGGTAATGAATTCAGTGCTTGTTATGAAATGTATATTTCTCAAACTTGTACATAAAAATCAGGAAGAAAATGTAATTTCTAAATTTGAGGATGAATTTTAAAAATATATATTTTTAAGAAATCTGATACTATACAATATCATGTTGACTCCCAACATGGTATTTTCCTGTTTTGTGCCTATTATATCCATAAAAAGGTTGTGCATTTCTGAGTTCTTAAGAATCATTATAGTTAAGTAAATTAAAAAATTTATCCCAATTTTTGATTTAAAATGATTTTGAAATTTGATTTATTAAGTTAGTAAAAAAAGAAAAAAAACACTATTTTTGAAAAACTATTTTTTGTATTTATATTAGTTTTTGAAATAATTTAACTATTGTAAAATAGCTGAAATCTGTAAAGTTTTTTAAAATGCACTAATAACTGTTTTTTAATCAGAATTTCTTAAAGACATTTAAAAAATGAACTTAAGCAAAACCTGTAAAAAAGCTAATCTAAAATTAAAAATGGATAAAACTAGTTTTGTTACATATTGCCGCTCAAAATCCAAAATAAATCTTTTTTAACCAATTTGAATTTCTTTTTAACTATCATATTACAGTAGGGAACCGATTATCTGGAACAATCAAGATCATTGCTATTCCGGATAACTGATTTTTCCGATTTTCTGAGTCGCTACAAAAAGCTGTTTTTTTTTATTGTTAAACCCAACTAAAAAAAAACAACTATTTGGAAATAATCTTAAAAAGAAGAAAAAACAATGAAGTAATACACTAATGATTATTTCTAAAATGATGGTAAGGTAAATATCTTTCAAAAAAGAAAGAAAAATCCTACAATCTTAAGAGGAAAAAAACATTTTTGTTAAAAAAAAATGGCAGGAAAATTTATCGAATTTCGTTCCGGTTTTTGGGATTTCCGGATAACAAGTTCTGTACTGTATTTTAAATATGATAAGTGTAAAAACAGATTTAAAATAAGTGGAAGTGAAGAAAAAATTTTTTTTTTATTTCTTGTTAAAGGTCAATTTTCGTATTACAGTACAAAACCCGTTATCCGGAAATCAGAAAACCAAAAAACCGGAACGAAATTCGATTAGTTTTCCCGCCATTTTTAAAAAAAATAATTTTTTTCTTCATATGATTTCAGGGTTTTTCGTTCTTTTTTTAAAGATGTTTACCTTACCATCATTTTGGAAATAATCGTTAGTGTATTACTTCATCGTTNGGAAAATTTATCGAATTTCGTTCCGGTTTTTGGGATTTCCGGATAACAAGTTCTGTACTGTATTTTAAATATGATAAGTGTAAAAACAGATTTAAAATAAGTGGAAGTGAAGAAAAAATTTTCTTTTTATTTCTTGTTAAAGGTCAATTTTCGTATTAATAAAAATTAAAAAATCCTTGTTTAATAAAAATGGTTATTTACAAAAGAATTATAAAGTCTTCATATTCATAATTAAGGGAATAAACTTTTCATAGAATCCCCAAAATTTCAAGTTTTTCATAATTTATTGATTGGGAATTAATTTTTTTTTAAATATTCGGAAATCAGATTTTTGGATAAGTTGCTTTTGACGCTAACAGAACTGTAAGTTAAACTTTAATTAATTCTAACATTTGTTTTAATGAAGTTTTCCCCTTCATAATGTGACTTCTGAGTATATTTTTGTGTGAGTATATAAATAATTAAGGAATCCAACAATAATTGACTTGAACTCCTTTAACTAAAATTTTTTTAACAAAAAAAAGGTTTTAAAGTATGTTTGGCATTAGAAACTTTTAAACAGAAATTTGAAACAATCTATTTAAAAACTATAATCCTTTTTCTGTCCTTTTTTTAAAAAATTAAATGCTTAAAGCACTTGCAGAAAAGCTTTAATCAAAACTTTTTAATTTCTAGCTATTTGGGAGTCAAAATAATTTAAATTGGCCTTAAATAAATCTTTTTGTAATAATTATGTTTAAAAAGACTTTTTTTTTTTCATCTTTCATTAATTTGTTGATCCTACATGTAAAAATGTGTTTTTAAATCTGAAACAAATTTTATTCTCATACAAGTACAGGTGTTGATGTCAACAAGTATTGGCACCCATAAAATTACAATAATTATTTAGTACTATTTTGAGTTTATTATTTTTATTTCCTTATTTTCTAGGAGAATAAACTGGAGAAGTTTCTTTAATCCAAACTTACCTGCAAACATCATCATTGCTCATAGTCCATATTGCCATTTGTAAAAATATCTTTTTCTTACCTATACTATTCATGAATAATTAAACAAGTTTTATGTTATTAAGATCCACATTGAACTTTTTGTTATTTTTATCCCACTTTGATCCCCGGATCATTTTCAGACAGTTATTAATTTCAGCTTTTATATGGTAACAAATAATTTCATTTGCTGCTCTTGTGTACTGTTTTTGTGTGTGAATAATAGAAATTGTGCTTGATACACATATCTTGAATGCAGTTTAATGCCTGCCATATACATTGTTTGTTGAAGGTTGAGTGCAAATACAGGGGTGTTTAGTAATGTTTCCTATTTGCTGATCTTGAAAAATTGTTTGGTATAAGAAATGTAATTTAAGTTATTATGGGTCATTTTACTTTAGGCGTTAATTTTAATGTGAAAAAAAAAGTTTTCAAAAATCTCTCCAAGTTTACGTCTGTTATATGGTATTCATTTTGCTTAACCTTGTTTCTAACTGCATTTATCTTGCTGAAACCTTGGTAAATTTTGGATTTAATTGGATTTTTGGTAAACCTATTACACCAGCATAAGCTAAAGGTTAAATATTGTGGCTGTAATTCAAAAGTCTACGAGTAGTGAAACAGTTATAAGCAGCCTGTATTTTGCAAATTTGTGTTATTAAAATTAATTCAAAAAAATATATCCTTTTAACTTAACTAATGTGTCACTTTTCCAAATAAAATTTTTGGAAATATTTTGGGTCAAAAATTAAGCAATATATATCTCAGAGTACATATAATTATTTTGCTAACTAATGCATCTGAAGTTGAAATTGTTCACTAGTTGAAATGTGAATAAGATTGAAATTCTTTATTTTATACAACTTGGAAGGTTCGTTGCTCTTTTAACTTAATTTGATTAAAGATTATTTTACTTTAATTTCTTTAAAATTCCGTTTTTTTTTCCCTTATCAAAGTATTCTTTCTGAAGATGTTTGTAAAGTTTTTAAATTTATATTTGATAAAATTTATAAAGTGTAAATAAAATTGTATAAATGAAAATAATTTAAATAGAGAATATATATATATGTACGTATTAAATTATTTATAAGTGGTTTATGTATATATATGTCTGTGATCATTATTAGTTTATTGAAGAGTTGGTATATGTTATTTGAGTGAATTAAGTTATTTAAGTGTCAGATGCATTATTACTCAACTTACTTGAACAGTTCATTTACAACGTAATCTCTTGTTTACTAGATACAAAACAAATCAGTTTTGTAATTTTTTAACTATAACATTACTTCTTGATGAAATTTATGTATTTAAAATTGAACTTTGATAAATTTGTTCTAGAATAATGATTCAATACTTTTATTTTGTCCATAATTTATATTTTTAACCTTTTGTGTTCTCTGATGCCTAGATTCTCAATGTGATTGTTCCACGATGTGTGCGATTTGTGTTTTTCGTTTTTAAAACGGTGTAGTAGATTATGAACTGTTCTGCATTATCTTACTTTTCTATAAACTCTATTTAAAATATGAATAACCTAATATATATTATTTACTGAATATCTTGAGACTATGCTCCTAAATGCAGTTTCAGTTATTATATTCTTATCATACTTTATTTTGCTGCTCTTTGCCAGGATTTATCTTCATGCTATTATAAATATTGACATATCTTTTTTAAAATGACTGTTTTATTATTAAATATTTTCTCTATTTATATATTTTTGTAGATAATGTATAGATATATTATAATTAAGTAAATGTAAATACATCTTTATTTTAACTCATTAAAAGGGTTCTGCAAGCTATTTTTTGTGCTTATAAAATAGTTAAATTTTTTTTTCTTTGTTGTACTTTAGTTCATAGATTGTTATAGATGTATCCAAAGTGTTTACCCTTTGTTAGAAAAAATATTGTGATTGCAAAAATACAATAAATATTTAGAGATGCATTAGAATTTTCTCTTGCAACTTGTGTGAATGTGTGCTTGTGTAAGTTATGTGTTAATTTAAAAAATTCATTTCAGAAAACAAGTATTTTTATTGTAAACAATTAATGTTTACATTAAGTAAGATTAAAACCTGGTATTTTAATCTTAACTTTTTGTTTGTGCCATGTAAATTATTGTACTGTTATATTACTTTAACGGTATTGTTAAATGCATTCACTAGAAGGAAACTATGCAAAACTGTTAATCTAACTTGAATGAAGCATTTTATGCATTGTTCTTCAATTAGGCCTAAAAAATTGCCTTGATCAACGTTTATTACGTTTTTATTTTATATGTCTCTATGTGTCACATTTGTTATGTATTATTTCGAATATATAGGCCAATGTTACAATTATTCCATATATATAAGAATATTATTTTTTACTAAAAGTTGAACTCTAATATCATGCTAAATATAATTTTTAAGTGAACATATTTAACTGATGAGTAGCTAATAAAAAGCAAACTTTTTTCATAAACACTCAATGTTTTTACTCTATTACAATTTACCTCATTACAAAACTCTATTCACGTTTTCTATATGAATTATTATGGTTAATTTCCAAAGAAAGTACCATACTGAGAGAAAAAAATAACTAATAAATTATCTTAAAAAATTTGAAATATAAAATACTTTCTTTAGAAAGTGTGGAATTTGCTCTAATTGGAACAAAGAACAACATTGATATTGTGTTTAATTTTCATATATGGTTATTCTTTTTCTAATTGTTCTGTTTGAAATGACAGATCCATCTTTAATATCATATACAGTATAATATTTCATATTATTATCAGAATATAAATATATTCAATTTTAAAATGATTCATCAGTTTGAATACTTCAAATTTTCTCAGACATTAATTAAATTGTGTACTATGTTTTAGAAACATTTTGTTAAAAAAAATCTTTCATAACTTTATTTTTAATTATTAGCTAAGATGCAAACAAACAAAAAATGACACACTATAATAAAAGAATATCCTAGTTTCTCAGAGTATTGCTACTTAAAGAAATGATTGAGTGAAATCAATATATGCTAATATTAAATCTAGGTAATGAAAGTAAATTTACAATTTTCTCAAAAAGTAATATTCAAAAATATGTAGAAAAAGATACACATAATTTTTTTAATCTAAAATATGTTATTTCCTTATGAGATGTTTAAAAAATAGATTATTTTGTAATGCAATCTTTTATAAATATTTGTGAAGTTAAAAATAATTCAATAAATAACAATAAGTAAACATTTTAAAACTAATTTATCAAAATAACTTTTGTCATTTTTAAATTTTTTTATTATTTTGAAATAATTAAAAATCATTTACTTTATCTTTAAAGTAGTATTCCTGCCATATTATTTTTTTAACATATTTATGAGAACAAATTTAAAGTATAACTTAGTATTTGAAAGTTTCTTAAAGTGAACCGATTATAAATCTCTTAGACCATCACTTTAATCTCTAATGCAATAAGCTTAATATTTATACATATGTTTAAAAGTTGTTGTTTAGACCAAATTTAAAGTATTATCTGTAGCACAAAATCATTCCATTTTATCCATTTTTTAACAAGAAAAATGGATAAATAGTTTATGTATTTGCTCAAAAATTTTGTTGGAAATAAAATGCATTATTATATTTGGATAAAATATAAGCCTTGCAATTTCAAATTTTATACATTTGTAGCTGTAAATATTGAGAAATTAATCTTTTTTTTTTTAATTTGTAAATACATACACTTCTTAACTTTTAAATGTCTTGTTCTTCTAAAGCAAAATATTAAGTTTCCCCCTTTTAATAAACTGTTTTCCTTCATTCAGAAAAGATCAGAATAAGTAAATTAAAAATTTAAATGATGCTGTTAATTCTTTAAACTAAGATCTCAAGTTTTAAAACTCATAATTTTTCTTCATATGACAACTAATATTTATTTTTATCTTCTATTAATCTCCTGAAAGTATATCACCATCAATTTGTATCATGTACATGAAAGATGCATTTCTTTCAATACTGTTTATACCAATTTTTTTTTTAAATCTTAACTATTATTAATCTCACCTACCTAATAACAAGTCAAAGTAGTGATAGATACGCACAGATTTCAACATTGATTAGTAATTTTAAGTTTTTATGTGCAAATTTTCAGTTCTTTAACTATGTACAATTACTACTGTGGAGGGTTTTCAATCATTAACTGCAGAATTTAATTCTAGGCAGGAAATTGCCGAATAATCTATTTTTCTTTTCTTTTTCAATGGGTGCTTTTTAATATGTCAACTATCCATTATGCTTAGTAAAATTTCTACAACTATTTGACAAATGCTACGTTTAAGCAAAATAAGTTTTGAAGATATTTAACACTTTTATGTTACGCTGTTATACAATTAAATTTAAACTTATTATAATTCACTCTGCAATTATTGAGTAGCTATAGCAGTGATTATAGAAAAGCATCTACAAATTGGCACTCGTGGGTGACTTAATTTGATCAGAAATTAAGCTATATAGTTTTTAAAAAAATCCATTTATTTAACATGTTTATCAACTATGTTTTATTTCAACTCTTGCGGTGTGTAAATCATGAGTTAAATACTATTATACTTTTTTTCAATGAATCTAATTTTAAAAGAATTAGGTATTGACCATTCAAGAATTGCCTTAAAATGTATAAAGCAGGCTTTTCTATTCTGCTGATGTAACTATGCATTGATTCATTCTTATGATATTTCAGGAATATTGATACATTTTGTAAGTATTATTTACAAAGAACTAAGATTTTCAGACATCAAAAATAATTTTAATGTCAATTGTACAGCTACTCTTTATAAAGAAAATGTTATAATATTGGTTGAAAAACCATATGGAAGTTTCAGATGACATATGCAATGGTTGTATATTCTTGTTTAATATGTACATGTAGTTATTGTTAATATTGTATAACTTTTTGGAAATAAATTACTCCTAAAATCATAAATATTTGTTTTATTACAAAACTTTCTAAAAAAAAGTTTGTGGCATATAAGAACAACATCACTGACAATTTTGTACTCTCACAGCCTTGTTTTTCATGTAATCAACGGACAGGCATTAATACTGATTAGTAAGGGAACCACTATAAAATGACAATATACATGAATTCAAATTTCTCTCAGTTAACTTAGAAGTAGTGACTAGTAAGCAAAAATAGTTCCCTGTGACTAAGGCACTATTTCTGTTTCTTTCCCAGGGTGCGTAGCCAAATTATTCAACAAAAAATAAGCACTTATAAGAAACACAATTAGGTAGGATTGGAAAATTTTTGACGTTTTTATCTGGTTTTAACCGTCATGTCAAAAATAAAATAAACTTTTGGCATCGTTTTTGACAACTGTCAACTTTTTTTAATCATGTAAATCGAATAGCGTTTTCATAAGCTGCGGACTGACGATAAGCAGAAATATATTGGAGTTGAATTAATTGTGAAAACATTGAATAAAACAATGTGAACAGCGTTTTTCTGCTTAATTCGTAGCGAAAATCAACACGGTGAAGGAAAAATCTCATTTTGGAAAAGGTAAATTAAGCATTTTTTAAAAAACCACAATGAAAAAACCACCTTAAGGGCTTTTCAAAATAAGCACCTTTAAGCATTTTTTGAAAACGCTACGCACCCTGTTTCCATTAATGCCCCATTGAAGTTTATGTTTAAAAAAAAAATTTCAAACTATAACTATACATTATCGGTTTAAAAAAAAGTAGGCACTATTGCCTACTTTTTAGCAACCATCCCTCTTGGGATTTAAATTAATTCATAACTTCACAGAACTATGTACATTTTTATTTAAATTTCGAACAATATCTAATTTAGCAAACATAAAGTTATATAAATAAATGGCTTAGTCTTCAAAATGACTCAGTTTAAAATGTCCCAATCTATTTATTGTCCAATCACTCTTGACCCCTTTAGTATATTCTCTAATAAACCTGCAATAAAAAATTCAATTTTACATACAAATCACATTCACATACAAATTATAGCGATTTTTCTTTGAGAATTTCATAAAATTAATAAAGATAAATTCTGTTATAAACAAATTGTCCTGAATTGAAAACTATTTATTTATAGTTCATAAAATACTCACCTATAATTACATATTTTGATGTCCTCTTTAGATTTTTCATCAAACATTTTACCTTGTGCTTTCATCTCTTCGAAATCATTCAGGCAATGATAAACAACTGTTATTTCTGCAAATCTTTTCTGATTATCTAAGTAAAAATTTTAAAAAATAATCTTTTAAACTACATTGAAAAAACAGTATGTAAATATGCAATCACAACACAAAATATTTAAAAAATTTCCATAGACAATACCTAATTATCAAAGAGATGCTAACTTTTGAAGATAGTTTAAAGTTATGAAATATATTTAATTTGGCTCCAAAATAAACCAAAAGCAAAATAAGTCCGTCATATTAATGAAAAGGTATTTCAGAATCAGAAAGAAAGAAAAAATTTCCAACATTACATCTTTGGACTAAAACAAAAAAAATTTCTGTACTTTATTTAAGCTTTATTCTCATTGTCTTTTTCCTCTACTCTGAGTAGCACTAAGTAAACGCTATCCTCCTATTGGATTAAATCTTTAGTTCTTAAATTCCCTTGTTGTTGCTTATCCTCAGATCAACTCCAAGAAGGGGATGGGAAATTAAGTCCACCCTGGACAGCCCGACATAACCAAAGATATGTTTCGGTGCGGCTGGTTGGATACAGCATTTTTTACAAGNCTACATTATTTTTTAAACCAAGGCAAACATTCTTGATTTGTTACTTTTTCAATCACTTTTGAAGTACAAATTTTGTTAATGACGACGATGATAAATTATTAATAAAATACCTATGATATGAAGGTCCGAACATTAAAATAAGGGCTGCCTTAAAAATCTTTCGAAGGGACAAGTGCCCAAATGGTGCACCATTTGCAAACACAAACATTCGCTGGCTGTTGTTCCAACAACTTCTTCATCCCATCAAAAGCATTTTGTCTTTCAGAAACAATTCTGTCAATCGTGGATCCCCACGATTCACAAATTGCTTCTGAAATGGGAATGGAAAATAAAAAAGTCATAAACTGTTATGAAATTGGAAATCTCGGAATTTAAATCTTTTACGGCTTGATTTAGAAGCTTTCTTGATAAAATAGGTGATCGATTTCTCCTGCTGTCTGCTAAACACTGATACATCCATTTTATAAAAATGTTATAGCCAAAAGCTTATTCTTTAATTTCCTCCTCAGAATGGCAAAGATATGGGAGAGGGAGAATACTGATAAATGTTCCTCTTTTAAAGCAACATCACTCCAGGGAAACAGCAAGTGGTCAAAGCTAAAGAGAATTCTATTCAAGATACAAATTGTTCTGCAGGATTTCGTTTGTTCTGCGACGTACGTCACAGTTTTAGGCACTTTCTGCTTCTGGGACGCTATCCTCCTATTGGATTACATCTTTAGTTCTTAAATTCTGTTGTTGTTGCTTATCCTCAGATCTGACATTAGTCAGATCAACTCCAAAAAGTCGATGACAAGAAGGGGATGGGAAATTAAGTCCACCCTGGACAGTCCGACATAACCAAAGATATGTTTCGGTGCGGCTGGTTGGATACAGCATTTTTTACAAGTCGGGTAATTTTTTGTGCCACGTTCGAATGTTAGACATTTTAGGTGGCCAGTTGAGAATCTGGCCGAGGCAGTCTGGGAGCTTCGATCGCAATTGATTCCCAGAAGGGTGTCAGGAGATGTTGAGGTGTACCATTGGTGGGTAGGTGGAGTTTGCCAGATTGATTTTTGTCTGTATTTTTCATTGGAGTACAGTTCCTGATAAGTAAGTGATGACCCGGTGGGCATATCTTCCTCACTGCCATCTTTGGCCAATCTATCTGCTATCTCGTTGCCACCAATATTAACATGTGGTGGAATCTATTGGAGATGTACGTCATGGTGCTGAGAAATCTTTTCCATCTTGAGCAGGATAGATATACTAGTTTCATCGCTTGCAGAAAACCAGCTACTAAGATGTTGCAGAGCACTGCAGCTGTCCGATAAAATCCAAAGTTCTCCATAATCACTGTCGTACGGTAAGATAGCGTCAAGCCAAGCCCCTCCTTAATCGCTATTAACTCGCTCCTGAAGACAGAGCAAGTATTTGGATTACGTTGCTTTATTGATTTTTCTAGATGTTGGGTCCTAATATACATACCGCTGCCAGTACGATCTTTTGTAAGACTACCATCGGTATAAACCTGCATTGCATCGCTTGGTATGCATCTTAAACTCTATACTTTGCTTTAAACAGTAAGGATATTTGATAAGTTTAACAACTGGCTATGAAATGAGACTAACAAATAAAAATTTATTTTCTCCAAAAATAATAAAGAGTATCAATAAAGCATGTTAACCCAGACACACCTTACCCAAACAATCTCAATTAGCTAAAAAGATCCAATAAACCATATTGATTAAGAACCCAAGTGTCTTTTCTGCACTAAATTCTGTCTTATCTACAGAGTATCTGATGCGAAAATAAAGAACTGCTTATTTTGCCCCTTGGTTGTTAGTTCCCTTGCTTTTAAAACACAGGCTAGAGTATGTATGTATAATTTTTTGTAAGTATTTTCAAAGTCTAGAAAGTGCAAAAAAGTCCTGTTTTGGGAACACCAAAATTAGATTATTAAAGCAAGAAAAGTGAAAACAGAAACAAAATAACACTTAATAAGGAAAGATAACACAACTCAGAAAATTCATTTTGAACTTTGCATTGGAAAACCAATGCAAAGTTTAGTATGGAGGGAAAAAAAGGCAGTATGAAATGAAAAATAAAAACTGTGAAGATGTAGATAAAGCATTATATGTTAGATTCCTGCAAAAACATTCCCAAAGGCAACTCAGTTCTGACCTACTGTTATACAAAAAAAAACATGCTTTTCAATAAAAATTGAAATTATCATTTAAAGCTAGCTCTGGTAGTTAAACATGTAATATTATAATTGACCATCCTAAGTCTAGGAAAAAAGCAAGAAGTTATTTACAAAAACATTGACGTAGCCATATTTTTTATTTTTTTAAAATTATCTAAGTACACTAGAACCTCGATTAACCGAGGTTTCTGTTAACCGAGGCAATAACGAAGTCTTTTTTTTCCTCCTTTCCAAAATGAGCTTGGAAAAAATTCTGCACATTTTAGTTCGTTGTCCGTGTTACAGGCACTTATTCCCCACAAAAGCACTCAACTTCCAAGAAATATTACACTCTCAGAAGACAACATCCACGAATCTTTGTTAACAGTGGTCATGTGACCCTATTGATTACCAGTTGATTTCTTTTTTAAATCCTTTTAGCTGGGAAACATAAGTTCATATATGTTTATTTTTATCATTTAAAAAACGTTCTATTGTTTTTTAGTTTAAAAGTAGTTAAATTCGCAAGCACGGAAGGTTTTTATACATGGTTTCTATTAACCGAGATTTCCAATATCCGAGGTACAAGCGGTGCCAATTAGCTCGGATAATCGAGGTCTTACTGTATGTGATTTTTCCTGTCCTGACAAGTCTAGATAATCAGTACTCCACTGCATTACACTATATTTAACTTATTTTAATTACATTGTAGTATTTATTGATTATAAAAAAATCATCCAAAAAGAATGTATCAAATTTGTAAAAGATTAAACTTGATTGAAACTGAATAATGTTTGAAAAATTTTAGCAATTGAATGATGTCCAAAAAATAGAAAACAAATAAATCCATAAATACAATTCTAAACTTGATTAAAAAAAAATATAAGTAGAAATTATTTATAAATATAAAAAAAAAAACTTTTAAACTGTTTGCGTCTTTATGATTAATATAATTAACTAAAAGATATAAATTATTACTAACCATCATCAAATATAATTCCAATTTGAAAAGGAAAGGCAAACAAAATGTCTGTAATTTTCACCAGCAAGTCTTGTCTTTCTTTAACATTCAATGAGCAAAAGTTTTTCTTTATTTCAGATATTGCCTAAATTTAATTTTTAAATTAAATACAGAAAAAAGAATTATACAACTAAACAAATAAAAATAAGAACTATTTTAAGTGAAATAAAAGTATTGCTATTAAAATACTATTGAAACTAGTACTGTCATATGAAATTAATTAACATCTAAAATTACTTAAATTAAACATTCTGTCCATAATTTAGAATTTGATTAAACATGTTATTGTGTTGCATAGAAAAAAGAAATACGAGTTCCCTTTGGAAAACATTTTTAGAGAAAAGGATTGGTATCACTCTAAATGAGGAGAAAGTTTCTTTTTCTGATACCAATTCTATTTTACGTTATTTAGGGGTGATTGTGAGCCCAACTCAAAAATTCAAAAAATTTATTGAGTAAAAATCAATGATGACGCATTTTAAAAAAATTAATGTCTTTATAAATTGAAATCATTGATATTTTCACAACATGAAATTCTAAATAAATTAATATGCAGTATAATTTAAATTAATAACTTTGCATAAGTTTACTTTAATCTCTAATCCCATTTATTCTACCATAAAAAAAAAATATTTACAAATGAAAGAGATGTCAAGTATAAATTCTAGTTCGAATATTTTTAAATAAGATATACAAGAATTTTTATACATAAATATGATCGATGATTCTTGAAACTTCTGGATCTAGGAAGTTCCAAAAATTTCAGGGTCGCGGTTAGTGAAAAATCCGGACTTTTTCCAGAGCACAATCATCTCTGGTTATTATAGCAAATGTCAATGTTTTTGAAGGTGTGACACACATTTTCCTCTCCCTCACTTAAAATTCAAAGGAAAACAAAATTTTCTCTTTGGAAAATAGCTTTAAAGTTGAAAAAAGAGTTAAATACTAAATTAACTTGCCTTTATTTTCGCAAATATCTGAATTTCAAAAGGGGCAAAGAACATTATTCACCCCCTCGCTTAAATTTTAGAGGTGGCGCCTCCCCCGATTGGCACGCAACTGAATCTGACTAGATAGTAGATGAAACAACTACGTCAGATTGAAGTACAATATACAGAATGTGTTAACAAACAATTACATACAGTTGTAGCCCTTCCCCCTCTATTCAAAGTGTTTTTGTTCATTTGAGGGAGGGTAGTAATTTTTCAACAAAAAAAAAAGTCTTTTCACTGTTTTACCCTTCCCTTTATGTTAAAGTAGATATGCAATTACAAAAAAGAAAAATTTTCCGCAGTTCTATCTTCACATAATTTCTTTCCTATAAAAAGAAATCTTATTTTGAAAAAATGCTATATGGTCCCTTCATATGGGACACCCTTGACACTGAGGTCCCAGGGCAGTTATGGCCCAGTAACATGCTGCATTTCAATAATAAAACTAGTTTAGCATATGTTAGACATCTATTAAATAGAATCTATACACCTAAACCATTACAACTTTACAATACTTATGCTGGCTGCTACATGATTTTTTCCAGTTTTTGTCGTATGTTAAAAAAGATTATACACCTCTGACATTAATACATAAGTAATTAAAAAAATGGTATTGTTAAATAAGAATTTTATCTAATGTAAACAAATTAAAAACTAAAATGGTGACTAGAGAGGTAAGCATGCATTATAATGCATTCCACATGAGACATTGAGATATTCTTTTTTTTACTGTTAGGTGGGAAAAAATTATAATTTATGAGGAACTCCTTGATCATTCTTTTACTCACAGATATTCAGAAACATTTGATAAGTAAAAAATTGAATATTTTAATACATAATAACTAAAATTTTCAAAAGAGATTAAATAAATTATATTTTCTTTTGGTTGACTTGCTATGAATTTTTAACTATTCTATGCATATTTTTTAATATATTAAGCTATAAATCAATCTTACATCATCTGCTACAAGGCCTTGCAATGACTGGAAATCGCCTTGTGATAAAAAGGATGATGCAATACTGAGAGCCTATAAAGAAACAATAAATAATAATTATCACCAAGGATGCAGAATGTGTCTGATTGCACTAATGAGATCCCTGGAAAATCCAGGTAGTCCAGGAGAAATTTTTTGGTTTAATTAAAAAAAACTTAAATTAAACTATTCCCACTTTAAAAAAAAAGATTTAAATGGAAATTAATCCCTGCCGAAAAAAATCTTCCGAAAAAGCAGAACGAAGACTGTCCTGATGTATAAAGGTTAAAGAATATTTTGGGTATGCTAAATAAAAAAAAAGAATATTTTCTATTATGAACCCAATTAAGTATGCCAATTTGTTTATTTGATATTTTGAATTCCTTTTCTTTATGATTGGGACCTTAAATTTAATTTCATAAATTATTTCAATATATGTTGATTTCTACTATTTTTAAATCATATGATAATTTTTTCAAGAATTGTGAAAAATCAAATGAATTTTTATTTGTTAAAAAAAAAAGTATCAAAAAGGTTTAAAAATATACGAACTTTACTTTCTAAAAATATTTCAAAAACATTATTAGAACTTAGAAAAATGCATTTTGATATTTGGAGAAAAACAAAATAAATAATAAAATAAATATATATAAAAAAAATATTGTGCTCTGAAAATTTTCTCTAGTCATTATCACTAAGATATATTTTAAAACAAAACATAATAAAATCTTAATGACAATTAACAATAAAGATAATTATTCTATACTAATATCATCAATTAAAAAAGTTTAACACTTAAAAAAACACATAAATAATTTGTGGCTAAAAATGTTTGTTGTGTTAAATAATTTTATTATTTCTAATGTTTATTCTCATGAAAAGTTTATGCTCCCAGATTATAGGTTCAAAATTTTAAAAGCTTTAAAAAAAAACTTCAGCTTACACCTTAATTACAACATTGTATTTTGTGTATAAATTGACTTTTTTAACCCCCTGAATTGAGACAAATGTTGGGGCATTCCTATAAACACGGGCAATACCTTTAAACACAATTTTATTTCTTCCAAAATCTAGCACTTAGAAAATTAACCTAATGTTCTGTAAAATGAATTAATTATAAATTGTTTAAACAAACCAAACATCAATAATTCACCAGAATCAGAAACACATTATTTGAGAACGAAAGAGCAAAAATTGACCCATATTACTTTATATATAAATTATAACAATGGTTTGCATTCAATTTTTTTTAACAAGTATTAACTGAGGAGTCAACTTATACACTGAATACATACAAAATTCATCATTTTGAAATCAAAAATTGAACCTAACTTACATACTAGCAAATACCTACTGTATTAAATTCATTTTATTTAAGAAATTATTCCTACTTGAAAAATTTAGCAATCAAACATAAATCAATGTTCTCGATTACAAAAATAAGTAAAAAATGCTAGAAATTAACCATAATCTCTTTTCTTTAGAAATTTCTTAGCTTAATCATTAACTTATATTTTGAAATATCTGAAACAATTTTTAAAAAAATTTATCAAAAATAAGCATTAAAAGTAATAAGAAAGATAATAAATTTGTTAAAATATTTATTCTTTATTTGATTCTGATATGTTCTTTTATAAGAAAATATTTCTTATGGAAGTTGATGTTTTGTTATAAAAACCGAATAAAGGGTGACCCAGGGTAATTCAGGATCACTCTGTTTCTGGGGTAAATAAGGATCACCTAAGTTTTATTTAAGCAAACATTATTTTTTGTAAAATTTGAGACATGGACATGAATGTTTGTACACTTTACTAAAGTATAACTACATTTACTTAATAATAGTTTTTTGTTTAATCTAACAAAATAAGTATCTTTTAAACTGCTTTCTGTATTTTGCGTTTCAAAGATGGGTTTCAAATTGTGCACATTTCTGCAAATTCAGTAATTACTCCAGAAATGATCAAGAGAAGGGGTAATTCCTGATCAGTAAAAATTTAAAATCTTTCAAATTCTAATTAGATTTTCAAACAAAAGGTAGCATAGTACTCATCTCATAAACCCTCACACTTCCAATCAATATTAAAATTCTATCTTGAATAATTTTTTCACAAAATAGATGCTTGCATTTTCTGATCAAGAATTACCCCAGGTCCCCCTACCTACTTTATTCTATAATTTTTCTTTTAGCTTTATTATCTGGTACGTGTATTGCAAATAACAAAAAGTTTCATTTTTCATTCTTGCACATGTTGATAAATTTATGCTTTCGTTTACTAACTATTAAATATTATTTTGTAAAAATAACACTGTTATTAAGTTAACAATCAACGTATACAGAAAACTATGGTGATGGTAATAGAACCGATATAATAACAAAAAATATACATAAATTACTAAAGAGCTCACTTTTCTAGAGAAAGTACTATGCACAGCAAAACTAATAAATCTTTTTATTCTGATCGCTAACATTCAAAAATGGAAAGAGTACCTAATGTGTTTGCAAATTTTAAACTAAATTATAATAGGAAAGGAAAATTTCCATTAATCAAACTATTTATTGTTTAGATGAAAGAGATTTTCAATACTAAGAAAAGAAAAAATTACTTTTATAATTACTATCAACCAGATTACTACAAGAAAATTAAGCAATTGTTAGTTATTTTGGTGTTGTATACCAATTATACAAGAAATAATAATGAAAACCTCCTGTTGAATAAATATATCCAGTGATTCTGCTTTAGCGTCAATATTACAAATATTGTTCATGGCAGGGCTCGAAAAACCACCCGTCCGCCCGTCCTCGGCGGTCAAAAATTCCCCGCGGACGACGAATTTCTTGAATCCGACGTCCGCGCGGACGGCCATTTTCTCGTTAATGTTGGTGATACATTTTCAATTTTTGTTATCTTACAAGAGTCTAGCACCTCACTTCCAAAATGACCCTCGAATCTAGAAATACAGCAACATACTGCGCATGGTGAAATTGATGTTTTCTCTGTCTCATGTACTGCAGCGGTTGAAAGGGGCTTTTCAACAATGAATTTATAAAAAAAAAAAATCGCGTACTGGTCTTAAGCAAGAAGCGTTAAACGCAATTATGAATATCTACCTAAATGGAAAACCCCTTTCAGATTTCTGTGCAGAAACCTCTGTAAATCATTAGCTTGATTGTGCAACTGGCAAACGTCATATTTGATTTATTTAAAAAACGCAGTACCCCCGGATAAATTGACATTCCAGATAACTTGACATTTGTCATTTAAATTATTTCATAAAAGAAATAAATTATTTTATAAAAGAAATACTAGGTTCCTATTAGTAACCTAGTATTCCTTTTATTACTGTATAATGCAATCCTAGTATTTGTAATCTTAGTAACTACTAATTCATTGTGCAATTTATATAAATGTTTGTAATAAATAAGAGAAAATTATATATTTATTTATTTAGAAGCTACGAGTTAGTTTCAAAGGAGGACTGGTACATGATTGGACAAGCCGTCCTTGGGGACGGGTAAAATTTCTGAGTTTTTTCGAGCCCTGGTTCATGGGCAATAGTGGCACAACTCAAAAAACATGCATTTTTGTCAAAGAATGCGTGTAAATATGAAAATACACATTCTTTTCAGCAGCAATACTAGCACAACACTAGCTCAACTTGAAGGTAATCTTCGTTTAAGCAAACTAACACATTTCTTATGCATTTTCCTTAGCAATGAAAACTTTAAACCCACTTATCTCAAAACATGATTTTTTGAGTCGTGCCACTATTGCAGACCATGAGCAATATATTAATCAATAGGACTGGTTTATGTTACCTATTAAAAGAATAAATATTATAAGCATTGAAATACACTTTTGAGAAAGTATTACGGAGCTCACAAAGTATAGAATTATTTATGTAGTTGTACAGTTGGCTGGTATTTAAAAAGTGATGATGCTCTGCATTTTGGGGACAATTATAGCCAGCAAACTAACAAATCTTTCATTTAATTTTTATGCTCTATTAAAGAACACTTGAAGTCATCCCTATAGTCAAGGACAATGTTGCTCAGGCACCACCTGTTTATATTTTAAAATGTCTCGATTTTAACAAAGTTTTATTATAAAATCTCATCTCCTCTTGGACCTTTTCGAGTTAATGGTACACAGTTTTTAGATAGACTTATTTAGGGGTCAGAAACAACATAGGTGATAACATGGTGATAGTATAGGTAATAACGTACAGTCAAAAGCCCACACTTGGGACTGGGACTTAACTTTGTATAATACTTTATTACATAATTTTTTTAAATATCACAAACATATTTTTTATTTAAATATATAAACCTGTTTAGCTCCATTAGTGAAATCTTTCAAAGTGAAATCTCCATCTAAGTAAGGCTGTATGATAAATTTTGTAAAAATCCAATTCTTAATAGTCAAAAAAAATTGTGGACGCATTATAGGTACGAAGTTCATTAGCGTGGTTGGTTTCTTCTTTGGCTTCTTGTCATTATCATTAGACTCATTACTGTTATTTCTTGTTTGCATATAATGATTTAACCAAACTGCAGGACTAAATTTGATGTGATTGAATGTTTGAAATAAAGTTAAGCTTCGAAAATGAAAATTGTTCGTTTCTGCTAAAGAAATTTTGCAAACAGGTGCAATTAGGTTTCCATTTATCTTTCTTTTCCGTAAATAGGCCAAAGCTCGTAACCACTGCCGATTCATTTTTATAAGAAACTTCAATTTTTGGGAAACAAATTTAATGCACTTGTTTTGTATGCCAAGACTTGTTTACTTGCCTAGCGATCAAAAATTGCACATCAGCGTTCATAAATGCACATTGTAGCTGTAAAGTACTTTTACTTAACCCATGCGTAACCGTAAAAATCGTTGATCAGTTTTACTCTTTTTCAATTGAATAAACCGTTTACATGGAAAATCATTGAAAATAAAAGTTGTAGTATAAATTGCAGCTTTAAAGTTGTAAAAAATTTCTAATTTTTTTTTTAAGGTTAAAAATTTTTTGCGAGCTACAAGCCAACAGTCTTCGAAGATTAGATCGAAAAAATGATATTCATTAGATCCAGCAAGATTAGAATCCAATGAAATTTCATTTTAAGCCCAGCATGAAACTATTTTTAATTATTATCTGCAATTTAAACACTAATGCGCACAAAAAAAAACTCAATTTGTCTCTTTGATAAAACGTAGTACTGAACTCCCGTGCGAGAGGGCAGCACTGTACTGGTTCAAATAATTTTTTCCTAGGAGTGAAATATTCTCCCACTTTCAGGAGAGATAACCATTTTGAAAATCAGTAGTTTACGATTTTACCACACCATATAAAATGCATTCATGCAATAAATAATGAGCTATAATGTTTGATTTAATATTCAATCAGTAATTTTTGAGTATTTTATTTGCATGATTAATATGTTAATATAATCTGTTTTGAAATCAGAGTAACTTACAATACAAACGTTATCTGCTATTACCCGGTTTTCTTTACACTGACATTTTTTTCTAATGTAATTTGTGTTTAATTCGCAGCCACCTACGAATAAGTGAAAATGAATAATGTTACAAAATAAAAAAATTTTTAAAAATATAAAGTGAGTCAATCTCGAAGCACCGAAATGTATTTTATTTATCGAAAAGTATTGTTTTATATTAGATTTCCAAATTCTGAATCGAAAATAAATCCTGCCTGCTGTGTCTGTTTTAAGCAAATGCAGAAATTGCGCTCTTTCAATTTTTTTCTTCACATTTTTCCATTATTGTTGCAAAAAAACTTATTTTTATTAATGGTTGTTATTTATTTTCATAATATCGAAAAGGCTCCGTCACCTGCTTTCATCGTTTGCTAATGCCTGTAATTGATTTCTATTCATCATTGTTTAGTTCTTCTTAAACGTCATCAATAGTTTCCACAAAACACTAAGCGTTTATGTTTTAAAATATATCAATTTTTTTGTTTACGTAAGAACATTTTGTTAATCATAATAAGATAGACGATTTCCTAGATTTAAGAAATAATCATCTGTTCTTGAAAAAAAAATACTAAGCTATGGAATGTCGATTGTGAGATTCAATAAAAAGAAGTAACGGTTTTTCTTTCCGCTTTTTATAAAGGGTTTTTTTTTTCTTTTTTTTTCAAATATTTAACTATGAGTATTAAAAATCTGGCAAAACATGTAAACTCCACTCTCTCTCTCTCTGTCTTTTACTACTTTTGATTGATATCTACTCGAGCACGAACTTATAAAATAAATATATGTTGCTGTTGTAGTTAATTTACGTCGCACTACAGCTGCANATTGTATATATAGTATATAGTACACATATAGTATATATTCTTGGATTTCTTCTTTTTTACTTTCTGACTACTCTCATCCCTGGTTTAATTCACAGCCACCTACGAATAAGTGAAAATGAATGAGAATAATGTTGCAAAATAAAAAATTTTAAAAAAATACAAAGTGAGTCAATCTCGAAGCACCGAAATGCTTTTAAATGCATTTTATTTATCGAAAAGTATTGTTTTGTATTAGATTTCCAAATTCTGAATCAAAAATAAATCCTGTCTGCTGTGTCTGTTTTAAGCAAATGCAGAAATTGCGCCCTTTCAATTTTTTTCTTCGTATTTTTCCATTATTGTTGCAAAAAAACTTATTTTTATTATTGGTTGTTATTTATTTTCATAATATCGAAAAGGCTCCGTCACCTGCTTGCATCGTTTGCTAATGCCTGTAATTGATTTATATTCATCATTGTTTAGTTCTTCTTAAACGTCAATAGTTTCCACAAAACACTAAACGTTTATGTTTTAAAACAGCGGTTCTTAACCTATGGGTCGCGAAGCATATTTCTTGGGTCGCGCTGAGTCGAACCAAAAAAAATTAGTAATACACTAAATAATAAGTAATACCAACACCTCCTAGAAGAAGTCATTGTGGCTTACTCAACCTAATTTTGACTTTTTTTTGGGTCGCGACGTGAACATATTTCTCAAATTTGGGTCGCGGCTTCAAAAGGTTAAGAACCACTGTTTTAAAATATACAGTGAATTCGCGATAACTCGAATCTGATAGGACTGACGAAAAACTTCGACACATCGGAAGTTCGACTTACCGTTAGTTTCGGTTTTGGACTTTCAAAATATTGCTGGATTATTTAATTAATGCTTATTTATTAATTACAAATCTTCTTAATGCTTACAATATTTAAGATCATTTTTCTGACAAGCCATTTACGATAAGACTGTTTGAAGCACTTTATGATACCCTGGTCCATCGGCTGCAACTTTGCTGTTGTGTTTGGCGGGAGAAACTGCAAGTTTACTGCTTTCAAATTAGGTAGATCACTATGCGTTGTGCATTTATCCATAAAGAGTATCACTTTTCTTTTTTTAGGGAAGAATTTCCGATCCAATTTTCTTAAATAGTCTTCAAATAAAACTGATGTCATCCAAAACTTTTTGTTAGACTTGTAATCCAAAGGATACGTTTTTACATTCTTGAAACATCGGGGATTTCGGTATTTTCCGATAACAACTACGGGCGATTTCTCTGTCCCAGACGCATTTCCTCCAACTAGGACAGTCAAACGTTCCTTGCTCATTTTACCCCCTGAGCAGTTTTCATCCTTAAACATCATAGTCTTATTTGGAAGACTTTTAAAAATAAACCCATTTCATCAATATTGAAAACATCATTTTAACTGTATTCTTTAAGTAAATTTGGTAACGTTTCATTTAACCATTGTTCACATACTTCAAGAGGGACAGCTTTAGCTTCTCCATAAAGAGTGCGAAAGACATTGTGTGTGTGTTGCAGAGAAAGGGACGAGATATCAGCTCCTAGGTTGTTGTTTTTTTTAAATTTTTTTTTTTTTTTTTTTTTTTTTTTTAAAANTCGAGTTAAAGGGAGTAAAATTCGAGTAATCGAGAATAATTAACATGAAATTGAAGATAAAAGGGTCGGGACCTCATAAAAAAATCGAGTTATAGTAATATTCCAGTTATCGTACTTCGAGTTATAGCGAATTGACTGCATAATTTTTTTTGTTTACGTAAGAACATTTTGTTGATCATAATAAGATAGACGATTTCCTAGATTTAAAAAATAATCATCTGCTCTTGAAAAAAAAAAACTAAGCTATGGAATGTCAATTGTGAGATTCAATAAAAAGAAGTAACGTTTTTCTTTTCGCTTTTTATAAAGGGTTTTTTTCTTCTTTTTTTTTTCAAATATTTAACTATGAATATTAAAAATCTGGCAAAACATGTAAACTCCTCTCTCTCTCTGTCTTTTACTACTTTTGATTGATATCTACTCGAGCAGGAACTTATAAAATAAATATATGTTGTTGTTGTAGTTAATTTACGTCGCACTACAGCTGTACAATGGGCTATTGGCGACGGTCTGGGAAACATCCCTGAGGATGATCCGAAGACATGCCATCACAATTTTGATCCTCTGCAGAGGGGATGGCACCCCCGCTTCGGTAGTCCAACGACATGCACGCGAAGTCGCGCACTTTACGGTAGAACAGTTTAACGAGGACCAATACCGCCTATCCTCGGTTCCTACGCAGACTGAATCAAGTGGTCACACACCCGCACACTGACCGTAGCCAGTGATGCAGAGCGGCCGGTTTGGTATTTCTTTTTCCAAGTTTAACAGTTAGTAATTTTCTAACAAATTATCGGGCTTTCTACTTCTTTTTATTCCCTCTTAATTCCTGTACACTTTTCAACACACCTTAGTAATTTCACGTTTCTAAGGTCTCATAGTTTTTGCGCAGTTACATTAAGTTGAAAACTCAAAGCAATGGTGTCGGTCCTTACGTTTTTTGTTTTTGTTTTTTTTTTTAAATAGAGAGATAGTGTTTTAATCAAAGGTTTTATAGATTAGGTTTTTGTTTTTACCCTAACATCAATTTGTAGATCAATTTCATCTAAAATGCATAAAAGCATGGAAAAAATAGTTCAGTGCTATGTATATTCTTTTTTATTATGTGTACGTAAAAGCTTAATTAACTAGAAGCATTTAAGTATAATAGTCTTTCAGAGTTAAGAAATCACTTTATAGCCTACCATTAATTTACAGCAGCCCATTTCACTATGTATAATGAATAATTAACCTTTGATTAATAAATGCCGTTTTTATTAAATAAATTTTTTCCATGCCTTCATGCCATTTCATACGTTGGATTCATGTCCAAAAAGTCGTGAGTTCGATCCTCGCCGGCCGAAGATTCCCCGTGTATTAAATGGTGACTGGTGAACGTTTAATCTTTCGGGTCACGAAGTCCTCCATGTCTCCATAACAAATCATACAGTTGGGGGTACTGAATTGGAAAATTGATCATTCTCTGGTTCAGGTCAAAATTACGATCTGCTGATGAATGGATGTATAAGTGGGTCCGCCCTATAAACGGGCAGTGGCGAGTGTGTGGCTGAAGTCGTATTCTTGGCCATAGAGGGCGCCACTGAAGCACCAAGATACACACCCTCTGCCTTAAATTCTGATATTGGCAAGTGACATTAGAAACAGCAACAACAAACCCTCTTCACTGTCTTTTTTTTTTTTTTTTTTTTTTTTTTTTTTTTTTTTTTTTTTTTTTTTTTGCTTTTTGTTTTCTGAAATTGTCAACAGATGGCTGCACAAATCATGGATGGAAAGAAAATTAATTTGTAGCAGGTACCACTAGCATTGTGATAATAAGTTGCTGTTTTAATAGATGCCAAATATATTAATAAATGTATTTAATAATGTTAACAAGGTACCTTGGGTTATGTATTTAAGACATTGTATTTCAGTTGTGTATTTGAGACAAATCTGTAAACTGTTTGCAATTTCAGATAAATATTGATATGTATATATATTTAGAGTTTTGTACTAAAAAAAAATCAAATGAATATTTAGAATTTCCAACAG